GTCAATAACAATGGCACTGTACGGCTCCGACTACTACCGCCATAGCGGCACAGTTCACCAGACTTGGAACATAAGGTATTTACACCCATACAAGCCTGATCCCCTTGTAGGATTGCCATCGTGCGACAGCACATGTCATACATCCAATCTCCGAGATTGCCCCGCACTTTAATTCAATTTCTCCTTGTCCGAATGATGTGTCGTGCCTTCTGTGACACCTTGTCAGGGGCGAATGAATACACGGATCTTAGCCTATATTCGCGACTCGATCCTAGAAGGGTTTGAGTCGACTCATGACTGAGTCTTTCGTGAAAGTCATTGAGACAGGTTCTCAATGACCTCTAGTCATACTAGGTCAATGGTGAAACATCGCGCTAGATATTTTAGCTGCGTGGAGAGATTCCACGCTACTAGATAAATGCTAGACGAATCTTCACGCGTTCGTTTTTGGATCGTGGAGTGAGTAGGATCGCTACCGCAACCTACCCTATCACACTCTACAGTCTCCGCGGGGTTCAGATCTACGATCTCTTTGATTGTGGATCTCTCTCGTTGATTAGTTTCATAGCTTTCTAATCCTCTCAAACTTTCATTCTCTCAAACTCAAAAACACTCGAAAGATCTTTACACTAGCTTTAGCGTAGTGCATTCTGCTTGTTTTGCATCCGGATCACAAATAATGCACGAAAACATATTTGTATTTTTCCTTCATCCACTGGACCTGCAGTGAGGCCCTGGAATTTGTGAATTGTTCGAGCAAAGGCAAGATCCAAAGGGAGGTATGTTCGCGAACAACAGTGAAAATCACAAGGAACTGTCACCATGGGTATAGGAACCAACTGAATGCAGAAGAACGTGAAATTGAATAATGATATCTGTGCCCATTGTGCATGCAATTCACCCAAATATCAAATACATACCATTGGATTGTTTTTATCCCAGGTGGGACCAATATACAATGGGAATTCAACCACAACATACTTTGTTGCATTACCAATGTTTGGATTAGTTCCTTTTGCAAAAACAATTTCTCTCACAATACCACAGGCACCATTATGGAGACCCCATCCAGGCTTGAAATTTTTCCATTCTGGTTCGTGGCGCCTAGATTATCATTTGAGTATCAGTAATTTTGTAGCATTCTGGCATTTCAGCTGAATTGAGCATTAGTCATATCTTAATAGCTAGAGAAATGTAATGCAGAAAGCAAGCCAAAAAGGAAAGTGTCCTATTTAATGCATAAAAACCCTCAGGTATAGATACATTTTATCTAAAATGTGACATAGGCAAATCTTGGATATTTACTTATGCAAGCATGTTCTTTACTTAGGTATATATGATATACATGATGATATAATAATAAGAGCATGCCATTGGAAAACAGTTACTGGTCAAAGTGAGGCTTTTTACTAGATTTATGGTAAGTTACCTTCAAGTAGATGGTGGCAAGAAGTAATTAAGACAAACTATGAATGCATAGAAATTTGGATTTAAGGTACATTTAAGTAATAGGGTTAAGGTTATTGAATACCATTCCCATCGGGCACAGATTAAATATTGCACTAAGAGGCAATAAGAGGATCCATTGGAAAACAGTTACGAGTTAAAGTGTGGCTTTAAATAGATTTATGATGAATTAACTTCAAGTTGATGGTGACAAAAAATACTTAAGGAGAACTATTAGAATTTGAATTTAACTTAAGCTTATTGAATACCAATTCCCATAGGGCACTAGATTCATGAGATATTTAGCTTTGTAGTTAGGTTGCGAGCTGTCAATGTTTTTCCTTCTTTCTTTGGGACTTAGGTTTGTGGTGTGCTTTGCCTTGCCCTGTGACAAATACTTGAGAGTATTTTTTTGTTTGCTTGATACAAGACCTCATAAGGTATCTTGGTTTCCATTTTTTGATTCACCCAAGCCAAAGTGTTTTGAAGTTGTGTTGAATTGCATGCACCAGTGGGTACTGTGTTTTTGTTAAGTGTGCTGAACCAATCCCTTATGCGTTTGATCTGAACATATTACAATATTTGTGCTGTTTTTAAGGTGAGTTCTTGAATGCGTTCAGTAGTGATATTTTCTCCACGGAAATATATTGCAGAACAAGGCCTTCATCATCACCTAAGGTAGTGCCTCTTGAAGCAGCAGATATAAAACCAGGCCTGTACTTCGACCTTCTGCTTGTTTTGCATCCGGATCAAAAATAATGCACGAAAACATATTTTGTATTTTTCCTTCATCCACTGGACCTGCAGTGAGGCCCTGGAATTTGTGAAATTGTTCGCAGCAAAAGCAAAATCAAAGGGAGGATGTTCGCGAACCAACAAGTGAAAATCAACAAGGAACTGTCACCAGATGGGTCTAGGAACCAACTGAATGCAGAAGAACGTTAAATTGAATAATGATATCTGTTCCCATTGTGCATGCAATTCACCCAAATATCAAATACATACCATTTGATTGTTTTTATCCCAGGTTGGACCAATATACAATGGGAATTCATCCACAACATACTTTGGTGTATTACCAATGTTTGGATTAGTTCCTTTTGCAAAAACAATTTCTCTAACAATACCACAGGCACCATTATGGAGACCCCATCCAGGCTTTAAATTTTTTCCATTCAAGGAAACTTTGGCACCAACACATAACATGGAAGTACCCGGAGATTCTTCTTGGAAATGCCTTGCAACACCTTTGGAGAATTTAGTACCCCATGTCTTTGGCTGCACAATTTCTGTTGGATTAGATGAACTTTTCAAACTTGATAGACATTGAATGTTCATGCGAATTCGTTATCATTTGTCCAGAAAATGTTGATAGCATTTTCGCAAATTTTTTCAACAACTTCCTTACCATGCTTTCTCTTGATTTAATTTAGATGTAGTGACTTCAATTTAGCAACATCTTCATCAAATATTATCCCCATTCCTTAAACCGTGAAAGTAAACTCTACTATCTCGTTTGATTCTTGTCCATCTAACCTCTCGATTGGCGCAATTGGAACACTTTTTGTGCAAAGGCAGCAAAACAATTTTTCCGTCCGAGATCGTGTTCGTCCATCTTCTTCATCCACGAGCGTGGAATTCCATGAAAAACAATGTCAATGACTTAGTCATGGTTCAATGTTTGGTTGGGTCCCAAAGGTGGTAGACGAGGAAGTTTCATCGGTGTTCATCCGACTGATGTTGTTGACATAAGCCCGAGAAGACATATCAGCAGGCTTTCGCATCTTGCGGCGCATGAAGCGTTTCTGCTTTTCAAGAGCCCTGTAGGGACAGACCGCTTCGATACAGGCATTTATGCAAACGTAATGTCAGTGTTGTCCAAAGCAGGCTGAGCTGCTCCGTTCGAGGCAGCCTGGAAACGTGTTTGGAAAGTGGCTTCGTCTTCGACGCCACGTATGTCCGGCGAGGAGGCAATCGCGTTGATGGCAATCTGGCGCAAGGCATCCCAACGTACTTCACGATGGCCTGCACCGCTAGATTCGTAACTGCTCATTGCAGAGCTAGAAGTCATCTCCCTGAGGAGGTTGTGTTTGTCGTCAGGCGTAGCAATGGCGAAGCCCGACGAAGACCTTCCCATACGTCCAGCCACTTGATGGTCTGACGTGGAGTCTAAGATCCATTGATGATTTGGACCTTGAAGGTGTACTTGGGGCTGTTAGCATCTGCTGGAATAGTGCGAAGTTTTGAGGTGGTAGAGCGAGAATCGTCGATTTCGCATTCATCACCGAGGTCGATGAGAGGAATGGGAGATTGGGTTGTCACGCAGCTTGGACTCGAAGCTGGTGTATGCGTCTTTGGAATCTTCATGGTGAGGAAATAGGTTGAGGGAGCTGAAAGTATTTGTGTTTGTTACAAAATGCACTACGCTAAAAAGCTAGTGTAAAGATCTTTCGAGTGTTTTGAGTTGAGAGAATGAAAGTTATAGAGGATTAGAAAGCTATGAAAAACTAATCAAGAGAGAGATCACATCAAAGGAGTAGATCTGAACTCCCGGGAGACTGTAAGTGTGATAGGGTGGTTGCGGTAGCGATCTACTCCATTCAGATCCATAAACGGAACGCGGGAAGATTCTCAGCATTACTAATAGCGTGGAATCTTCCACGCCACTAATATCTACGCGATGTTTCAACATCGACCAGTATGCTAGAGTCATGAACCCTGTCTCAAGACTATTCACGAAGACTAGTCATGAGGTGACTCAAAGCCTATCTAGGATCGAGTGCGAATAAGGCTAAGAGCCGTGTATTGCAAGAGGTCGCAGTACAGGCCTTGTTTTATACTGCTGCTTAAAGAGGCACTACCTTAGGTGATTATGAAGGCCTTGGTTCTGCAATATATTTCCGTGGAGAAAATATCACTACTGAACGCATTCAAGAACTCACCTTAAAAACAGCCACAAATATTGAATATGTTCAGTATCAAACGCAGAAGGGATTGGTTCAGCACTTAACAAAAACACATTACCCACTGGTGCATGAATTCAACACAACTTCAAAACACTTGGCTTGGAGTGAATCAAACAATGGAAACAAGATACCTTATGAGGTCTTGTATCAGCAAAAAAAAAATACTGCTCAGTTGTCAGGCGTGCAAACACACCAGCAACCTAGCCCAAAAGAAAAGAAGGAAAAAACATTGACAGCTGCGCAACCTATACAAAGCACATTCATGAATATGAGTGCCCTACGCTATGGTATTCAATAAGCTTCAAGTTAATTCAAATAATAGTTCTCCAATATTTTTTGCCGACCATCAACTATGAATTAATTCATCATAAATTATTAGCCACCTTATAACTCGTAACTGTTTTCTGGCATCCTCTTATTGCCTCTTATTGGCTAAATATTGAATCTGGTGCCCATGGGAATGGTATTCAATAACCTTAACCTATTACTTCAATGTACCTTAAATCCAAATTTCTATGCAGTCATAGTTTGTCTTAATTACTTCTTGCCACCATCTACTTAAGGTAACTTAACATAAATCTATAAAAAGCCTCACTTTGACCAGTAACTGTTTTCCAATGGCATGCTCTTATTATTATATCATCATGTATATCATATATACCTAAGTAAAGAACATGCTTGCATAAGTAAATATCCAAGATTTGCCTATGTCACATTTTAGATAAAATGTATCTATACCTGAGGGTTTTTATGCATTAAATAGGACACTTTCCTTTTTGGCTTGCTTTCTGCATTACATTTCTCTAGCTATTAAGATATGACTAATGCTCAATTCAGCTGAAATGCCAGAATGCTACAAAATTAGCTGTATACTCAACATGATAATTCTAGGCGCCACGACACCAGACAGACCCACACGGGGTTGATGAAATCTTGGGAGACCTCGCATGGAGGATGGTAAGCAGCAATGCTCACCAGTGATCAGGAAGACCAACAGAGCAGCACGTTCCCAGTTCCGTGGTCGAGAAAGTCGGTGGTGGAGATAGTGACGTTGGACTGACACCACGTACCACAAGTGAACGTGTTCGAGAACATTCGAAAAAACAATTCCGCCACAATTTGAGGAAGGAAAGACACAAAAAAATTCCCAACACGCCTACACGATAGTGGTTGACAGTTGACAGTTGACAGTGGACAGAACAAGCCAAGGAAGCACACCATATTCGATTCATTTCTCTTCGATCCCACAATCGCCAAGCGCGTTTATTTTTTGTGGGCTACTACGTTACCGCTACCATGCTTTCAACAGTGCTAACCAAGGCCCCTCTCTGGGCAAGGCTCAAGTCAGTCCCATCCGAGCATCCGTTTGCTTTCGGAGTTGTTATTTCGGGTATCAAGACCTCATGTTCCGACTTGTTGGTTCAAAAAGTAATCGAGCGCAAGGAACAAGTGGACTGGAAACGCAACGCTGCATTCGCCGCCTTTGGCTTCGTCTACCTTGGAGGTGTCCAGTATGCAATCTACGTTCCATTTTTTGGGAGACTCTTTCCCCGAACTGCCGCATTTGTGGCCAAACCGTTCCGAGAAAAGGTCAAGGATACCCGAGGGATTCTTGGCACCGCGGCACAGGTATTCCTTGATCAAGCCGTTCATCATCCCCTCATGTACTTTCCAGCTTTCTATGCGACGGTGAGTTCAGATGTGTGAAAAATCGAACGGATTGGCATGTCATTGGCGGATAACCTCTCACGCTTTGCACTTTGTTAAACTGACTTCTGCCTCTTTCCACAACAAACTGTAGAAAGAGCTCGTGATGAAGGAGAAACCTGACGTTGGACGAGCCATGAGCGAATACCGACAAAACATGAAAGAGGATCTCTTGGCTCTCTGGAAAGTGTGGGTCCCTGCCACATTCGTCAATTTCTTCTTTGCTCCCATGCATCTTCGTATTGTTGGCGTGGCCGCCACTTCTTTGGTTTGGACTTGCATTCTCAGTGTAATGAGAGGGGGCGATGTGCAGCACGCTGAGGACATGATTGGAGGAGCTGTCACAGGGGCATCTTTTACCCTGTTGAAGGAAGGGCTCGACGAAAGGTACAACACTAGTCCGGTCGAACTGGATCCTGATCAAGGCCATCTCTGTATCTCGGCAGCTGGAAAGCAACGACCAGGTCTTGTGGCCTTGTTGGCTCGTCATGTTGCCAGTCAGGGTGGCAATGTCACACACTCCAAAATGGTACGATTGGGGGAAGAATTCATCATCCAAATGCATGTAGCTGTTCCGCAGGACAAGCAAGTTGACCTGTTGACTAGTTTAGAGTCCAACCCAACACTTCATGAATTCAATATTCAAGCCACAAAGTTGAACGTCCGATGCTACAAGAAACAGGCCAAGGCTGTAATTGGGATGCAAATCCATTGCGTTGGCCGAGACCGGTAAGTTCTCCTATCGAACTGGTGCCCATTACCATGGCGCAGAGATGGCTTGCCAACGCACACTCATTCCACTCAAACACTATTGTTGACTTGCAGACCCGGTATGTTAGCGGCTGTTGCTGAAAGAATCGCAGGAAAAGATATGTCCATTGAAAGCGTTGAGACCCAACTGCGCATGCACGGGGATCAACGTGAGTTTGTGGTGGACGCACTTGTCAGCTCAAATAATGAATCGGACAAGGAGAACTTGACGGATTTGCTGAACGACCTCAGCAAAATAAAGGAGGAGCTGGGTCTTGACACTCTAGACATTCGTGTTCAAGGCTGCGTGAAGGACTAAATTGCACTTTGAGAACAACTACCTCAGCTTCCAACGCCCAATCGTTCAGAGTGAATTGCTGTTTCCCAATTTTGAATTGACCCATCCATGTACACACGGTGACTCCCACCAAATCACAACCAGCCTTCCATTGCATAACAAATCGGCGAGGAGTCACCCAGATCAAGCGCGGAAACGACAATCCACCCTTATATTATTGCTTGATCAGAATCAATCCACAGGTTTTAAGTTGAGTCTGTGGGTATCTCTGCTTGTCCAAATCATGCCACGAGACCACCACACCGGTGCTACAGGCTGCTAGTTCTCACTTAGTTAAGAATAATTTTGCTATCAATCTTCTGATTCGATTCAGTACTGTAGCTACCGGTAAATTTGTCTCAGAGCCGCCGGTATGGTATCACGCCCTTCACATGTTTCTAAATTTCCGTACCGATACGGCGTCAGAAGAAGAGCGTCACTGGAGATCCATGTACTTCAAGCCTCACTGTGTTGCCATACTGCTATCGGGCGACTAAGTATGTAGTAGCCAAACAACAAGTCGCACAAAGAAGCCAAACATAAAAGCCATTTACAAGCCCCAAACTATGAGAGTATTTATTCAAAACTATGATTGCTTCCGTCTTCTACCTTTGGCTGTTCCTTGCCACTTCCACCCCGTAGTCTTTCTCCTTCTTCGCGCTCCTGTACACACTTCTTACACTCGTTCTCGTAGACTTTTTGAAGGAAGACAGAACGCCACGGGCCGACTTTCCAACTCGAATAGAGTACATGTCAAAGAATTTCACGAAGCGCGCTGCATAGTCTCGTGGAGACACACAACTGGCCTCCAATGCATCCATACCTTGTAACATACGGTATCTGGACTCCACCACTTTCCTGGAGTTGTACTCCTGCAGGATATCAATAACTCCCATATAGAAGAGCTTTCCTTCGCACATCATCTCACCAAGACGGTTATTGTCGTATTTCATTGGCATGTCCAAACCAACAGTGTCCATCAAGAAGCCTCCGTCTTTCCGGTCCGACAGCGGAGCCACGAAGTTGGGAATGCCCCAACCTTTGAGTATTTTGTCATCGTCTCTACACCGACATGGGGAACTCATGCAGTGGTAGCAAGGTCCTGGGATCATTCGCCGATGACCGTGGATGTCGTGTAAGCGGTGGAATGGCCAGTAGATCTGCTCAATAGTTTGCGCTTTCTTTTTCTCAATGTCGCTGTTGGCGGAACTCATGTTCGGACTGGTTATAGCTCTGGGAGGACGATTAGTGGATCCTTCCAAATAACTGCTATCGTCTTCGTCCAAAATGTCGTCAAACATTGCCATAGGCGGTCCCAGGTTGTCTGACATTTCATGGATTGATCTTCGCATGTTCTCGTTCCCCCTTGCAGAGAATGACATGTTCATAGAGTTATGCAGTTGCGCTTCGCTTTCTGCGCCAGCGGAATTGTCAGCGCTGGTTGTGCTACTCAACGTTGGCCTACGAGCCAAGGAAGGTCGTCTTGCCGTTGACCTCCTTGCGCTGCCGTCCATACCGGTACCGCCGTCCCTTTCTTTCGCCTTGGGTGTCACGTGATGAATTCCAACCAGCATCGAGTAATCCATAATTCCATTCCTCTGCAAGAAATTGCAATCTCGAATCAGCTGACGCCTCACCCTGTCTCGAAGCTCAGGAGCCAACGCCAGAGCTCCATCTGGCAAACGTGCACGGAGATCGTTGTCCTTCAATACCTGATCTCCAGGATTAGCATCTCTGCCGTGGATAGAACCCTTCAAATCGTAGAATTCTTGAAGCGGTTTGTCCGTGTAAAAAACAGAGTTCATAATGACGAACTTGACATTTCTTCGCAGATGGTACAGTTTCACACGGTACATTCCACAAAACTTTGTCAACATGGTGTTGGGGTTTGCGCAGCAATGGCGAAAATAGTCTGGCAAAACTGAAGATGAAACAAAAAGCAGCATTGGTGAGACTTGGTTCGTTCTAGCTAGCTAGCTAGCCGGGTGAGCAAATCGTCAAGAACACCTCGAAAACTTACTTCGCCTCAAGAATTTGCTCTCGGCATTCGTCATGGTTTTGATCATGTATTTTCCGTCACTTGAGTAGAAAAAGAACTGTCCACTCTTTGCGTTGGAGATGAATTCGATAAAGTTGGCATTACCACACACCGATAACAGGAAATCGAATTCATTGACACCAAACAACCGCCGCAGATAAGCAAAGACAACGGGTGAATAATCCTTGAACTTGAATGTGTGGGAAAGCTGATGCGGTGGCGTGTGTTCGGAACCATCCGGGCGAAACTCGTATTTTTCCGTGTTTTCAAAGTCCTCATCGGTCAACCACCGCTTCTTGTGTTCATCGGCGGTGATCATCCCGTTGGTTCTGGCAATGGATGTTCGAACACCCAGCATGACCGCAATGGATTGTGCGTACAATTCGTGCTGTCCATCAATGACTTTTCCGGTTACATAACTCTTTCGTTCCTTCTTTTGTTTCCCTTTCCTCTTTTTTCTCCTCCATCTTGTAAGCTTCAAGATGTCGTGAGGATCGACTGACTTCATGACTGGTCGGAACATTCAGTATGGCGCATCAGAAAGGGGCAACAGTTTGGTTAGTCAACAACAGTGGCACAATCGTTTTCGTTCGGAACACGGTTACAAATCACTGAAGGGCGACCATCGATCATTGATTGATCATTCACCAACAATCCTACTCGCTTCGATTCGATTGATCTATCATCATCATCAACCTACCTTTTCGTCCTGCTTCCATCGTTCCATCCACAACTTCGGTCGGGATATCCTTTTTATCTCCATCAGGAGCCAACGCCTTGATGGTAGGATCATGTTTCTTCATGGCATTCAGAGAGTAGTGCAAATGGTCGCCCGGGCCCGGGTAATCCTGAGCAATTTCTGGCGCTTGCTTGACGACATGAGAATTCTTGGGAGACGATGCTTTCTTGTCTTTCTTCTCCTTCTTGTGGCTACTACTGCTACTAGATTTGGCAGGTTGTTTCTTATCTCCATCGTAAGAATCAGTATTGGCAGCGGTATCGTTCATTCCGTCCAAGTCGTCATCATTGTTGTTGTAGTTGTAGGCTGCTGGTGCTGCAAAGTTGCTATTGCGGTTGGAAACTTCTTCACTTTCGGATTCCCCTTCGGCAATTCCGTACATATCCGGGGGCAACTCCTGTCCCTGATCTCCCAGTTGGGAAGGGGGAGGCACCCGAGGCGGTTTCCCTCGCACGTTTCCAAAATGACTTCTCATGGAAGCTCTCTTGACAATTTTCCGGAGCGCTTGTGCGTTGATACCACGAGCCACCTTGCTCATTTTACCAATGTGAACCTGAGCGTTGGCTCTGAGAGCTTCCGCAGCCGGGGAATCATCCTCAATGTAGGGATTCACAATGGCTTCCAACAGTTCCTCGCGAGTAAAGTCGTGAGGTGCAGCTCCTCCTCCAGCCGAGCCGCGACGACCCATCGATGGCTCTCCGTAGCCAGTATAGTCAGACGCGTCCATTTGGTTCTGGAAGGTCGACTCGAACTGATTCTTGAAAGATCCATCCATTGTTGTTGTTGCTGCTGTTGTTGTTTTGATCTCGCCGGCACTGCTTTCAATTCTTCTGTCTTTCACAAAGTGCTACAGTCGTCACTTTCTGTTTTAATGGAAGCGCTTCACAAAGCAGCAGCAGCAACACACTGCGGGACAGACTCGACTCGATTCGATCCGAATGTCCGGATCTTCGCTCCGAATGGCACGGTACCGTTTTGGCGATCCCCGCAAGACAGACAGAGAACCCAACTCAATCAACAACAAGGTCCACGCTGTCAACCACAGCCTTGCGTTCGCAGCTGTTGTTGCTGCCAGGTCGTCTCTATGTATAACTAGCTAGCTACTAGCTGTCTATTAGTCTTCCTTATGCACGACGGGAGAATTGCGAGTGTTGCCTTTCGTGCTGTCTTCGATTGAGGCACAACGCTGAATGCGTGAGGTCACTTGTGTTGTGGCAGCGTCTTCCCCCGAGGAAGTTAATCGAATGAGTCGAGTCGAGTCGAGAGAACAAGTGTGCGAGAAATCTAAAACCTGGCGTCAGCCGGAACATCGTCGGGGTATCTTTTGCAAGGGACACAAAAGGATTGGCACTTGCCTTTCTCAATCCGAGAAGGCCGAAGCTATCCAGCTCTTGATACCGCACCCACATCAACATTGCATCACCTGCAGGTCAGCTTGGATTGATTCCAGTCCACGTGAGAGCCAACAAAGCACTCATCTCGGGACAGTTTCAAGCCATTGCAGAGGTAGAATTCGGTAAAGGGCTGGATTGGATTATCATCATCGTCTCCTTTGTGGTGGGTTAGTACTACCGGTATTACATATATATCAGCCAAGATGAATGAACAATATGTAATTGATTTCCTGACGGGAAAGCTACCCTACACGATGGAGCTGACCATCCTTTGTCAGGCTTTCACTGGGGCAATGGCAGTCCGTGGAGGCAGAAACAAATATGGGCAACTCCATTGGTTCCATGCTTTTGTTCTGTCCGCCATGACGGGCTTTTCAGGGGGACTATTCAATTTCCTTTGGATGGGGAAACCCACAAGCATGATATCTAACGATGTGGTGTTTGCAAGCGTTGTCATCGCCTTTGTCTCTGTCAACTATGTCCCGTTTTTCTTCCAGTTTGTCAGCTTGTTACCTGTCAAGATGGTCATCACGGCCTGGGCCATGCTATTTCGGAGTTTGGGGTTGTGCTCATTTACCAGCAATGCATTCAACGCCTTTAAGGATTCCCCTTCCAAATATTATCCCGTTCCAGTATTTGGACCCATCTGGTATGGAGTTATGCTGGGTAACATGGGAGGATTTGCTTTGAAAGGCGTTGATGGGCATCTTTCTGGGGGAGTACCTTGGCCTTTCCAGAATGGTATGGTTTTTATTTGTTTGTGGGAGATATTGACTGAATGGAAAGTCTTCATTTTGCCTCACCACAATTCTTCGTCCCTCTTCAGGCATGTTTTGTGGACCCTTTTTTCTCTTTTATGCGCTCGATGATAAAGGTCCTATTGGGGAAATTGTCAGAAGTACAATTGCCCCTCTACATGATTTTTTGCCCGATCTCGATCACAGGGGTTTTGCTGTCTTTTGTGTTGGTTTGTTCATGCAAGTGATTGCCATTCTGCAGCTGCCTCTATTCTTTGGTCCATCCTTCAGCCCATTTGTACTAGTCCACAAAGTTGTAAACTCTCCATTGGAAGCAGCCCTTTCCAAAGAGAAAAGCATCGAAATGCAAGTAAAGAATATTGAAAGCACTCAAAGCAAGCAGGACGATGACAGTGGTGTCATCAAGCAACAATCTACCCCCGCAAAAGGCAAGAAGAACAAGAAGGGCAAGAAAAAGAAAGCCTAGAGGCAGATCAACAGATATTGGTTGATGATCTTGCGCGTTGCAACCTGTATTCTATCATTCATGTGAAATCTAGCAGCAGGATCTTAGGGTAACCAAAGATTCTCAGCATGGTAGCATGATACTATGCTAACAGAAACTTTAAATACCTGACAACCAAAGCACCTTGTGTCTACCAAGTTTAGCCCTGGAGACCGCAGATCTTTCGTACGACCAAGGAGGTAGTGAGTTCTGTTGACTGTTAAGAAAGCTTCGCGAAGAAGTTGCTGATGGGGCGGACCACGCCGGGATTTGATGTTCGTCTGCGTTTGGCCTTGCGGCCAGTTGCTTCATGGTGGGTTCGAGACAAGCTCGATCGTCGCTGTTCCATGCGAGAAATCTCATCATTTTCTCGATCGTAGGATGCCTGTAGCTGCTTGGCATACTCCAAATCAGGGTCGACACTCTCTTCTGCGCTTCCTGCAGGCAAGCCCTCAGTTTGTGAATCTTCAAGCGCACTTTGGCTTTTGCACGCCACCACCGACGCCTCAACTTCCACCCCACTTTCTGTGTGCTTCCCGTCTCCTGCTTCAAATTTCTTCTTGATTGGAGTAACGTCCGACGAGACGTCCATTTGTGAAACCATCGATGCATCCTTGCCCCCGCCTTCAGCCAACGCGGCCCTGCTTTCTTTGATACAGAGCTCCCCTCCTGTTTGCCCGCTATGAGATAGTGCAGTTGAACCGTGAACATCGGCGTCTCGAGTAAATTGCGTGTCTTGCTGGAGAAACGCAGCAATGCTTTTCGCTGCTCTGGACTTCAACTTGGAGGAAGATTGAGTCTTTCCTCTCGGTCGCTGTGAAGCAGGAGTTTTGTCTCCCGTGGTGGGGGAGAGCTCCGCACTCCGTTTGAATGCATCGACTATAGAACTCTGCCCTTGGGCAATCGGGACAAAGTTTGTTGCCGTAACTGCCATGCCAATGACGAGGAAGCCTCCCTCTGGATTGGCAGCGTCACGACCACGTGTGCTGCCAGCACTTTTGATGATGTCTTTGGCTAGTTTGAAGGCAATGTCGGTTGACTTTTCTGCAGATGCATTTCGTGGGAGCTGCGCTGATGTTGACATTTGCTTTCTATCACTCTTCTCGCTTCCTCCAACGGGCGACAGGTGTAGCCAACAGACCAGAGTCTTTGCAAACCTGCTCTTATCACTGGACATTCGCTCATGAACTTCATTGACAAGGTTGCCCAACCACTTCTTCAATTTTTCGTGCTCGGATGTGCGCATTGACAATACTCCTCGAAATGTTTTGCCGGCTCCGATACACTTTGGCTTCGTTCTCTCTGTCACAGCCTCATCGCAAATCCCCTGAGCTGTTCGAAACAAGAAGCGAGCCTGTTTATCCCCCAACTTTTGTTGCAGCGTTGACAAGGGTACTTTTGCCAGCTCCCCCACCGTCTTGACTGACAATGTTTCAGCGACCTGCTCACCAAGTTTCCCTCCCAAACCTCTTATTCTCCCAATGGGCAGTGGATGGAATAGTTTTTGTAGTGTTGTCTGATTGTTTGGGTTGATCAGCGTTTGACGATTTGGCTTCTTCAAACCGGAAGCGAGCTTGGCCATGATTTTGTTGGATGATATACCGGCAGAGAGGGTGTAGACCCCGTCAAAGTTGTTGACAATTGCTTTGCGTGCCTCCACTGTGATCAGAGCCCCAATGGCCAAAGACAATTCGTCGTCTCCCCAAGCCTCAGGAAAAGCCCTACCCCACCAAACTGCTCCTAACTCATCTTCGGCACTTGCAGCATCCTTGGAATCATCTACCTGTAAGGAAGACCCTCTCCGAATTTCATCCTTTGTGAGACTGTTGGTGGCAATCGCTGCCTCGCTGGTCTCAAGGCCACCGACAGTTGTGTGAGAAGAAGCACTGTCATCTTTCAAAAGAGCCCTTCGCAAGGATTCCCACTTGTTGGCTTCTCGACATTGTTTTAATATCAGCTGCACTGGAATAGAAAGGTCAATGTAAATTTCGTCTACAGAAGCCTTTTCCACTTTAATGTCAACCAATGACTTGTTGCTCTGCTGTGGTTTGTCGTTTCCTTTCCTCTCGGTTCTTCCACATATAACTTCTTGAAAAATGTCGAGTGCCGAGGTCTTCATATACTCAGTCAATGCTGCCATGAGACGCTCAGACGCGTCTCGGTACAGAGTAAGGCTGGCCTTGCCATTCTCTACGGGAACTTGAACGATGACGAGCTCAGGGCATTTTTTGACTGCCTCCAACCCTCTGTCATTTCTCTTGACATTGGATGCTCGCGCCTCATAGCTGACAGCAATCAAGGATCCATTCGCATTGGGATTCTTCTTTGCCTGTTTCTGCTGGCCGTCGTAGAGGATTCGTGCTGGATCATCAATCAGACATGTCTTCAAGTCACCGTAGGGGTTGTACTGACTCACCGCCAATGGACGGTTTCGGAGCTCCTTGTTCAGTTCTCTTTCACACGCCACATAGAATGCATCAACATCCAAGTGCACTATTGTTGCTTGCTGCTTTGTGGTGGCTTCCATGGTGAGTACCAGGTACGGTAAAGATCTGCTGGCGCCAGTAAAAATGAGTTTCCAATGTCGTTCTATTGATCGCCATGGTCCATTTCTGTTTGTTCTGGCTAGCTAGGAGGTTTCACGTTTGAATTTCGTCGTTAAATCCCTGGCGGTACACAGGGATTTAGTCCACTAGCCGCCTCTTAAAAAGTCACCAGGCCGTCCATCATCTGCCCAAACACAAGAAGGTTCAAGAGTGGGGAGGTTATCTAGATGTCCAGTCCATCAGCCAGAACGGGTCAGGCTTTGGCAAAGAAGAGCTGGAACTCAGGGCTAGGTTCCGTGGGATCAGGGCTCTCATTCAAGTTGGCGTCATTCTCTTGTTAAGACCCTTTACTGTTGACCCTATCTTAGGTCTTGGCAACCCAGCCCATGCATTCCTCTATGGCACCAAACACCTTCTGCTATCTCCCACACCAACATCTTTGCACAACAACCTTCCCCCACTTGCCAAAACTGCCCATAAACAACTTCAATCTGCTCCCAACGCTCTGCTCCCACATGCTACCAAACACTTCTCTCCACCCATTTCCCAGCAAGTCACATCTGTCCCCTGGCTGGTCTCCCGGCTTCCCAAACACTGGCTTTGAATATGTCTACCCACCTTGCCGAACACCGACACTGTGCCATATCCGCGTCATCCAAAAGTTTCTTTTTCTCTGGATCCCAAACCACCCACGTATTACCTGGCACCTTTGCTGATGCCTCCCATGTGGAGCCGCTCCCCTCTCTAGCTAGTCTTACAAGCAGGCAGAATCCACTCCACTACTATTATTATCTTTGTGAGCTCGGGGGCTACTTGGATAACTAAACCAATAGCAAGTAAGTAGTCGTCTACAGTACGCAATTATTTCTCGATGTATCTATCGGTACAAGAACCGTCACATTTCCCAAAAAGAGTTTGCTTCACCTTACCTTAACTCAAGGCTGGCAAATCACCATGACTATCCGTGGTGTTCTCGAGAATGGTGGAGACAAAGTCATGCTCCTCCATGGGTGTATCGAAGACCTGCAGATGATCATCAATGGCGTCACATGGCATTGTCTTGTCCATGTTGACAGCAGAAGCAGGCTTCAACGAATCCGGGTTGTCATCCGTCGAACCATCAAAGAGCGAAGGGAGAGGAGGAATCACAGAATCGACATTGCTGGCATCAACCGAGGGAAGAGCCGATACCGTCATATCCGTGTTGTTGGGTTCCACAGGGGGCTCTGCTTGGGCGGCTGGTTGCGCCGAAGCTGCATTGGCATTCTCTCCTTCCGGTGGGGTTTGATCGATTTCCGGGACGCAAGGAGCCGATTCGACTGCCGCCGGTGGCTGGTAGGATTCGTGCAAATCACCCGAGTCAGCCAGCCAATCCAAGGTATCCCCCACATCCAAGAGAGCGTCGACATCTTGTCCCTTGGAGTACCAGGACGGCGTGTCCTTGGCATCGGTCCAAGAAGGGTATACAGAAAGCTCCGTCACTCCAGTGGGGGAGGCTGTATCCGAGGGGGCAGCACTAGGATTTTCGGATGGCAAGGTAATCGGATTGGCCCCGGCTGAACGAGCGACTTCATTCACCTGGGGTTCGGCTGCCACAGGGACCGGGGTCAGGAAGCGAAATCTGCAGTATCAGGAAAAGCGGGAGAAAAGAAATCCACGAACGTCAGTTTGCACGAACTCGACCAAGGACAAGGAGAACAACATATTTCAAACCCATTAACTCACAGAGAATCTTCCAAGGCTGGGCCAGAGATGGTTCCTTGAGCTGTGGTAATGGACGGAACACAGTTGGATCCACTGTTCGAGGGAGCCACAGGGAGAACAAAGTGGGCCAGGGCTGGAGCCGGATGAGGCAATGGTTGCCCGTCCGGTCCAACAGCCGCAAATCTCTTTCCTTGTCGGGTAGCCGATGCCACCACGGATTGAATAACCTTTCGTTTTGTTCCGGTAGCTTGTCGTCGTCGTTTCCCATTTTGGGCAACTATGCTGGGAGACACAGCCGTAACAGAGGCAGGTCCTCCCCTTCCCTCCATGGCAATCTCGCCTTCTTCGCCATTTTGGCGTGCCTTCGCGAGTTTTTGAAAGTATTTCTGGGCGTGTGTTCGAATTTGAACCACAGTTCTGGATTTGATCAAGGAGGCAATTTTCTTCCACCCTTTACCATGCAGCTCTAGACCTTGAAGGAACAAGCGATGTTCCTCGGCCGTCCAACGACCAGTATTTTCGCCCTGTGCTCCCGTGGAGCCACCTTGAGCAGCAGCAGCCGTCGCCATTGTCACAACAGGCGAGGCCTTCTTTTTCTTGGACTTGGATGTCGAAGAACGCGGGGCAGGAGCAGCTGCAGTAGTGGACGAAGCTACAGGTGTAGGAGCAGGAGACGCCACAACTGCCGTTCCAGGCGGTTTCTTAGGAGCAGCCGCAACCACAACAGGAAGTGCTGACGTTGGGGCAGTCGCCGGTTGGGGAGGTGGAGGAGCTTGATGGGCCACTGCTTCTGTGGCTACAGGTGCTGTAGGAGGTGGTGGGGCAGCAGCTTCGACAGTGGCGGGGTGGGGGGCAGACATTATTTTTGTGGTGGGTAGCTGGTTGCTGCCAGTTGTTGTCAGGCGACAAGTTGGAAAAATGAGAAAACAGGTGGGAGAGATCAATTAGTTTCGCAAGTACGCATTGGTTAATAAAAACCTAAGCATATTGGAATCAAATGGCGACCAAACTGTTGCCTATTCCTCCTCCTTCACAATGATAGCAATGTGGGTCCTTCACGAGAACCCTTTTGTGCCGGTTTTCTCTCTTGCAGCCATTAAAAGGCATCATCTGCCTCCATCTGATAGATCCGCGACAACCCTCCATTTGTATCCTTGCGATTTCATCCATGTGAAATACAACCATGGTCTTACCTTCAAAGATCGGGAAATAGCGCTTGTCAATGTCAGGCAAAAAATCAAGTGATGATCATCGTCGCTGGTTCATCCAAGCTTCGGCATGGAGGCAGGGAAGCAACGAAGCAACCAACCACCGCAATAACCACCATCAATCGCTTGTTGCAACATGTTGCTTTGAGAGTGTCCCATCAGACAGCGATCTTATATCTTTGAAAGCATCTCATTTTTGAGACAAATCTGAGTTCCTCCCCCAGCAATAAGATAGCATACTACGTGAAATCTAATCTAAATCTAATCAAGTGGTCCCTCTGAATAAATCCCAGAAACATTACAGTGGTCTAGCTAGTCTTATATCTAAGGGAGAAGACTAAGACTAGTACAACCAAGCAGTCTGTTCGAGGTTTTTCTGTCCATTCTGGATAAAAATGGTCTCTCGCCTTCTTGGGATTGTTTCGCCAGAAAGCGATGGATGTGGTTCAGCCGAAAGGCTCCAGCTCTCCCGACCAAGTTGCCTTGTGAAAACCACAGGAAACTAAACCTGACTGCTGATGGGGACAACGGAGGAAACCAGTGTCAGTGGCGGAGACGAAGGACAACGGAAGTGGCCATTGTAATGAGATCAGCAGATAAAACATTGGTTGCTGTACTAGTAAGAATATCCTATACCTGAGTAGCTTTAGTAGCTTTAATTAAGCTCGGGGCGGCTCCTGTGATTTTTCAAGGCCTCCAGTCAACAAGTCGCCCCGTTGCTTCGAAGTTGTGACGATTGCCCTTAGAACGCCCGAGCCCGAACACTGCGCCCCCCATTTGAGTGTTGAGTCATGGGCCGCTTCGATGACAAACGGTTGGACTCGGGGCTGATGTTGCGAGACGTACTAGATCCCACGGGCGGGCTTTGGTGGTCATGCGCGTGGCCTTCACCTTCGCTGATTTCGTCGTCGTCCTGCCCATCATCAGAACCTGCTACGCTGCCATCTTGCCCGAATCTCTTCTCTTTTTCCTCTTGAATAGCATCAGCAAGCTTATCGTATCCACGACCTTCCGCGATTTGCTCCGCTAATCCGTAACTCATTTCTAGATTCAGACGATGAACCATGTCAAAGGCCCTGTCTTGCTTCCCCGCTTCGATTGCTGCTGCGAATAGTTTTAGTGTGACCTTGTCAACTCCTGCAACAGCACTTCGATATTCTTCCTCGAAATCGTCGTCTACACCAATAATCTCGTTGTTCACCTTCTTTTGGACAAGCGCCATGTTTGCACGTACAGAGAGCTCTTCCAGAAGGGACGCGGAGCTTAATTTTTATGACAGGCAAAACGCGTTAGCTTCCAGTCGACACATGTACGTACGCTGCAGCAAGTAAACTCAGTACATACCTTTTTGAGAAAGTGCTCTTTGCCAACGGCATTCTCAGTTTGAGGGTTGCAGGAGTGGGACGTCTGCTTCCAGTGACGTCCGGGTACTGGGAGATCCATGAAGAAGCGATGTGTAAGCAGCATGCCGCCATCGTGATGCCGTTATGACGAGCGCGACAACTTTTTCCTGCTCTTACCTGAATACCCCCCCTCAAAGGGATGCATAGAAGCTTCCCGTCATGACAAGTAATGGGCCAGAAGTTGTCTTCGGACGATTTCCGCAACCCGACAGTATCCAACAGAGGTGCCCACTCCCAGGATGTTGGAGTAGGACCATCCGTCTCGCCTTCTGTAGCAACCAGCATAGAAAGCATTCCATCCGAATCCATAGCCATCAGAGAATAATCGTTGCTAAAACCAGCCCAAGAGAGGGAAGAGCCGGAACTGGTGCACGATACAGAGCCTTTTGAAATGGTTCTGTGGGCCACTGCATCGTAAAGGAGATAACCCAGTTTCTGAGTTCCGTCCGGGAGAGGAATTGATTCATGGTAGAATACTGCAAGAAACCGATTCCTCCCGACCATTGTTACGGGGTTTCCTGGTAACCAAAGAACGTGCCCCTGTGAGCCTCCCGAAAGGAAGAAACGCAGGAACTTGCGGCTATGAAATCAAGGAGACAGTGCATTAGATGCTGATGTGCTACAATTGCAGAATGAGGAGTTGAGCCTTACCTTGTGGCAACTGCGGCCCATCCCGTCCCACAGGCACACCCAAGGACCCGTTCCCCATCCGGAAGTGTCAAGTACCAATCCTTGTCCTTGGGATGACCAATGGTTTCAAATCGATGAAAGTAAATGCTCGAACCCAAAGGCTTCGATCCTTTCTTCATTCGCTGTCTCTGGCTTTTCTTTAGTGCAGCCTTGGTTTGTGCCGAAAGCGAAAGGCCCCCAGTGACATCATCGTCCAAGTCATCCAAGTCGTCTTGATCATCGTGAGCCAAATCGGACGCAAAAATTGCCCCGTCGTCACCCAAAGACCCCAGGATGAATCCCATGTTGTCGGTGAAAGTGATGGGTCTTCGGCCAAAGGCACTATTGGTAAAGTCGATATCGACTGTACTTCGACCCACGTCATCACCCTGCATCAGAGTGATGGAGCCAATGTGATTCCAACAAAGAAAACGACGCGACAAGTCCAAGGGAGTTGCAGAAGGGGCAAATGCAGCTTGAGGGTCTGGTAGAGCGGGACCGGCGCTCAAGCCAGCAAGTTGTCGTGACTGTTGGTAGCTCTCATTGATCTTTGCAATATCATCTGCCATGCTGTTGTCGTCATCGTCGTAGTTGTCATCATTCACGGTGAAGCCAACGGCATTGTCATCTCCCTCTAAATCTGCTGATGTCTGGGTCGCATTGTTGGCTGCCATGTTGTCGCGCGCATCTTCCTGTGACATTCCGACCGCAATTATTTCATCATCGTCGTCGTCTTTGGCATCCTCAGCCTCATCGTCGATGAAAGTAGCTTTTACAGCTGCTTGGTTTCCATGGTTGGCAATATCCTCTTCAAAGATGTCGTCGTCGTCATCATCGTCACCATGCTCGTCAGCCTGAGCTGCAGGTTTTGCCTTCTTGGTTAGCCGCTTGGTCGAATTGGTGCTTGGTTGGGCGGAAACTTCCACGACGCTGCTGTCCTCGTCATCAGTGTCGATCTCCAATATTTTAGTCTCCTCAGCCGCTTCCTGTTGGCGATTTGCCTTGTCACTGCCAACGCTCTTCACATCGTCGTCGGTTTCATCGAGATTGGCACTCTTGTTCCCCCCACTTTTCTTGGTTGCTTTTGTTTCCTTCAGGTCCTCATCATCAGAGTCTTCGTCCATTGCTTGATCTTGGTGTTTACTCTTGTCACTGATAGCTCTCTTTGCATTGGCAGCTTCACTCTTGGTCGCCTTGCTTTTGTTCGCTGCTTTGGATTCCTTGAGGTCCTCATCAGAGTCTTCATCAGAGTCTTCATCCATTGCATGTTGGTGTTTCTCGGTGTCGACACTCTTTGCATCGTCAGATTCTTTGTCGCGCTTGCTCGCCTTGCTTTTCTTGGTTGCTTTTGTTTCCTTCAGGTCTTCATCCTCAGAGTCTTCATCCATTGCTTCATCTTGGTGTTTCCCCTTGTCCCTACTAGCGCTCTTGACATTGGCAGAGTTACTCTTGCTCACATTGCTCTTGTTTGTTGCTTTGGATTCTGTGAGGTCCTCATCCTCAGAGTCTTCGTCCATTGCATGTTGTTTCTCCGTGTCGACACTCTTAAAAACGTTGTCAGTTTCTTTGTCGTGCTTGCTCACCTCGCTTTTCTTGGTTGCCTTCGCCTTGCCTCTTTTGGTTGAATTGGATTCATTGAAGTCCTCGTCACCAGAGTCTTCGTCCATCGGCTTCGGCGTATCAGTAACTTTTGGCGTTGGGGACTTCGAGCTTTGCGATGGTTTGTCCCCAGCGCCGCCGCCGTCGTCGTCGTCAAGCTGTTCTAGCACGCTTGTGGCAGGTGGTGGTTGGTTCTCGGGGCCGTCGACAAAATCCTCTTGCGTGTCAATCATTTCGTTGTCGTCAATTTGGGCCTTTGTCTTTGCGTCAGTGGGCGTCTTTGACTCGCGGTCCTCCTTATCACTATCGCCGTCGTCTTCTGAGTCCCATAGAGTGGATTTGGCAGTCTTTCGTTTTGGCGAGTTTTGCTTCAAGATCTTTGGTTTCGGCTTGTTCATGGTCTCGTCGTCACTATCTTCAAGGTCGGCATCGTCTGTGGATTTCTTTGACACAGAGAACTTGGATATGAGCTGGCTGAAGCCGTCATCGTCGCTCTCTTCTGAAGGGTCATTTTCGCGGGTTGTTATTTTTCCTTTGGGAATATCTGGCTTCGTGGATTTGGAAGGGCTGTCCTGGGGCTTGTCTAGTATAGCTTTACTCGCAACATCAAGTTCAGTTCCACTCGGTTCTTTCACTTCTTTCGACTTGTCCGTCTTTGCAGGTTTCAACTCCTCTAACTTGTCGCACCTCTCTTCGCCAGTTTTCTGTTCTGTTTTTGATTGGCCGGTCTTGGTCGATTCATTGCTACTGGGGCCGAATTCGCCGTCAGGATTGCCCAGTGTTTTGTTCGGTTTGCTATCCTTTGCGGAGATCTTGGTGGGAGCTGACACTTCATCAACTTCCGTGCTGCCTTCCTTGGACACGTCAAGCGAAACCTCTTTGGTTCCTTGACAACTTCTTGTCGACTTCTTTGTAGCAAAGCGTTTCTTTTTGTGCATCTCAGGAACAAGTTCAAGCGTGCCATTTGAACAAGCTATGTAAAGATTGTTGCTGGCCTCGTTCCAATACATGAAGGTTGGAGCAGACTGGTACTGACCCAGCTTTTCGAGAAAGTGTGCAATGGGCAATCCGTCCTAGATCAGAGCAGAGAAGTGATCATGAAGGTGAGAGACATGAACATTGCTGGCGATTTGACAACTTTTAATAATAGGTCTGTTGCACAATACCTCGTCCTCTTCCAGACGCCACAAAATGACACGCCCATCTCGTCCACTAGAAACGATCAAGTCACCTGCAGATGTCAAGGCCACGATCGTCTCGATATGCCCCTTGGAAGGGTCGGAGTTGGCAGGTTGTTTCGATTCCTGGATCACAACTTTGCCATCTTTGAGCGATGCATGCCGAAGCTGGAGGTGTGTTTGGCCAGGAAGAACCAAGACATTTGAAGACACCCACAATGGAAGACTGGATCGATCGTACACGTCTGAAAAGCCAGAGGCCTCGCCAGCATCCACCTTGGTGACACATTGTTTATCTTCCTTCGTGGCGGGGACTTTACTCTTCTCTCCGTCCAATTTTTCCAGGCTACTGGGGCTGGCTTGCCAAACACAAAGGCGTCCATCCATAGCCAAGGAAGCCATGAAATGATTGTTGCCGGTAGTAGTCACCGAAGCACCGCGAACTCCACTTGAGTTGTGAATATCTTTGCATTGAGGTCCCAAAAGACACTTGCTGGTAGTATCTTCGGATGCCACATTCACCACGCAAACCCCTTGATCAGAATCTTCCGAAGCAATGGCAAGCCAGTGGCTGTTGGGGAAAAACTTTAAATCTCGCACAGCAGCCCGCAGTGAAGGTCCCATCCAGCTCTTGTCATGTTGTTGATTGGAACCGTCATCTTCATCGCTCTCAGCGTCACTGTCATCGTCATTGGATCGGGTTTTTGGAGGAGGGATAAATGGATGAAATTTTGTGTTCTTTGGGTTGTAGTCATTGTACTGATAGACGCGGGTTTCTCCGTTGTCAAAGCCCAAAGCAACGCGCTGACCATCCGTTGACACAGCAACAGCGCGAATAGCAGCATCATAGTCTGCAGGGAACTTGCGGATACTTGTTTTACCCTTTGGAAGGACCTCGATACAAGAAAGACTGGAATAATCGTCACCGTACGCCAAAATGTTGCCACAGGGGAAGACAGTCAGGCGACGCGGAAAGACATCATCCGTGTCCAACAGGAGATCCATGGTGCTTTAGTTAATGGTTGTGGACAATCCAAAGACAGCAATCAATGTTGGTACGGTAGCGGCCTTTGTTGATAAACCTGAATGGCAATCCTTGGGGTGTGTGATGTGTGATGGAAAAATGACAAGGCGAAGGTGGAATTGGCGGCACACTGAAGGCCGGCGATCGGATGCTTGTCCAATGGCGCGAAAACAATTTGAGAACCGTGTAATTTAGACGTTTTAGTAGCTCTGCTGCTTTATAACTGAAGTGCAGCCGTCCGTGGACCAGGCAAAGCATGCTGTGCGACTGTACACTGTACCGGTACCAGGTGCCGGTACCGTTATTGGAGACTGCCGTCTGAACTTCAGAAGTGGGCACATGAGGTGGAAAAAGTTGCTTCAAAGTGTTGCCGTGTGAGCTTTGAGTGGGTGGAGGGGTGATGGTGTCTTCGATGGAAGAGACGCACAACCATGCCAACCTTTAGCCCCGCCCCCTTCACTGATCGGGAGAAAAGAAAGTTCCCAACAACCCCAAAAAGGAAGCCAAAGGTCGTAATGTGACGAAAGGCGGACAGAGCCCGCAGGATGACCGTCTGCGCTTTCTTTTTTTGTCTAACTAGCTAGTTTATCTTCTCCCTATAATCACCGTGGCTCTTGTATTCAAATTTGGTGCGGGCCTTCCTGCTTCTCAATTCGCGCTGACAGGCGGCGAGGTTCCATTTCGATCATTGTCGGTTTTGCTTGTATTGAAGAGTTGACGAGACCTGACCTGACCATCACTTTACTCAAAGGTGACACGAACCGTCACAGACACATGTTCCAGCACAGGGTCGGTGACAGTCAGCTCCTCTCCACTTTCAATCAAGGCTGAGAGAGGCTTGTCCAAGTTGGGTCGCGTGGCCTTCTCCAGTGCAGGCGGTTTTTGCATGTAGATTGTGCTGCCACCGGCGCTTGTCATGGAAGGTGCCTTCAATCGCAGGTCACCCGAGCAGAGTTGTTGAATCAATCCGTTCACGGTCATGCTCTTGGACACCGTAAGCTTCTGCACTTGGGACGAACAAACGGGGCACGCCTCGAGCTTTTCGTATATAAAAGTATGGCTGTAGACACTCTGGGTTCCCATGTACATCATGTAGCTGTTGAGAGTCTGCGAGCAAAAAGAGAGTAGCTTTACAACTTCGTTGGTGCAGGCGGCCGAGACAATGGCGTTGGTGCTGGCTACTGCTGGGATGATGTTTTTGACCACTCCCATTGTCATCATGAGCGTCACCCCTTCGATATTGTACTTTTTGGCGCGTTCTGCTGCACACTCGTAAACCCACTGCATGTCTTCTGGGGAGTCCTTGTCTAGCTTCTTATCGGGGAATTCCTTGGGCCATTGCAGGATAAATGCGTAAGCGATACAATGTTCTGGACGACGGGGGGTCTCGGCAATGGTACAGAGTGGAAACGACGTTTGCGGGGGGAAAGCACTTAGAGAGCATTCTACAAGCAAAAAATGCGTTGAGTTTTTGATTGATTGTCGAGTTCCAAAGCCATGCACATCTCAAAATCTAACGCCACCACAGCACAAACGCATCCACGTACCAAAGCAACTGCTAATTCGCGGTATGATAATACGAGCCTGTCCATTGAAACCTTCCGTTCCACCGTCCACAATCGGAATTATCGTGGATGGATCCGGATCCCCGTCACTGTCTAGTTCCACCAAGCCACAGACGGTCGCATTCAACCACCGCCGAGCTTCGATATTGTCGAGTCCAGATATGATACAATTGAATGATGCATAGAACGACGGGCCCTTGTCTTGAATTTTCCCGTGATAGGGAGTCACCTTCATCCAAGGACAACGCGTATTGATAAAGTTGGCAGCGACTTCCGCCTTGCTTTTGCCCACATCTTTCATGCGAAACAGAAATTGTCGATTCAAGTTCGTAATGTCAATGTTGTCCAGATCAATGACGTGAATATTGGAAATCCCTGACAGTGCCAGGTTCTTCAACAGCTCACAACCAAGACCTCCCGCCCCCACAACCAGCACTTTGGCCTTGCTCAAAGGGGACTCGGCGAGATCCGAAGCCACCACATTGCTGCCAATCTTCGACAGTGGTTCAAATTCGCCAATGGGAAGCTCCCCATTTTCATTTCCAAATGGAGATGCTCGAGACAGCAGCGTCATCAAATCGCGACGGGCTCCTCCGTCCGAAAAGTCAATGTCCTGATCATCCAAACGTATCCAACAAAGATTTAAAGCAAGAGCGAAGAAACAAAATCCAAATCAAACAATATCATAGCAACCACTTACCATGGACTCTCCCGTTTCTTTGGTCTCATCAATCATGTCGTCTCGCGATCGTTTCTTTTCAGGCATTGTGTCCATCGTGTGCTTCACCAAATGTTCTCTCTTGGGCATGACAACAAAAGCAACGATTGCTTCCTTTCTTCCTCCCTGTCTTTTGGCTTTTGCCCAGGAACGTCTCGAACGTTCAGTCGGAAGGACATTTTGATTTTTTAGCAAAATAAAGAAAAAAGAAGCAGAACATCGAAAACGAAAAATGCAAAACGACTGAATTCTCAATAGAATAGTCCACCGGTACCTCAACAGATCATAACGGTACGTACCGTACCGGAACCGGGTGTACTCCGGATCTCCGGATCACTAATGCTGCTGGAGGAAGCAAAGACTCTGCAGCCTTGGCAATACCGTAGGGTGCAACTTGACATGCATGTACCGAAACAGTCTAGCTAGAGCTAGAGTATTGGCAGAAATGACTACCAACACTTGCAATGGCCTTTACAGTGCCTGCTGACACAAGCAACCCCACGTTTCATGAGTATTAGCGTATGAAGAAAACCCGAGTTCACAGGAGTGAGTGAAAGGGCCATTCAAGCCAAACAATACATGTGGTATAGGTGTGCTTTATCCCTTTGGCTGCTTGTGAGAGCAAATTCAACAAAATTTACTGAGTTCAGTCTTCTTGCTGGCTGGATAGAATGAATGATGAATCATATGATTGCCGTGGAAGAGGCTGAGTGAGTTGTTTCTTGCTATTGTCTCTAGATAGATTGGTTCCTGGCGGTGGATGTTTCCCTTTGAACCCAATCTACTTGTGGTCGTGGCAGCGATCACTGCGTTTCTCTTCTTCTAAAGAGTCATTGCAACAGGTCAAATCCCAGAGCAGCCAATGATTCAGTTTGCACTCAACTTTGTTCATGACATCATAATGACATATTCTTCTACCCATACCAATACCAATACCAATACCAAGACTGTCAGTTGGCATGCGCACTACAACACTCTTCTTTCCCTGTCAAAGGCAGTATTAATTAGTTGTTCCCAAATACTAGTAGCACTTCCCACAAATGAAACCGTAGGCATACATTTACCAAAGGTATCCCACAGAGGCACCTCCACTTTATCTTGTTGTTGAGGGACAATGAAAAGTTCGAATGGATTCGATTAGATTCGTTCAGAAAATGTAATTTTACGAAAAATTTAAAGAACCTGGAATCAGGAATCCTACCAAATGTGGCTTCGCAAATCAACGTGTGTATCTTTGGGACTTTCGGCCAGGCGCGATCCGTCCAAAGTGGATCCTGAGAAAGACAGCAGCACAATGCTGCACCGACCAACCCCACAACAAAGTCTCCGCCACAGTACTCACCCGCAGCTATTATACTAGTACCTGCACTCACAACAACCCACAAAGTCCTGTAGAGCGGTAGAGTCTACTATTGTTCCATTATCCATCTTGACAGGAGCACGAGAGATACAAGAGGGCAACGATGGTGCGTAGGTAGACCGACGTAGTGTCCTTTTTGGGCTGGGAAGCCAGTATCCAATGACCCGACGTGCCACTTCACGGTATGGGTTCTTTTGCCCCAATTGGGAAATGCCCAATTCCAGTGGTCCTGTAGTGCGTCAAGAATGAGGTTATCACTACTGATGTATGCCATCAGCGTGACCCTGGGAGCATCCACGAAAAAACCGCATTGGCAGTCGAGCTTTTATCGGCATTTTGAATCTTGGCGGCTGTCGGTCGTACTCTGGCGCTTTGGTTCCCGTTGCTCAGTCGAGCTGTTGGTCACATAAATTTCGTTGTCATTCCTTGTGATTGTTGACGGGAAGAAGTTGTTACCATGGTCTGTCTGTGTTTGGGGTCTACTGTCGAAAGGAAGGCTGGATGTTTTTTTATTGGTTGATTTTTGTCTCTGCTTAATTTGGGCTGTCTTTTTCTCATCATCGTGCCATCTCCTCCTCCACCTCCAAAAATCAGGTTGTGCTTTCAGCATCCGTATGCACTAGACAGGGCAAGGCCCTCGTGTCGCGTCAATTTGTGGAAATGAATCGACTGCGTGTAGAAGGTCTTTTGGCGGCGTTTCCCAAATTGGCTGGTCACGGTGGAAAACAGCATACCTACGTGGAAACCGATAGTGTGCGATATGTCTACCAACCGCTGGAAAATCAAATCTACCTACTCTTGATTACCACCAAAACATCCAATATCGTGGAGGATTTAGGAACCCTCCGTTTGTTGGCAAAAGTTGTTCCCGATGTGGCGGGTGGCCTTCAGGAGCAGGCCATCAATGACAATGCGTTTGAATTGATTTTCGCTTTTGATGAGGTCCTTACCACCGGAGGATACAAGGAAGAAGTCTCCCTCTCCACCATTCGGGCTAATTTGTTAATGGACAGTCACGAGGAAAAAATCCACATGGCACTCAAGCAATCCAAGGAAGAACAAGCCAGGGACGAAATGCGGCGACAAGCCAAGACGATCAAAGAACGTCAAATGGCACAACTCCGAGAAGGATTCATCAAAGGAGGAACCGGGTCTGTGTCTGGTGGTATGCAAGGATTTGGAGGTGGAGGCGTACAACCCGGAGGACAAAGCTTCCTGGATGGATTTGATTCTGGATTACAGCAGCAACAGGAAGAGCAGCAACAAAATGATTTTGCCCCCTCTGGTTTTGATCCCAGCAGATTCGGAAATTCGGCAGCTCAGGTACCATCGGCTCCCAAGGTGATTGCCAAGGGCGGAATGAAGCTCGGCGGTTTGAGTGTGAAGAGGAACGACCAGGCCTTGGCAGCCATGGCAGCAGAAGACAACCTGTTGCCCTTGGGCGGGGGCAAAGCCAATCTCGGTGATGCCTTTGGACTGGGTGCCCCCGTGCAAAAGGCCGTTGCTGCTCCCTCTACTCCTTTGACATTGGTTCTGGAAGAAAAGATCACCGCTCAAATGAATCGGGAAGGTGGAGTCGAATCGTGCGAAGTGAAGGGAACCCTCACTCTTACCGCCAACACGGATGTCGGAGCCATGGCAGTTGTTAGCGTCAACAAAGCACAGATCCCGAAGGACTTCAACGTTGCCACACATCCCAAGGTCGACAAGAAGACATACGCAAAGGAAGGAAAGTTGATGCTGAAAGGAGGATCTGGGTTTCCCATCAGTCGTCCCGTTGGTATCCTTCGTTGGTCGTACGGCGGTGAGGATGCAGCTCCTCTTTCCATCAACTGTTGGCCCGAGGATGAAGGCAACGGTGCCATCAATGTCAACATTGAGATGGAGCTCACCCGAACCGATTTGGTGTTGCAAGACGTCAACATTTTGCTCCCTCTTGGAACAACAGATCCGCCAGTCATTGAAAGCATCGACGGTGTCTACAAGCATGATGCAAGGTCTGGTATGATGTGTTGGCATTTTGATCAGGTCTCCGCCGATAGCAACAGCACAGCTAGCTTGGAGTTCAGGATTGGGGGAGCAAACACCGAGGCATTTTTCCCTGTCCAAATTGGCTTCCGGTCCGAGACACTGTTGTGTCCCATCCAGATTGTCGGCGTGACCAACTCTCAAAATGGAACCGTTGTCCCCAACCAGATGACGAAGAACTTTGGCCCGGAAGTCTACCAGTGCACATAGACAACCTTTGGTCGCTTTTCCTTGCTGGTTCAGGCTGAATGACGGAGGTGCTTTTGAAATTGGATTCGATTCATTTTGATCAGCAAGGAGATCAGATGCTGCAACTTTGCGGGGTGAAATAGAATTGCTTTGTTCTGTCCATAGTGGTGTGCACTGGCTAGCTAGTTGGTTGCTTATAAAATTAGCAAGATTGTGCTCATCAAGGTTGTGGTGTACTGATAGTGGTTAGGTTGCTTGTGCTAGTTACTCGGTGCATTGGTGTGGGGGAGGAGACTAAAGTCACTTAATTCTTTCAGAAGCGTGTTCTTGCCGGGACTTATGCATCACTCACCTTAACGCCACTAAACTTCTAGATCCTCTCGCCAAGTGCTCTTTCACCCTTCACCCTTCACGCTTCACCGTCAGAACCACAACTGCAGCCACCAAATCAACACAGTTGAGACTCGACACCTTCATTCCCATCTCCTCCACTGTGTCAGGTGCTACCGCTTTTGTTCGTTCTGGACGCATCGTGATGCACCATGGGGAGCCATCGGAAGAAGACGCCGTCTTCTCAGCAGCGAAAGTCTCATCAAACTGTGTCTACCAATCAAAACTCGTCTGGCCATGCCAATGGCATTCATTCTCTGGACAATCATCATGCCGCTACATCCACGGTGGCTCCTAACGACAATAAGCAGCGATACTTTGTGGAAGAGGAAGAGGAGGATGGTTTCGACGGCACTGTCCGCGCTCTGGACTTTTCCAAGGTCCTCCAGGACGTTGAGGGTAGCTTAGTTGGAACCATGACTAGCAGCTTTGTGGCCATCACTGGCCTCCTGTCATCGACGCCCACTCCTAATAGCGGCGGTAGTTTCCGTGTGACATGGAAGGAGTTGGTGTATTTGGTCCTTGCCATTGTGGTGCTAGCGGGCTTGTCCATCTTCATGGGAGTGGCTGCCGGCATTACCATTTCGATTCACTACTTTGACGATACCCACAGGACTCCATCATTTCCTCGACTAGAAGCCCGCGAACGTGATTTGGGACCTCACCAACGTGTGACGACTCTGGATTACACCATTGCTTCCAGCAACATATTGCATCCTTCAGTAGGCATGTCGTCTCTGACGGTCGAAGAAGAGAACAAAGTTATGGACCTGACGTTGGGGCGAGTTATTACCATGTCAGAATCAGGACAACGAAGTGTGCTCTTGGTTGTGGAAGAAATTCCACCCTTGCCAACAATGATGAACAACAATACTGGAATGCATATCAACTACTCGACCTCTACCCTTCCTGTGAATGTGAGTGGCACTAACAGCACAAGTGATGCTGGTGGGCACAATGGATTCGTGGATGCAGAGAAAGAGGTGTTGCTGGGTGGCCACTACACGCCTTACCGTCACAGAGGCCCACCAGATGCTCGATTCCAGTTGAGTTCCTCCAAGGTACATCCAAAGTTATGCTCGGATGGCGTCACAATTGGTTTTGATAACTGGGACACCCTAAAAGCAGCAGTGTCGGAGGCCAATGCGCTCTCAGCAGAACGTTTCATGAAATGGAACGAGTACTTTGCATCCTTGGAAACGACAACAAACTCCGGCTCTCGGTGGTTTGACAACATTCTGAATAACGATCAATCTTCGAGCGACGATGGCTTGTTAGGATACTACTATGACGAAGACGTTGTGTTCACAATTTGCCCTGGTACTACTCTGTCGGCAAGAAAAGGACCCATCTTCATCAATGCAGAGAACATTCTGATCTTGTGCGGTGCTTCGGAAGAGTACGATTACATTCGTGCCTCTCAACCAACACCATCCTCTGTAGCATCCATGCGAGCCTCCTTTTCCAGAGAGATTCCTTCATGCACAATGGATGTTGGTGGCACTCATTTGGCCTTTGGGCCCCATGCCAGAAACGTACTGGTCCGAGGACTTGTCTTTCAATCCGCCAAGACGTCCAGTTTGGCCTTTCATTACGATGGGGCACAGGCGTCGTTTGAAGATTGCATCTGGGTCGACAACTCTGGCATTCACGGTACAAAGTACGGCGCTGTTGCGGATGTTAATAGCACCAGCAACGTCAACTTTTATCGCTGTGAAATTGGGTCCAGTCTCGCCAGTGTAGCCAATCTCGGAGGCAGTGGAATGATAGGACCTGGCAATGGCGGTAGTGGAGATGGCATTGGTGGACCATATGGTGGAATGGCCCCAGGATTTGCTTCCTTCTTGTCCCTGCGCAACTAACTAGCTACCGATATGGGTGAAAGTTCAAAGTGAATGGCTACGAGACGCGGAGACAAAGTACTAGAAGTGAAATTCATCCGACGGTTTCTTCAGGCGCGATATAGATAGACCCTTTATCGATGAACTAGATGGAATCCTGTCGATGCTACCTCATCTTGTTCGTTTTGCGCCAGTTGGACGTCTTCATTCCCAGATAAAAATCGTTCAATTGGCACGAGGCGGTGTTCGTGGTTCTGTTGTCCAGAAAAAATTCGACGATTCAGCTGCGACATCCGAAACCACCCACCCACAGGATCTCATACTACACTCACTTTGTTTCGCCAGCTGAGAGAACCGGCTACCGGTACTCCGAAACGACCCCGAGTAGCTAGGACTGCAGGAGATCTATCAATATGAGGTAGCCCTTGCATGATGGCGGGATGGTGTGACTAAATTCATGCATGCGACCTAGCTAGCTAGCTACCGTAGCGACGTCGCGGCATTCAATGCATTGTTCGGCATTCAATGCATTGTTCTCCCGGATCGACATCGATAGTAGCTGTATTGCTAGCTCTTCAACTTCAGGGTATCCATCTTCTATCTAGTACATGCACTACGGCAACTGCTAGTATAGTAGGAGAAGAATGCCGAGTCTAAACTATAAACCTTTTACAGTAGTGATTATCAATTGCTTTTTGGTTTTGTTTGCAGCGGATGCGTTTCTTTTTTGTTTACTACAGCATCCGCGTATCAACATTGCTGCAGCACAACAGGTGCGTGCTCGTCGCCATCACAGCAGTCATCGTTGACGATGGCATGGGTATGATGGTGTTGGTGAGGTTTGTGGTGTCCGCAAGCCTCCATTACCGATGTGTCTGATGCGGATGCGTTGGCATTGCGGCACTCCTTGTCACCGGGCAGACAAGGCTCCCCAAATCGATTCGGGAGAAGCTTCTTGTTGTTGTAGGGCAAGAGTACGACGCCCAGAGTTTCCTTGACCTGCTTAAAGTCGGGTCTCTCGGAAACAGTCGGAGACCAGCATTTTTTCATCAGGTCACCCATGTGATTGGGCCACGCATCCATCACTGCTGGTCGCGTTCCACGCTTGAATACCCGTTCTCGGAACATTTGAGGGGTGTAGACACCGAGCGGTGGTTCCAATTCTAGAATGTACCACATGAGCTGCGACCAACTGTAGACATCGGCCTTGAAGTTGTAAGGTTTTCGGAGGCCAACCTCCGGTGCCATATACCGAATGGCTCCGGTAAATCCAGTGAGGCGGTACAATTCCGTCCCTTTGACACGGTCCTTTTCATGGACCTCACGCGCCAGTCCAAAGTCGAATAGTTTGAGCGCACCGTGACCACAGAAACCAATGTTGTCGGGCTTGCAATCACGAAAGATGATGCCTCTGTTGTGTAGGTAGTCTAGAGCATCGGCAATGTTGTGTGCGGCGACGAGTCGCTCTACAAGCAGGTCTTCCTTCTTTCCTTTGGAGCCCACCACTGCTCCGGTGATTCCCCTACACTGTCGATGACGCCGCAGCCAATCCTGCATTCTCTTTGCCAGAGTCTCCTTTAGACGATCAAAGATAATAAAGGTGTCTCCATTGGCAGGATTGGGACTCGACATTCCTCTGATCCGCAGGATGTTGGGATGATTCAAGGAGGTCATGTACTTAACCTCCAATTCAATGTCCACAATCGCTTTCAAGTAGGCTACTTTGTCGTGGTATTGGAGTTCGTCGTTGACCTGCTTGACGACGTACTTGCTGGTTCCGTACTTTTTCTTTGTCTTGGACACATATCGGGCCAACTTTTCGCGTGGAATTCCTCCCATTTCACTGGTGGTCTCCGTGACACTATCGATTTCTGCATTGTCGTTCTCGTCGCTTTCCAACAGTGCGGCGGGGTTCAATGTCTTTTCTCGGCAGCAAAACAAGCGTTTGATGGAAGACTGCCGAGGAAGCTCGTCAATGTCGGCGGGCATCTTGATCGAGATGAGCTCTCGAACAGCACAAAAGCCGCCGCGGCCAAGAACATGACCGAGCACGAGTTCTACAGTAAGAGTAACAACAGCAACAGTGTGAGACACCAGACGACAGACAGACCAGTACCATTGTCGCGGAAGCTAGAGACCAACTCACCGTCACCGTCAAAGCGAGGGATCTTATTGATGGCAACCTCATCAAAGATGGTAGACTCTTCTGTTGCGGTGGCAACAATCTCCCTGGCTTTGTCTCGAATGGCCTGCGTCGAAGCGTTCCGCAACGACGACAGCTGAGACTTGTCTATCCGGACCATCGTTATGATTGACTAGTAAATTGGTGGTGTTTCTTTCGTATGGTTAACTTGGTACGGCTTTCTCGACCAAACTGCTGTTACAGTGCTGCTGCTCTGTACTCTAGCTAGTGCTTGCAGTAGTGGATTTTATCAATGCTTTGCGGAGAAAGTGTCGCTTTCGATTTATGAGAGAAAGAAGCTTGTTGTTGCTGTTGTTTCAGCTGGGGTTTTGGTTGCGGTGTGTTGTTGGCAGAGTTAGTTCCTGAGACTGGCTGCGTCGCGTGTGGTTGCTGCTGCTCGAAAGGCTGTTTGACCAACGCTGAAACATCCAACCAATCAAAAATCAAAGCCTCTCTTGACCCAGGAACATTTTCTCTTCCTTGAGAAGGCTTTTCTCGGTCATTACAGTGAGGCCCTTCTTTCTCGAAGTGTTTTAAAGCTCAACTTTTTAAATAGGTGCTTCCCGTCGCATCCTCCGTGGCATTACTCGGGCTTACGTATCTCTTACGTAGATTTGATCCCAGCCAATCATTTATTTGGCCTCGTCCCAGTTACTTGGTTGACCTTGCAATTGCAGGGCTGTTGCTAAACTTTTTGTATTGTATCACTGGCGCGTCCAGGATGCATCTCTTAGCCTCAATTATGCAAAACAGGGAGGTTAGGGGAAGAGTGAGATAACTGACGGTGGGAAAAGAGTGCGATCATGAGATGGTGAAACCTTAACCAACGACTACCTTTTCAGCCTCGCTGGTTGGTTCATTGTTCTTTATGCAGCACCAGGATCATGAAGGAGGCTTTCTTCCGGAAGTTTATCTTCTCTAAATTCAGGCTTTCTCCTCAAAAAGCCTTCCGATAAGTCTAATTGGTCATAGTTCGGCTGGTGATACCCTGAGAAATGCTTAGAAGAATCTTTGAATGTACTACTCGTGCTATTAGCAGTACTTCTAGCTATTAATACTACCGTACATGTAGTAGATGTACATAGTATTACTCAATGGACTTCACAGTATTAGCTGGGTACGGTGATTTGTCCCTCACAAATTTTCACTTAGGCTAAGTGTGCGCAAGTGGATTTACGCAAATCACTTAGACTGAGTGTTCTACTTAGCCTACACTTGGGCTAAGCAATACACTTAGGCTAAGTGATGCTCTCCAAGGCATCTTCTCAACAGCACAAGTTCGGCACAAGTCCCTGCAGTTGTACACACAAAACACAATATTCCTGCTGATCCTCGCCCACAATAGTATCTATATTGCCAGCATGTGCTTTGGGGCTATGCAACGAGGGAATGATAGCCACACCAAAGGTGCAACTAAAGTCCAAAAATCTCAGATGGTAGGTAAATACATGTATTTGGAAACATCGGGAACATCCAAGATGTTGCAAGAAAGCAACATCATTTGTACATACTGTCAGACTTCCACCCTTGGAACCTTAATAATTAAAAATCGTACAGAGTCTCCTGTGGCGCATGTTTTTTGTGTGCGTATTCACACCATAGCCAAGGGTGGAAAGCCAGATCAATAGTATGGATGGTATCATCCTCCAGGGAAGTTGCAACCTGGATCTAAATCTCAGTCTCAGCCCAATTGAACTCTTTCTTGTGAAATTCCTTGAGCAGTTTGCAGGAAGCCTTGCGTAAGGCGCAGTGTATGGTGGGTGATGGTTGTAGTGGAACTTGTGTTTGCACTTTGTTTACAGCAAGCAGCAGGACTTTGTGCTGAACTTGTGCTGTTGAGAAGATGCCTTGGAGAGTATCACTTAGTTTAAGTGTGCTTCGCCCAAGTGTATTGCTATTTTATGTGTTTTGCTTAGGCTAAGTGTAACACTTAGACTAAGTGGATTTACGCAGACTTAGCCTAAGTGAAAATTTGTGAGGGACAAATCACCCTATTAGTACCCATTTTATTACTGTATGGATATGGCAGTTGTGCCTGTACGGTACCAGTACCGGCAGGCCAGGAGGAAAGACACTTTCAGCTTTCAGCCTTTCAGTAAAAGCCTAAAATTTTAGAGCCAGGATGCCAAGATGAAAACAAACAGCACCGGTGTTGATTTGCACACCAATTAAATTTTGCGATGGACCTTGGAAACTGGAAAGATTTTTACAGCCTGACCGACAGCCTGAAGCTTTTTCTGTACTACATGTAGTACCGTACCGGTACATGTCGATTGTAGGTTTTTAAAAAGATTGCGGCCATTATTCGGTTATTCGTACAGTAGTACAGGTAGTCTAGCTCTCATCATGTCTCTCATTACACGAGCAAAGGATCGTTCAGAGGCTACCGTATTCACTTCAATCGAGCCCGTGGAGATAGCAGTTATCGTTGCGGCCTACCGGTACCACCGGTGTTGCAGAATGGTCGCTGTACTGTTCCGTACGGCATTGACGCATGAAACCAAAGCCTTGCAGATCGCAGCTGGCTTCCTGGTTTCCGTCAATTCTGCCGCCAGAGGAACGGGGAAAGGGTGGAGCAGAGGAGTGTCTGCAGGGCTAATTATTACATGAACATCCTTTGTACATCGTGTCGTCTACATGTACCGTACTCTAGCTGGCTACAGTAGTACTAAGGATCCGATAGGATGATGAAGGAGCAGGAGCTATTGGTTCCTATGAAATTTCCTTTCAGCCAGAGACTTGAGACCAATTGGATATTGGATGGCCACCGTGCCACAGTGCCCCAAAAGTGCAGTGGTGGCATGGTAGGCCAAATTGCCACATTCGTCATTGAGCTATCGGATACATGTAGCTTTACAGTAGTCTGCATGGCGACATCGAAGCTCGTTCCAGATTGGCTTTCAGTCACAGAAAAAGGAAAGGGGCGGCAGTACCGTACGGCAGGCAAGATGGGTTGGTTTCCGGGGCTGTGGACTTGTTTGTTGAAACGGCCTCGTTGGACACAAGCTAGAGTACCGGTAGAGGCGCAGAAAAGCTATGGCGGCTCTAGGGCATACGCACCGGTAGTCCGTATGCATCCAATCATTTGGGAATATCATCCTTTGCTTGCACCATACCGGTACTCCCTAGCTAGCAACTACTTGCAGCTCAACAGCAATGTCTTTAGGCTCTAGGCTCAAAGGAGGATAGTTATTACACTACCTGGTACCCGAGAGAACCTTTTTTGTATAGTCCCCTACGGTAGGGCCACCAGGAAAGGTGAGCTGGGTCCACATACGGTATCAGGCCGTGTGATCCCCATTCCAGCAACACTGACAAGGCAGGCATGCCAGAACCCTTCCGCCTTCAAAGGTAAACCAAATCCAGAAGTAGACTACTGTACGTTTTGAGAAGTCCACCCACCAGATTTCTTAACCGCTTCGCTGTCCTACTTCTAAGGACCCCACTCGCATTCGCCAAAGAGCAACAACAACAAAACATCCGTCGATAGCACTCACTCCTTCCAAACGTTCGTTTGCTGATCCAACTCCACCATATGGTTGCTCCGACGTTTGATCTTTGACCTGCATCGCCGTTACGATATCTTCGGCCGCTTTGATTTCCTTTCTACCCCATTTCTTCACGACAACGTTGCTCGAAAACATGTCTTCATGAATTATAAAAGCGAATACGAAGAGGAGAAGAAGGAAGTCACGGGGGACATTAGCGCGGTGGATGACGACGAGGAGAATGACAGTGGCAAGACAACTGACTCCGACGAGGAATTTGACAAGGACGAGGAGTTGGAAGAGCTCTCTCCTGAAATCCTGACATCTCTTGGTGGAAAAGACCGTCACTACAGATCCGAAGAGGAGCTGCGTACCTGGTAAGGCTCTTAATGAGGCAGGCGTCGGGGATCTCGGCCGCATTTGTTTGGTGAAGGGGAAGCCTTTTACAGAATTATGGCGGGGCCCCAACACGACAAATTCACTACCAAGTATGTCACTGACTTTGTGGATTTTAGGAGAAATATTTTGGCAAATGGGGAAACTGCAGCGGAACCCACAAGATTTTCCTGGACCCGAGCCTTGTTACCGATGACGATCCAGAGTCTCGTTATCCGGATCTAAACTATTGGGGCTACCTACCCCCGTTGCGATCCAACGTGTTCGGAGCCATTCATGGCGGACGTCATACCTGATGCGGTAATTCAGTTTAGCTGGCAGAACAAGAAGTGGTACAAAGAGAAAGCCCTCGACGACATCATGAACAAAGGCCTGGATCGAGAATGTGGTTCTTTATCTATTACTCTTCCAAGAGTGGGGTATTTGATCAAGGTTAAGTTCTCAAAACAGCAAACGCTGAATGAGGCGATCAAGGGGAACAAAACGCAAGATATGGTAGGCTTGGACATCTATCGACTGTCACACGGTACAACACTAGCCGATGCACGGGATTCGACAAACAATGATGCCCAGTTTATGGAATACACTCCAGGAGGGCCGGAGGTTTTGATTATCATCAAACCAGAAGACCTTGGGATTACTGGTTTCTATGCTCCGCTTATGTGTGGCTTGTACACGATTAAGGCCTCAAAACTCTTTTCGGATATGGACGCTTACCACAAGGTCGAGGCCTCGCAACCTAACAATCAACCATCGTGGCATACTGTGCTGCTGCTGTTGCTGCTCACAAACTCCCCTTCGAATTTCAGTTCTCTCGAATGGGATGCAATGGGACTAGCTAGTAGTAGTAACACCAATTAGAGCAAAGCATGGAGTAAAGCACCAATGACAGCCTCAGTAAGGCATCGAGTGAAGCAGTACTAGTACCGGTATTGGGTACCGGTAAAGCGCTGTGGTGATTGCTGGCGGTGCCTGAAAAGATCCCGGAAAAGTTTCAGGATCCAGCAGGATGCCAATGATGCCAGCTACAGTCGTACTAGTACCACGTAGCCTCAGACGGAACCTTCCTGCCCTAATCCTTAAGGAGCAACTGTGCGTGGGGACATGGCGCAACCACTCGTCATTCGCCAAAGCGCGCACCCTCACTCTTTGAGCCACAACAACAACAAAACAACCGTCGACCGATACTCCTTCCAAACGTTACAAGTAGTCTACCTTGGTGGTTGGTGTTGTTGGTTGGGTTGTTTCCCTGTTGATTATTTATTTGGAAGGAGTTGGTACAAGTAGTGGCACGGTATTAATTTAAAAAATGAACGAAGCAAGAGCTCATCAGCTGGCCCCCTGTCGAACAGTGGTTACCAGCTTTAATCCCCGCAAAACTCCAACCTCGGGCGACTACTTTGACGATGGTGATTGGGTGCTCTCGGTGTTGTCGTCTCCAACGTACATTAGTTGCGCACAGAGCAATGGCGAAATTCAAGTCTACGATCCTCGTCGCCTTCATGTGGTATACTCATTTCCCAGGGTGCATGACGGAATGATTACCGATTTGGTCGGGGCTCCACCGCAACAAAATGCCGATCACATCTTGGTATCTTCTGGAACCGATGGACGGGTCTGTGTATTGGATCTCCGACAACAGCAGCAACAACACGTTTCGTTCTCCTTGCCGCATTCGCACGAACAAGCTTTGAGTGTGTCCATGGGCTATGATGGCAATTTGGCGGCCGTGGGATCTAGCAAGGCCAAAATTCACTTTTTCGATTTGAGGCAAGCGTCGGCTCCCTTGGGATCCTATGTCAACAGCCACACGGATGAAGTCACTCGTGTTCGATTCCAGCATGCCCCAGAGTACAACTTTAGTGCATCCTCTACCACGAGCACTGCTGGATGTCTGTTGTCTGGTTCCGAAGATGGGCTGGCCTGTGTGTTTGACACTACCCAACCATCCGAAGAAGCAGCTCTCAAATCCGTCATGAATGCTCAAACATCACTCCGTCATGTCGGATTCTTTGGTCCCAATCTAGAAGGCGTCTACTGTCTCACGGGGTCGGAAACACTGAGCTTGTGGAACTGGGATGCAGCGCAGTGTTTGGCCGATTGCAGCGATATTCGTCAAACTCTGGGAGTCGATTATTTGACCAATGCACATTGGGACCACCGGCGCAACGAATTGGCCATTTTGGCGGGATGTGCCAATGGAGATGCCTGTCTCAGTGCCATGAATGTAACACAATCCAATCCAACCAAGTTACACACCAGTCATCGTTTGGCGGGTGGACATCGGGGCGTAGTTCGTGATTGGTGTCCCATTTCGGCAGGGTTATTGGTATCGGTGGGGGAAGATGCACGAATGTGTGAATGGAACCTGACGGGACGGCAATCGAATGCGACAGGAAAGGTAAGTGTCACACAGCAACAACAACAACAACAACAAACAGTACAACGCAGGGGATCTGGAGCGAGTCAACAACAACAGCAACAACCGGGTTCATTGGACTCGAGTCGACGAAATGGAAATGGACCCTTGCGGAGGCAGCGAAACAAACGTACAGTGAATCCGTATTGATTGGGCGGTTGGCGTGCTGGGTGGTGGAGGTTCTGGAGAAGGACGGGAATGATGCTTTGGTTGGTTTGGTGTGAGCGAGGAGGTGCTATAGAAAGTGGAAGGAACAATTTTTGGTGAAATGGATGTGTTGGGAAAGAAAGTGGTTGTTGTGGTTGCACTCGAACGACCACACAAGGCCGTGAGAGTGATTCGATTCAAACAACTTCAATTGTCTCTCGTCTGTTATTGCGATAGCTAAGAGAGGATATAATCGTGTGTTGTTATACATTGTTGGACGTGTGAGATTACGAGCTACAGTACTTTACAACCTGTGTTGTACCGTAGCAGAAGATTCGGAAAGTGATGAAGACGATGTTGAGACAGACCGCTGAGAACTTGCTTGCTCTACTTTGTTGTGCGATCTTCCAGCCATTTTTTCATTTCCCTAGCCTGATGGAACATTGTCACAGTTCTGCCTGGTTGCCACCTTGGGCATCTTCAAATTTGTCCCATAGTTCATTCCTGTGGTTCTATCGTGCGGCCATGTCATGAAATAGTACTCATGGATACGACAGGCCGCAGAGATTGGCTTGACAATTAATTGTACCTTACGATGCCCTCGTAATCCAAAAACTGGAGATTTTTCCCGGTAACTCCTTCCTCGGAGAGCCCAGCAGAAAGCAATGCGTTTGGTCCATGGCTACTATTACCGGTATCAGGATTAGCCTTGGCGCTGCTTAGTTAGGGCAGAAGCATTGGCACCAGCACCAGCGGCAACCTCAGAAGTCGAAGCCAGTCCCTGTCTCTTGGTGTTTTGGTACCAGCTCTGTGTATTGAAATGCCGACCGAGTAAGCGACCCGAAGAGGTCTCCAGCGCTTGTTTCCACCTCGGAGGGTTCATCGGTTCATCCCCTCTTTCTGGCAACGGGCTATCATTTCTTTCTCGTAAAGGATGTAACAAACCGCCAATGTTGGCCTCGCACAGTGCTGAGATACGTAGAACATCTTTCTACTGCCAGAGTCTTTCCCTTTCAATGATTTACACATTCGTAACGACACCATTTGTTGGCTAGGAAACGAATTTCGTGCTGCCCGCACTTCCCCCCGTTTGCCTGTCGACTTCTTGTCATCTAGAACAACTTTGGAGACTGATCCATAGGAGAGCTTGTCTCGCACAAAGAACCAGCTACCCCTCCTGTCTTTCTCAATATCATAGCTACCAGCGCAGTCGTGCCCAAGCAAACAAACTATTGAGCCAATATCAACAGGAGAAGTCTTATGAAAAATATTACATTGAAAGGATGATTGGCAAGATCAAAAAGGCATACCAGTAGCTGGAGGCTGTCTTCGGTAGGTAGATACAAAAAGTAAGAATTGAATCACTAACAGAGCCACATATGATGATTGATTCTGCGTGCCATTCAGTAGGGAAGAGGATCATGATTCGGTCGCCTCTGAAGCCACCCATGTTCTCTCTTGCATCACATCGGCACTATCCGAGTCACCCAGTTGTTCCGCATTGACAATGTCGTTTTTGATGGCTTCAACGAGTTTCTCCAGTCCTTCAAATGGCAATTCAGGTCTGAGATACCCCACAACCGAAAGACGGATTGGTTTGTCATAGAACTCTCCCATGAGTGTTTCTCCACAGGAAGAAGCATGCCGTCTAGTGTCTTTGGGAGGGGCAATCAAGTGTGGCTCAATGGTCTTTTCTTTGTTGTTGTAGGTTGGATTGTATCCAATAGAAACAGCCGTCTTGTATACGGTAGCACCATCACCGACCGTATCGGTATTATCTCCAATCCTGCAGAATCCCCAGTAAATGCCACAGGGCAAGTCATCAAATGTCAATTTGTGGTCGGTGCCCCCTAATACCTTGATGGCCAGTCGATCCAGATTGGCAGTGGGTATACCCAGATCGGTACTGCCTCTACCAAACCCTCTGACGACTGTGCTAGTCATTCGCAGAGGTAACATCTTTTTGATCGTCTCCGAATCAGGATGTTCGTTGTCCTTCTTTTCAGTTGATTCTTCGGAGGACATTCTTGATAGGTGATGCTTAGACAAGTGAGTGTTGGACGGTGGTATGTATCTTCTGGTTTACACCTATCCTATAAGATCAGAAATCAGAAAGCGTGGCTGAGGCAAACGCAGAATGCTGGTTCTTGGACTACAGCAGGAGAACCAAAGCGTTTAACTTGGCGTTTTGGTGTCTGGTGAAATTGGAGAGACGGCAAGGTGTAGTTACGATGGACTGTGATGGTTAGTCGATGCCGGTAGCATGGCTTCGATCTCGACAACTGCTGCAGATGATGCTTTCAAAAGATCGCGGTGAGGGGCAGTCGCGGGTTATGTGTGACTCGACTCGACTCAAATGGACACACGCTTCGGAGATGAAAATCTGTTGGGCTTGACTGGGATAGTTCGTCCGCAATAAGACCATTTGGATCCTGCGTGTAGCATTTGTTAATTTTATATTTCGAATGTTTACTAAACAATAAATCTTTTGCAGTTTAAATTTTCAGTCAAACATCAAATTACCTCTTCTACGGACAATGCTAGTGCGCGCGAAAATGAGTAAACAACGGTGTGAGAGGGAGGCCTTCGTAACGGTCGCATTTGAAGCCGTTTCATACCGGTATCCAAGAGTGGCACAAAGCTTGCACAGCGAAAACCCAACCAAGCATCACTGTTACCAAGCTACGGCAACCTTGCTGGTCTATTACAGTCAAAAGACAACAGAGAATCCTATTGGGGCGTCTTTTGTTTCGCTCATAACAGCACACTACAGGCAACAACAAACAAACAAACTCTCACGTTAACTTACTAGTATAACACAACAAGACCATTACAATGACGGATAACAAACTACGATGTGCGATGGTATACCGCTTGGACGGAGGCAGTGGAGGATCCCCCAAGGCTGTGATTTTGGCCAGCTATGACCATGCCAACCAATACGAGTCCCACGGTGGATCCGGCGGTGATCTATACGGAGGAAAGGGAGGAGATTATGCCAAGGCTGTTTCCAAGGTCATTGCCAACGATCCTCCTGGTGGTCTCGCCGAGGGAGGCAAAGTCGGTGGATTCAAGGTGGTGCAGTCGGATCAGCACCAAGTCGTTTACGGAGCGGATAAAGACGGTCTTTGTAAGATACCAGCACGATTATACTGGTTGATTGTGATTGTGCGAGATATACTGTATTGCTCATGTCATTATTGTCCTTGTTATTATCTTCCTTCCTCAGGCTACTGTGTCATTACTGGCTTGGGCTACCAATCTCGTATTGCTATCCAATTCTTGGAAGAACTCGCCTCCGAATGGTCGGCTCAGTTCGGTGCTGATGCTAAAAAGGCCGTTGAAAACTCTCTCAATAAAAAGAGTAAGAAAACTCTGACCGCCATGTGCAAGAAGTACGAAGACCCTACCAATGTCGACAAGGCTTCCAAGGTCCTCGGACAAGTAGATAAGGTCAAGGGACAAATGCAGGATAACATTGCCAATATGCTCAAGAACACTGAAGCAGCAGAATCCCTCGCAGAAAAATCCGATCAGCTCAACGAACAAGCGTCCGTGTTCAAGAAAAATTCCAAGACCTTGAAGAAACAAATGGCGTGGAAGAATCTCAAGATGACGCTTATATTGGGAGGTGTCGTCATTCTTGTCTTGATTGTTATTTTGGTGCCGTTGATTGTCAAGCTCAAGCAATTGGGAGAGTAAATTTGATCACTCTGGCGTCTGCGAGAGTAGTACCGAAAAAGGAGGCTGCGTTGGATGCTACCCACTATTCCTTCCCTATCAATCTTCCACCGTGTAGCGTTGAGCCTTCTCTTTTGCCTGTGAAACCGATTCCGCAATTACGTTGGATCCGACCCGGTGATCGATCCTACGCAACATGCATCATTCATCATTGCATACTCAAAACTAAACCTAGCATTTTTAAAGCAAGACAACAAAACCTCAAAATGTAGTAAATGGACGAATTCAATTCGTTCTCGAACGTCCCGAAGGATTTGATTGGCAATTGAGTTAGTACATCCCTCCATTACTCATGAAGATTTCACACACGTGTTCATTGCTTCGCCCTGGGTCCAAACCACTCCTATTTTTGCATGTGCCGAGGTAGATGGTTTGTCATCCTTGCTGCTTTCTTCTTGCGAGATTGCAAGCAATTTTTTTGGGATTAGCAGGAGGTTTTGGCGAAGGGGCTCCCTCACAGGCCCAAGATAGAACGCTTCTAGCTAGCAGTCGGACGCGGTTAGTTCAGTGAAGCCGACGAACGAAGTCCGAACTTACCATGGTCATTGGACGAACCATCAGCTTCCATGCCACGTGCAAGATAGATTTAAAACATTCACGAAGTAAGCAGAGGTGCCCATGCTTGGCTACATGTATCTAGTTAGCTTTGAATTCAGCTCTCAAATGTATTCTGGCCTAGCGTTTCAAGGAAGGTACTCTACTAGCTAGAGCTATTCTAGCTTATCGTTTCTTTTGCTTCTGCTTTGGCTTTCCAAAGAACAGACTGACAATGAAAGCCATGAATCCCAGGATGAACGGTATCAAGTAGTTCTTGATGAATGCAATGGCGGGGTGTGACACTTCCTGTTCCTCTTCATTGGCCTTTTGTGCTGCTGCATTGGCCGCCGCGGTTGATTCCAAAAGCTCGTCGTCGGACATATCTGCTTCATCTCTTTTCTTTTTGTTTCCTCCTTTGGACTTTTTCTTGTTCTTCTTCTTCTTTTTGCCACCACCACCTCCAGCGGTGTTACTCTGTGGATTGCTGTTGTTATTGTCATCCTTTGTATCGGCTTGCTTTTCCGGAGCGGAGGTTGGTTTCGGGACTGTCGCTGGTTGTGGCTGCTGTTCCTCCCAGTCACTTTCCTCGTCCTGGTCTGAATCATCGTCACTTTTACCAGCTTCTTTGGCCATCATGGCGGCAAACACCCCAGTTCCCTTATTCTTTCCTTTCTTCTTGTTGGGGGTGCCGCCACTGCCCCCGGCATTCTTTTGACCCGGCACGACCCACTTGTCCTGGCGAACACCACCAGTGTTGGAGCTACTAGCGCCAACTGCGGCCGCATAGGATCCCGGTGCTTTTTTGGCCTTTGGTTTTTGGTTCAATTTGGCCATGAAATGAGCCCGAATAGCCTTGACACGAGCATCAAAGGCGGCATCATCTTCAAACCAACCACGGCTGGCATCCTGCGAAACAGAACCAAAGGAGAAAGGGTCGATGTTTAGAGGAAGAGACAGACAAAGTGGTTGGGCGAGAATTACATTACAGCCCAATAGTTACTGGAAGCAATTTTTCACAAACAAACATGTATGTACATACCTCCAGATATTCGATTTCTTCCATGATTTCATCCTTTCGTGCCATTGCCTGTGTCTCCTTCACACTTAACAGCCGTCCGCGTGCCTTTTCCTCCATTTGCAACAATGGCACTGCTTCTTTCCATAACCTTGCAATTTCGATTTCATGTTTGAGTTTGTGTGGTGGTTTGGGATCAATATCTTGGAGCAACTCTTTGCGTTGAGTGGCCTTTTGTTTCATTTGCTGTAATTTTTCCAACTTCTGTCCCTTGGCTTGTTGGATTTCTTGTTTGAGTTTGTCCAAGCGTTCGGCATTGTGTTGCAAGAGTAATTCCTTTTCAAATTTGGTGACACCTCCTTCCTCTACCTGTTTGTGTAACTCGTCCTTGACATGAGCCAGTTTGTCCTCCAATCCGGTCACATTGTCGTAAAAGTTTTGTTCGGCTGCGTCAAGGGGAGTCCCTTGCATGAGTTTTCCATCCAATTCGTCGACCATTTGTTGGATGCGTTCCAGAGCGGCCTGACATCCCTTTTTCTGATTCCACGAAGTACACTTGGCCTTGAGCATGCGTTCAAAGACATTGGGGGATGCCATGGCAATTTGATGAGCCGAACATCCCTCGGGAATCAAGCAAGCCGTTGGTTGTGTCGCGTCATTACCGCCATTGTTGTTGGGACCTTGTATTTTGGGGTACACCACGACGGTTTTGAGATTTTTGGCCGTGTCGTGTTGGAGTTTAAAGCTGCCGGCACATTCGATGACACAACTGGCGGCTCGATCGTCTTCATAGCCCAAATCTCGCAATGCCGCCGTGACGGCCCGAGCCGCCCCTTCGTCGTATTTTTGCCGTGCTTGTTTTCCAGCGCCCGTGACAAAGGTAATACGGATCATTTCCTGGACGGGGAGTGGCTCGGCAAACGCCGATTGAATGGTGTTGGTGATTGTGGACACATTTTGGCCGCCCAAATCAAAGGTTTCCGATTCTTCGGCCTTGCGAATCGACAAGGCAAGGCCACTGGCGTTGGACATCTTGATCTCTTTTGAATTCTTGTGTAGATAGATGAATGATCTATCTGTTGCTTACTGTATTATCTGGTCTGGCCTCAAGGGTTTGTGGTTTAGTTTGTGAGAAACAATGGGAGACTGGCAATAAGCTCACTGACTAAGTCAACAAACATGCATGTCAACCTGCAGAATGATGGTTGCCGACGAGAAAAGATACGGGAAGAGGCATTCCCGAGCGTGACTGTGGCTTCACAACGGTATTGGATCTTGCTTTCGCCGATGTGCATCCAGTATGAACAGCACAACCTTCGATCAAAACTCGATCAGTCGAATACTTGTTGTGACTGCTGGGCATAGCCAACCATTAGCATCAGGAAACAGAGTAACGCAATAGAATACTAGCTAGTAGTCCACCATGCCAATGCACAAAAGTGCTAGTAAGGGGGCAGACAACTTCCCAAGTTTGCGAAAGTTGGTGAAAGATCGGTTGCTCAAGGATGTCTTTGAGGCAGCGGAAGGTGCGCTAATAAGACGAAGCTTTAGAGGGGATCCTTGGACATTGCTCTGGCTTGGCAACCATTCGGAAAAAGCACGACTGTTGTGTCCTACTTCTAACGCTTCCTCTTTTATATCTATTGTCTCTTTTCTGTGTTTTTAATAATGTGCTACCCTATATGCTACCCACGATAACTAACTATACCCAACAGAGAAATCTCATGGTTGGAAGATTCTGGTAGTGGATCCTGGTTCCATGGCGGTGATTTCTTCTTCCGTCGGAATGTACGATATCATGGAACGACGAATCACCATTGTGGAGTCTCTGGAAAAGAAACGAGCTCCCTTTCCCGATAAGGGAGTCATCTACCTCATGGAACCCACCGAAGACTCCATCAGCAAACTCATTGAAGATTATGCCAACAAAAAACCACTCTACGGACCCAACGTATTCCTATTCTTCTTGCAGCGACTGCCAGACCCATTGCTAGAAAAAATCAAGTACTGTCGACCTCTCGTCAAACGAGTCAAGGCACTCTCCGAAGTCAATATCGATTTCTTGGCCAAGGAAGATCGTGGATTCACATTCGACATGAGAGAATCCTTTGCACCACTCTACTCACGACAAGGAGCCAACAAATTCGAAGAAGTCATTGCCAACAAGCTCGTCACCGTCTGTGCGACTCTCAATGAATATCCACACATTCGATACAGCAAGTCGTCCAAAGTTTGTGATACCCTCGCCACGCTATTCCACAAAAAAATGGATGCCTTTCTCGCCGCAAATCCTAGTTGGTGGTATCATGGAGGCAGCAGCAAGAATGATGCACGGGCATCGCAACGAGACAGAGCTGTCTTGCTTCTATTGGATCGGGCCGACGATTGCTTGACTCCCTTGATGCATGACTTTCATTACCAGAGTATGGTCCACGACCTGCTCAAGGTAGAACGAGACCGAATCACCACACAGGCCGAAACACAGGAAGATGCCACCGAAACAGAAGCCAAGGACTTTTTGTTGGACGAAAAGGACGAATTGTGGGTCGAAATTCGTGGCAAACACATTGCCCAAGTCATTGAATTGCTCAGTGCCCGCATTCGTGAAATCATGAACTCCAACACCGGTGGCGCTTTGGGCGGCAAAAAGGGTGACGGAGAAAAGAAAATGTCCTTGACGGATATGGCGGCCGCTCTCAAGGCATTGCCGGAATACCGAGAAATCATGTCCAAATTGTCTCAGCACATGCACATTTCGCATGAATGTATGGATGTCTTCTCGGCCGAATCTTTGATGGATCTCAGTGAAATTGAACAAACCTTGGCCACGGGAATGGACGATGAAGGACGACAACCGAAAATGTCCGAAATCATTGACCGTGTCGAATTGTGTCTCCGAAAAATGAAGGACCCCAAAGCCCGGATTCGGCTCATTTTGATTGCCACCCTCAGTGCCAATGGACTCAACTACGATGATCGAAATCGGCTCTTGGGTGCTGCCGACTTTTCCCGATCGGATGGTCAGACTGTCGATAACCTCAAAGCCATGGGTGCCAAGATGGGCGGTCAGAAGAAAGAGGACAAGGCAGGTGGCGGCGGTGGTGGTTTCTTCAGGTATGTGCACACAATAGAATGATCTGTAAGGACGAGGCGAATTTGAGGGCAGCAGTCAGTTGTGGAGTCATGATCATCTGTCTGTTGCGCTTTCTGACCATTCTTCTTCTTACGCAGCTCTCTGGTTGGAGCGGACTCGGGGGATGATGATGAAGACGAGGACGGAGAGATTGCTCAAAGCCGTTTCAAGCCTGTGCTGAAGAGAATTTTGCAGGGTCTGCTGGGGGTTGGAGATCAGCCGCTGAGTTTTGAAGATTTCCCCTCTGTCGTGCCCATGCCAGAGGCCAGTTCAGGCACCGCGGCTTCTAGTGCGCGTGGGCGCAAGAAGAAACACCATGGTGGAGTGGAAGGTAGCGCTAGAAAAGGGGGAGGCAAAAAGGACTGGAACAAGGCGCACGGCGGTGCCACTTCTGGTAAGAAACCGGCACTTACATTCACTGGTGCCCGCAGTGTTGTTTTCACGGTTGGTGGAATGGCACACTCGGAGATGCGTATATGCCGAGAAATGCAGGAGCTGGAGAATCGTGAGATTATCTTTGGTTCGACTGCATTTGTCACCGCCAAGGATTTCGTTGAAGACTTGTCGACTCTTTCCTAAAGAGTCACTCTTTGGAACTCATTCACCCCAATTCACGAGTTAAGCCCTAGCGGTAGATGCGGGACGGTTCCTTCCTTTAGAAACGCTGGCTTGGTTGTTTTGCATTTTTTATTGACAGCAACGTGCACCACTCTAATCAAACAGTTGGCTCATAGAATCGAGAGATCAACTACATCGCAATACTAGCTAGTAGTTAGAAACGTGCTTGGCTGCTCTTGTCATAGAAGAAAAAAACACTCTACCGTAGTTTATTGTTTGTACAGCTGTACGAATTGGGGGGAAGCATCAAAATCTTTCCAACCAGCACAGCAGCAGCCAAGACACGGGTCTGCGACATTGTATCAAAGCTTCACCGATGCCTGCAAAATGTTGTTCAAGTAGGCGACAACTTGTCTGACAAAGACTTTCTGTCGAAAATTTAATGATCAAACCGTCAAAAGTCCACCAAAAAGAAAGCATAATCTTCGGGCTTCTTGGCACCACCAACTTTGAGCTTGTGGAGGCGCGGAATGGATCCTCTCGTATAGCATAAGATGCTGTTGGCGGCAATCCGATGCCAGGTGATTTCGGAACTGGTCTTGGTGAGCGGGTCACTGGATACAATAAATGCACACGATTTCGGATCAACGTCTTTGAGCAGTTTCCCGGGAAGAGATTGTTGAAAGCTCAAGTCTTTCTCAACGGCATCGTGGTCGTCGAGTATCTCAATTCCATGGCGACTATCGTCCGACGGAGCATCCTCGTCGTCACCGTCGTCGGCGTTTTCTTCATCACACAACTCTCGCTGCATCTGCAAAGCATCTCCATAGGCAAAGTACAGACTGGGAGGTGCCACAAGAGGGTACTTGTCAACGAATCGAGAGCAGACGACGGTCTCTCCATCGGATAGGGTGAAGTTCATGCGACTGGGCACATCGATTGCCTCCCGAATGCCACTAATGATGAGGATGTGCTCCAGTTGTCGGATGGTCCTCTTCATGGCGTTGTACAGGCGGTCATGACCAAAGGGCTCCGTTTGTTCGTAAGGTGAGATCTTGCTATATCCATCTTTGGCCAGATTGGTCAACAAAAGTCCAAAGCAGCATTCGCTGTCCGTTGTACCCATGATGCCGAGATAGGCTTCATCCGTCACTTGAGCCAAAAGCTTGCGTCGAATCTGCGAAAATCCTTGAATGGCTCCATTATGGGCAAACAACAGGCGGCCAGCCTTGAAGGGGTGGACATTTGGAGCGTAGACTCCCATCCCGGGAGATGCAGCTCTTACGTGGGCAATGACACACGCACTTTTCGTGGCATTGCAGATTTCCCGGAGATTGACATTGGACCAGGCAGGTTCCGTGTCCTTGAAAACAGCCGGGCATGTGCTGTTTTTGTGGTACCATCCAACTCCAAAGCCATCGGCATTGACTTGATGGTTGAATCGCTGTGCGAAACCAGGGTGATAACTCGCGTCGATGGCTTGTTCGACGAGGCTATTGCTTGGCTTGAGTACAAGGTCGGAAAGGAGGATTTCCTCCGTGGATAGAAACGTAATCCAACGACACATCTTCGACTTCTGCTGTTTGTTTGTATGATTTTGTGAGGGTGGCTTTGAAGCAAAAGATAGAAAGCGGAAGGGTTCATGCGGATCACAATTTTGACGGAAGCAGCGTGAAGATCGTCCCGTGTACGAGCCGATGTAAGTATACCGGCATAAGTCCGGTCGGAGTAGAGCAGGAAAATGGCAGCAATCCATGCACTATAGGACATATCGATAAATCTCGTCCATACTCTTTTTCAAGGACGGATGCAACACGTCGGGAGACTCTTCCCACAAAGCCATGACACAAGCCCAAGTCATTGCTGCTAGCAAGGGAAAGGTTTGCGGATGGTGAATTTGCAAGGAGTCACCGGATGGAGTATTGCTTTCTGCTTCGAGCCTGGCATTTCTTCTTCTCAGCATGCGCTTCCACAGCCCCACCAATACACGGCTGGCTAGGTAAAGCAGAATCTGGTGATTCAAGGATGAGTATTGACCCCAGACAAAGTAGCCGCCAACAGCACCCGCAATAAAAGCATGGTGAGTGCGTTCCGGATGACCAGGCGGCGCTGCTGCAGCAGCAGACTGTAATAGCCGACTTTCGCCCGGAAGCGGTCCATCCACTGAAACGAAAGTTGCAGGGTTGAGAACGCGTTTCTGCCATGCAGTGTTATCAGAGGCAGGAGAGCAATAATGAATCGAATCGACTGACTCACCAATCATGGATAGAATCTTTCGTCCCGCCGTCCTCCAAGCTAGATCATTATTACCCGCACTGGTGAGTAACTTTCTGGATGTTAGCTTGAGGAGTGCCAATATGGCCTTGTAGATGGTAGCAAACGCTGCCAAACTGGCTGCATGAGAATAGACCAATCGGAGGATGCTCTTGATCTTGTCCTTGCTGCTCAAGTCTCGACGAAAGAGAAACGTCATAACCAAGGCATGAGGGAGTCTTATCTTGACGCCATATCGGGCCCCTCCCACCAACGCCGATGCTATGGAGTGTAGCTCTTCCTTGACCATGGTCGACTTTAGTGCTGATCCTTGAAAAAACGTGTGATTTGCGGATGTGATGCCTAGATGGGTGATGGCTGAGAATGACGAGACGCTTATTTCCCCCATCTCCGCAACCAATGCATGACGTCATCTTAATGACCCCGCGAATGCCGTTGTCTAAAAAGACTCAAATTTGACATCGCCAAGATGACGACGATAAGCCTCTGTCTCTGCATCCACCATCGTCCTCATTCATCTTCGTATTGCACTCGCACTCGGCACCTTCGACTTCTGTGACCATTCTCAATAGAGCAAGGCCGGAGAGTCGTCGAATCAGTTTGGTTGTTTCCATCGTTGAGTGGAAAAGGCCGAACAGTCCTCATTTCGACTGGCAAGCAGCATTCACACTTACTTATCAAGAATCCTCTCATTTTCCCATTGGGAGTAGCAAACTAGAGTACGGTATACTGTAGCTAGTGAGGTCACATGCAGCTGTTGGAAATTGGCGGTGCCCATGCCTTACACATTTGGCTAGGGATTCCCATCGTTATTCGAATTTTCTTGGATGAGTACGATCCCTCTGGAAGAGTCTTTCACAGTCCACAATCGCGGAGTCTGTGCTGTGGCATTATCGTCTGTTGCATTCTGGTGACCATCCTTCGCAACCCAGCCCGTCGATTGGGTATGGACGAAGAAGAGGAAGACTTGGAAGTGCAGTTCGGAAAACGAAAACGCTCCCTGGTGTCGCAATTGGCCGAGTCGGCATCCAACACGGTCCGGTCGTCCAGCAGCGGCATGTTTCGCAACGCACTCTTTATCAGTACCTTGTTTTGGATTTCTTGGCCACTCAATGAGTCCACCAAGAACTTTGCCGTGCTGGGAGCCAACACCAATGTCTGTGATGCGGAGGATACGCAGTGCCGCATCAAGAATCACTACGGACCTCCCATTTGTTGTATCAGTCCCTCCTTTTGTGACGCGCGAGCGCACAATTGGATCTACCAACAAGGAGGAACGGCACAAGCCTACAAACCGGACGAACCCATTTCCAATCTGATTTGCAATGCCACAGAGATTGTGGAAGAGAAACAAATGAAACACAAAGTGGCCACTTGGCCTTTTTCGCGTTCGACACGGAAATCACCTCCTCTGGTCAATCTCAAACTCAACTTGATGCGATGCAGCAAAGAAGGAGATGAAGAAGATCTATCCGAAGAAAACGACAATCAGGAGGATCCAGAAACCCAACTGGACGCCACTGCTACGGATTGCTGTTGCCGACCCTTGCTAGCGAGTCAGGAAAACGCGACGATTGAAATTTGGCAAACTCGACCAGATGGAACCTATTCTTCGTTGCGGGCGGGAAGTGACGACGGTGATTGTCGTGCAAGATGGATTGCGACGGGGGAATCAGCCGTCGAGGAACAAGAACAGCAGCAACAACAACACAGCAACAACAGCAACTGCCATTGACCCAAGTGGAATTCCAGACCGTGGCCCCCGGATCCACCGGCATTATGGGAGGATTGGGACCCAATCGCCGGGAATTGGCCCCCTACGGTCCTCCCGTGTTTCATATCATGGTACGACCCGGGGTCAATGGGTTGAGTCCTCTCTTGGTGGATCTACCCGTGTCCATCGATCACAAAACCCTGGAGGAAAAACCCTTTGGATGGAGGGATTGGAGAGGGCCGGCGTGGGTCAAGCCAAAACCAGATCATCCCACTTACAACGTGACTTCCTGGGAGGCCGATACAGAAAGCAATACCGTGACCATGGCAGTCGATCTCTTTCTCTACGAAGACAAAGATTATTCCATTTCTTACACTTCCTCCACCAAGAAACTCATGTGTCCATCTCTGTTCTACGTCATGCCATCGGCTTTTTACTTGGAACCAATCTCGGTGTGTGGAAAGTACCTGCTAGACTACTTTGACTTGTAAGTAACGTAACAAACAAGCGGACGGAAAGGAAGGAGGGTTTCATTTGAAAAATAAAATGTGGGGTCAGCACCTCTTTGGGGAGGAATGAAGGCATGCCAACAGCGCGAGAGTGGTGGCGACGGCTAGATGTTATGCCGGCAGTACCAAAATGTGCATCATCCGATCATCGTTGCTAGTGCAACAGTTACTAAGACTGTTTATATCGTACGTATACAATGTATTTGTAGAATAAAGTCATGGCGTGTGAATACTGTGGGTGGTTGTGACAAGGTACGGGGATAGTATCTTTAGGGTAAGGGCTTGACTGTTCGCTACTAATGCTTTTGGGGGACGGGACCATGATATGATCTTCTTGACTCTGTAGAGTAGCTAGAGGCAAAGGAGCTGTCTCAATCTGGTAACCAAAAATTATCAATTAGATCTAGAATTTGCTAGAATGAGCCACTACAGCCCTCCATATTATAAGACTACTTTAGAAGGGACTACCATGAACCGATATTGAGGCGGGAGTAGAGGATCGACCTTCAATTGTTCAACCACATGTTTACTCATCATCGTCGTCGTCATCATCGTCGTCTTCTTCCTCTTCCTCGTCTACGGGGTCGAACTTGCTCCAGTCCATGGTCTCAAAGGTCTTGCCATGGTTGACTAAATTCCAGAGGGTTGATGTGAGCGAGCCAGTGAAAGCTTCACCCAAGACAATTCCAAGGGCTAACCAAGTGGCATAGCCTGCGGTAGAGCTTCCAAATCTGTACAGAGCCAAAAAAGAGGGTGTCTATGAGAGGATAGTTTCCAAAGGTTTGTCACAGTAAGTGCCAATACCACTTCTCATCATCGGAGGGTACGTAGAACTTCTACCAGGATCCACGTGATGACGCTCCACTTACATGTTGTACCATGCCCCAAAGAAGCCTGGTTTAGGTTCAGCCTTCGAAGTAGTGACAGAAGACAGTTGACGACTTGCCACTTCTTTTCTTCCAGCGGTCGCCCGTCGAAGAGCTGATCTTAGCAAAGCAGCCCGGAATACCATGTTGGGAGCGTTCATGGTCAACAACAAGACAATGTGTCAAGAGCCAATGTGACGATGGTGTGGCGTGTGCTGCTGCCTTTGAGAATCTTATCTGTCTGGCCGTATGTCCTGCCAACGTCACAGACCGACAGAGCTGCAAAAGTGCTTCCTGGATCGGGGGGGGGTGGGGGTGGAAAATGATACCCGGTCCAGGATACATCATATTAGTAGCTACTAATTCATATATTATATAGTATCTAGGCTAGCTCGAGTTGCAGTCCTTGTCTGCTGTTTCCACGCATCACTACTTTTCTACCGTTACATTGCTACTAATCTACTCTTTTGGCTTATTATTAATCGCTTGTTCCATCCACTCAGGTAACAAGCCATCCACTGCTCAAGTCCTGGATCACTTGTGGGATGAGATCCTTTATAAGCTCGGTGTTTTCTTCGAGAAGCCAATCGATGTCTGGTAGTACGTCCGATAAGGCTACATTCACCAGATAATCAGATGTTAACGGATCAGAATCTGAATCTGTAGGGTAGCCGTTCTCAAATGCTTCCCCAAACTGCTTCATGAAGGCACCAATCCATTCATCGAATTCTTGGTCACTTGCAGGTTGACTTTCTTCGTCTTCTTTCAACAGGCCATCGGAGCCATTACCCGACGCGAGCTCCTTCGAATCTTCCGAGACAATGGAACTCTGCTCCCCAATACTAGTAGATGATTGGGGACTCGCTTTCTGCTCGCAAGATAGTGGTTTGCAATTGCTACCGGTATCCAGCAACTCGCTTTGGTTAGTCGCGCTAGAGTCTAATCCATTCTGCTCCTGGTATTCTCGCAACGCCGCTTCGAATGACTCTTCATCAGCCTTGTTGGCATGTTCAACAAGATCGTGCATTTGCAGGCTTTCTAGCTCCTCTTTCGTCAGAAGACCCTTCGACAGCAACTCATCTGTGAAACCCCGAAGGTGGACCAATGACTCGTCCAACACTTGGTGAAATTCATCCATCTCTTGATGTTGCGCAACAAGTTTCTCGACCAAGTTCTCATCCTCCACCTTTTCATCAAAGTCTTCGAATACTTCGTTAAGAAGCGCATACTCTGTACCGGAGAGACCATCGAGAAAGTCATCAAACTCGAGCTTTGAAGATGCATCCATCGTGTCTGCTTCATCAGCAATCATGATCATCTCAACTGATTCATGGTGCTCTTCATCCTCATGCTCTTCGAAGGCCTTGTTGGTGTCCGTGATACCACAGTGCGTCATGTTTCCAGTTGTCTTGATTGATGTTGTGTGAGGACATAAGATTTATTTGTAAAGAGCTCGATTGTTTCGGGCAACCGATTTCGTTCTGAGATTTCAAAAATATCCACGAATGAAACGTCTCGGCGCCATTTCGTTTTCTGAAAGCCAAAATCAAACAACATCAAAAGAACAGGTCGGAATGGCTTCGATAGAGCTTATGGAAGAGCTCCGACAGAAGAAGACATTAACCGACCCTCCCAATTGGAGAAGGTACCTTTCAGACTTCCGACTGACCTCTATTTTCGCTTCTTGATATGCAAGGAAGTAGGGACGACTCTCCACAATTTGCAGTCTTCCGCTGACACTTCCGCCCAAATCCGATAAACAAGACGAATACAATGCCGAAGACAAAAAGAACATCGACGCGAGCAACACGGGCAATGGGGAGAGATGCAATGCAGGGTTATCGTACGAGGAAGAAACGAGCCGCGTCGAACCAGGCTCAAGAAACAGATGCCGGTTGGACTGATCGAACCGAAGCTCAACTGAAGGCAGCTGGCGGCGCTGCCAATGAAGTGATGGACATCTTAGTGGAACTGAGCATTGTGTTTCAACTTGATGAGTGTCCAAGACAGCTCGTGAAACGGCTGCTGTATCCAAGAGGAGGCGACAAGAGTGCGTTTTCATGTGCGATAGAACACTTAAAGCACGAAGGCTCGATCAAGGTTTGCGGACAAGACTTGAAACTGTCCCGCAAAGCCTGCAAATCGAAGTGCACTCGTCCAGCCACAAACGACGAGATGCATTACCGTGTACTAGTCATTCTTACCAAACAAGTGCATCCCGAGTCCCTCCCTTCTCTCGTCAAGCTGTGGACATTGCTATGCAATGGGAGTCAACACAAAGTCCAAGATCTCCGAAACCCTTCTGAAAAAGCATCGGATGACACATCATACGACAAGGGCTTTTCGCGAGCAATGGCTGCTTTAGATTCGCTTGGGTTGATCGAGAAAGTCGGAGACACCATCGGTCTAGCGGACATTGCGTTTCCGGAGGGCCGCCCAAGTTGATCACTTACTTCTACAGTACAACGCGACAAGAGAAAAAACATGAAGTCAACTTGTAGTCCAGAGAATAGATGCATTGGTCGACATTGTCGAGCCTACTAGCTAGTCAAGTAAACGCTGCCCAGTTACATTGCGAAGTGTTAAGATAACACCTCACACTCAATTACTTATTAGCAAGTCACTGGCTATCGCTATCATGAATAACTTCACCTTTTTCATTGAACTGCATATGCTTCAAAGGCGCGAAACTGCGTCTGTGTATGGGGGATGCCCCAAACTTGTGCACGGCCGCCATGTGATTCTTTGTTGGATAACCCTTGTGTTGCGCAAGGTTGTATGCTGGATACAGTTTGTCATAGCCATGCATGAGACGGTCACGCGACACCTTGGCAAGAATAGACGCTGCCGCAATGGCGTACTCTTTGGAATCACCTTTAACGATTGGCTCACATTCACAAACGAGATCTTTCGGCACTCTGTTTCCATCAATCAAGGCATAGTAAGGAGCGGTGGCCGCTGAGTTACAATGCTCTTCACTCGAATCCGTATTCGCTGTTGTCTTTTGCACCGGCTTAGTGCCGCCACAAGTGACATAAGACCCTTTCCGAGATACACAAACTGGTTGCATTGCTGCCTGATCCCATCGATTACTTGCTTCTGGGCCGTCCATGACCAGTGCTGATGCCGCCATGGACATGGCTTGCATTGTTGCTTGCAATATATTTATTTCATCAATCCTCCCAGCGTCCACCACAGCAACTGCCCAAATAACTCCAGGGCTGTTAACAATTTGTTCGTATAACTCTTCCCGTGCACTTTCACAAGTAATTTTCTTACTATCGGTGATGCCCTTGATGTTGTCGGGTACAATGGCAGCCGCCGCCACCACTGGTCCTGCCAAGGGACCACGTCCTGCTTCGTCAATGCCCATGATCCAGTTTAATTCTGGGTATTTCTTCTTGAGTGCCATTTCTCGACTTCTCGGGAGCATCACAGCTTCCTTTGACTTGGGTTTGACATTGCTTGTTGCATCAGTGGCTGGTGGCACTGCCTTGGTGTCCGCAGCTACCATCTCTACACTCCTGTTGGAACCAGGGACTCTAGAATCCTTTTCGTTCTTTTGGGTAGACACCTTCGCTCGAGCCTTTGCTGGCTTCTTGTTCGCCTTTGCTGGTTTTGGTTTTTCATTATCTGAACTGGATGAAGAATTCAGTGCCTCCAATCGGGCGCTTCGACGACGAGCTACTGTGGCCACCATACTTCGTTGACTGCCAGTGAAGGGTAATGGGACAAACGGATGGGCCACGACGCAGTTGGTGAATCTTTTGAGTTGACGGGTATCCGTTCTCCACAGCAGCGAAGAGACTCTGGCCAGACGGTTCACTCGAAAAGCCATGCAGCTGGGAAGAAGCGTGAGATGGAGGAGTATCGGCAGCAGGTGCTTCCAGCGGAGTCTCATCAAAGTCCTCCAACAGTTGAGTCAGTCAGTCCGTCAATGGATGGACAAGCCTTCTTCCGCAGATATTATTATCTCAAGCTTTCCTCTGAGCAGCATATCAACAAGAAGAGATTGCCTCGAGTGGAGTTAGTTGTGTTACTACTAGCTAGCTAGTACAGTACTTCTAAAGTCCGTACCGTACCGACAGGGGGGTTAAACTCGGCTTCCGTACATGTAGATTATTTCCCTATCCTTATCCTCGTTCCTCGTCATTGGCAATATCCTATTGCTTTGAGTGCAGGTAGACCTATGGTATGGATTTATGGCGATTGAATAAAGCAATACCAGGTACCTGGTACCGGTACCGGTACTAGCTGCAGTAGAGTAAACACAATCAACGTAAAATAATATTGCAGCATCACTTTCGCCTTGAGACGAGACACATCCAAAACCGAACAACAACACCAGCACTCTTCGACTCTGTGTTGATCCCCTCAAGACTCTGACGCATTTTCAGCAATCAAAGTTGAATCCTAATCCCCTTGTCTTTGATAGAGTGGCTGCAGAAGTATCTTTGCAAGTCTTGCTAGCCAGCAAGAAGAACAGAACCTCTTTCGTGTCACACCGTCATTGCTCCACCTTTTTTGTCGCCATATCTCACTTCAGCACATCCACGACGCACCTGCTGAAGAACATGTCTTCGTCTCAACACCACCACAATCTTCAAGAAACTAAACAACACGAGTGGCCACTGGATGTCTTTCGTCACACTTCGGGCCGAGGCTGGGAAAAGCTGGTTCCGGCGGACTCAATTCACACCCACACAACTGGCCCCAATGCCGTTGGAGTGCCCAATGAGGGTCATGTCACCATCCAGCGCTTTCGTCTCAAAATTTCTGTGATGGACAGCGAAGGAAAAGTTCTCTCAGAGGTGATACGCCGCAATGACGCTCTGTTGTTCGTCTCCAGCAATCGCCTGCGTGCCATTCTCTTAAAATTCAAAACAATCCAAGATTGCGAGCAGTTTTCCTCTCGTCTAATGGAATTGAATCCCATTGCGCCAGAAACAGCCACAACAAGCAGTGATCAACCAATGGACTGGGGCACAACCGTTTCCTCAGAGGGGATGCATTCTTCCAACGCGGATATGGAAATTGACCAACAGCTCCAGCGAAACGAGCTGCTTTCCTACATTGTTCGGCTCCAGCAGGAAGAAAGTTTCAATTCCTTCACAAACAAAATTGAACAGTTGGTGGAGGAATCAGGGCTCTGGATGATGCAGGAAGATCCTTACGATCAGTCTTCCATGGAAGTGGTCAATGATGCTACGGATAGCGCGACAAGCAGTGCCGGATTCTCGAGCGGCAGTGAGCCTGCGGTTGATGAGACCATGGCTACCGGTACCGGTACATAGAGGCCCACACAAGCTTCTTCCATTCTGGTGGGGTTTGTTTGTTGTGCAGATAGAAAAATGATAGAAAGTATGCTTGAGGGCATGGCATTGGTAGTCTTGTTTACTTTAGCTGATTTGCGCAGTTGTTGTCGCACTGTAGCATCAAATCTTTCGCTCCTCCTCTCGCGGATTGAAGGTGCAAGCCCAACCCCTGCTTGGATGCACCTCCAACGCTTTCTCCCGCATCTTACGGTAGTGCTCGCAAAACAAGCTACATAACTTCCGCCTTACTTCTCGGGAATCTGGCTTCGATAGGGGTCTGTCGTGCTATAACTCATGGTTTGTTGTGTCCGACCCCAACTTGCTCCACAAGCCAGCTAGTAACAAAGTTCTAAAGCTATAGAGGTGAAATATGAGCTAGCTAGTACCCGTTGAGCAAATGATAACTTGTCGGGTTGTGGCTGCACAAAAACATAAGTGCAACTGTGATCAGCTACAGCATCACGTACTCATCTTCGTCACTCTCTGCATCGCCTTCTTCTTCTTCATCGTCCAATAAGGATCCACCTGCCATATCACCAGTCAATCATCCATCATGGAGGATGATATCATGTTACCATTTTCATAATCAGGGCTCTTGTCGGCAAAGGAGAAGATTTCAGGCAGCCCTGGGTTGGCCTTTTTCCATGCATTCATGAGATCCTGCAAGTGTTGCAACTCTTTGGGCGACCGACAGTAAAATCCCAGCGCAATGCTCGGATCCATTCGTACCAATGGCACTGTTTCCTGGCTGGTGGTGTGCACTGATCGCAGATATGCCTCCGAAATGTCAACTACGGAAATGGACTTTCCATTGATTCGAGCCGTTCTACGGCGTGGTGCCTGTTGTACAGTATGGGGATCCAAGCCGAGAATCCTGCTGCCATCGGACCAAGCACCATAGAACCTTGTGCATTGGACAACAAGTATAAGTACAAGCGCAAGCCAAAAGAGAGAAGAAGTGATAGAATTGGGGCCTCACATGCATAATGCCACTTACCATCTAGCTCCTCGGGGTCTTCCTCCCAGCACACCAACAGAATACGGTATGGAAAAGGTAAAGGAGATGGACTTGGCATACTCCTCATTGATCCCATTCAGGCCCAACCGGAGCGGAATCAGCAGCAGCAGTCCCGTATCCCATTCCAGTTGTTGCAATGCGGCTTGTTCCTCCTGTGCTTCTTTCAATTCTTGTTCGGCACTGGCTAGTGGGTGGTCTGGTACCACCGTTTTGGAGGCATTGCTTTGTTTCTGTTTGGCAGCTTCATATACCGCGCGACTCTCCTTGGTCATGAGTTCGTGCACGGCATCATGATAGACAGATCCCTGTGCCGCCACATGAACCCGAAATAGCCGGATTGGTTTGTCTGGTACCTTAATGAGGGTAATATTGTTTATTGTTGCATTCTTGTCATCTGTGTCATTTTGTTGTTGTTGTTCTAATTGTCGCAATTGTTGTACTTGTTGCTGTTTCTTTTTCTTCCAGAGTGCAACTTGTCGTATTTCATGTGCATGTACCAAATCCCGCAACACATGACAAGCCGTGCCAGGTCCGTACCATTCTCCTGGCAAAATTTCGTACTTGGCGTGTCCCGTCGCCACCATATTGTGCAAGGAGTAGACATTATCGGATGCCGATGGAAAGTCAGCCATCCACGTCAAGAGACTGCGCAAGAATGGTTCTCGGCGTCGTTGGGAAATGGACAATCGATGGGATCTCCAGTCTCTCGACTTGAAATGCACCCGTAAGGCTTGTGCGAGCATCATTTGCGCCGATCGTAGCATGCAACCCCACCCGGCATCAGAGAAAATGTCGTAAGGAGAAATTTCTGGAAAGCCACTGCGGTAGGTCAACCAAAACAGGGACAATTCATCGTCTCGTTTTGGCTCGTATTCTCGTTCTAGATCATACCACTTTCCCAGTAGATAAATGCGGGGGTCGTCAGTAGGATCATGAATTGTGATAGTGCGGGTTGTGGTATGATGCAAGCCGTCTGTCCCATTACTAGTATTGGAGGAGGAGGGCAATGGCGAATAGGCTGCTTGGTCCAATAAGGATTCACTGTCACTTCTATCATCCTCATCACTTTCATTATCCACATCGTCTCCTTCTCCAGGTACACGACAGCAGTTCCCATCCACTTCCTCTTGATTATTGCGTGGATCATCGCAGAATTCGTACTTGTAGCCATAATCCCGTGTCACATCTTGACTATTACTTTGGCTTGGCTGCTGCAGAAATCTCACTGGATGGAGTTCGTGGTCTTCTGGTGCTTTTAGTATTTCTTCGCCAGTGCCACGAAACAGAGATTGCAGCATGGTAGTGTGCTTATTTTGGGGCAACGGAGAGTCCGAGAAATCCACGCTCAAACAACGGGCGGGTACGACAGAAATGACACCTTGCTCTTCGCTCCCACACTCGGGTCCTTTCACTAAAACTGCCACGGATTCTCGTGGAGGTATACTTGATAAGGATGATGCAGTGGAACAGGACAGTGCTACCGAGGACATGGAGAATTGATAGAATGATCTTGAATACCGGTAGACGTCAGTCACTCGGCAATGAAGCAATGACTCACAACGGCTTATTGGTGGGAGGGAAGTAGCCAGGAGACGTGGTGTAATGCATCAAGGTAAGAGGCAATCGAGCTTGGTTGCTTCGAGTTTCTTTATTGGCACAGGGAAGTATCTATAGAGTAGGTAGAGGAGTACTAGGATGTACATAGGATGGTGTGTACCAACACCTGTGTAGAAGGGCAAAGTTCGTTTGAATCATCGCTTATAAGTCTTGGATGATCCAGTGGCGACAAGTGTAAACCGGTGAGAACAGATGAGATCAAGAAGGAGCCATCGCTGAAAAGATCGACAATGAGGGTGTCCTCACTCACCTTTATGTTCTTCTACCGTTGTCGACGGATACCGACTCTGCTTCTGATAGCGTTCTCCTTGACCACGATGATATCCCACAGAGTCTGTTGGCCAGGAGCAATTGGTGGCACTCGGTTCCACTTGGGCATTTTTGTTTGGATCGCATCAAAAAAGGACTCGCGTCCCTTCTTTAAAATAAGGTTTCCGACTCCGGTAACAGCAGTAGATCGACGCGAATTGGGGATGTAGTGGTCTCCTGGTGCATCGTAGATATGGCATGCACGCTTGACTCTCTTGTCCACATCAGCGAAAGCTTCTTGGGCTGCAGCTTCATCCGTGAAACTCCTGTTAATTGCTTTGGTTCTGGTATCCGGAGACCAAAGGCAGTCAACAAGATCGAGTGCTGCCTCCACCTTTTTCAGATTCCTGCTGTCACCGTTGGTCCGAAGATTGACAATATTAGCCAGTGACCGGAGCTGCACGTTCGTTCGTAGATTCTTGAAGTCATTGTGTTGGTACAACGACACCAGAATATTTACCATTTTGCGTTCACGGTTGCGGGTACCTCTCCGTCCTGCTTCTGCCGTTGGTCCAGCTCTGATGAGTGCCTGTCGGACTGGTGTTGGTGGCCGAGGAGGTGGTGGTGGAGGACTTGGTGGTGGAGGAGGAGGCGCTGGTGGTGGAGTTTGTTGTTGTTGTGGTTGTTGAGGGTGGCGTGGAGATCTTCGTGTAGGGGTAGACAGTGTTCGAACTGATGTGGCTGTCCCAGCTGCGGATACTCTGAGATGATTCTGTACCAGCTGCGTAAGCTGAGTGATCTGCGCCTGCATATCGGTTACTGCTTGAACGACGTCTGACTGACCAGTCTTCAATTCCGCAATAGAGCTAAGAATTAAGCCATGGTTGAGCTGTTCTTGTTGTCTGCTCCGCAGTAGATCGCACACGTTGCTGGATAGCTCTTGTAGTTTGTCGGATACTGTCGCTCGAAGGAGCACTCCATTGTCATCTTTGTTGTTGTGTGCAATGTCATCCACAATTTTTTTGGACCAGTACCGGAGTTTGTTGCCTGCTTCCACCAAATCCGGAGCCAGTCCAACAGCATGCACCACCATTTTCATCCGGTGGACATACCGATGGTCAGCACCGTACTTCGATTCCATGTGGCGGTAATTCTTCACCATCACTGTTGTCACGATGTCCATGAATGGCCTTAGCCTACCATTGGGTGCAAGCTCTGGCAGGCTGTTGGGGAAGAGATCACGCTGGAAGGGAGCAAACTTGTCTCTTGGAAAGATCTTTGATTGGTCGGTGTCAGCGAAAAGAACCTCACACGTTGGAATGTATGGAAGTTGTCGTGGATCTGGGTAGCCAGCCAGAGCCAGTGCACCTGGAATGACCGCCACCAAATACTGCCACACATACCAGTCTCGACTTGCTTTCGTGCTCCAACCTCCAAGTGCAATGCACTCTTCGTACGTCACAGTGGGAAGCCATGCGAGACGGGACATCGCACCAGCACGAAGACTCTTCACGGTGTAGTATGATTGGATGTTGTGGTGGATGCATGCGCGAATGATCTTGGTAATCTTCTCAGCCACCGAGCTATCCTGTGTCTCATGCAACTCATGGAACACGAATTTTGACCTGCGGTAGAGTGGAGAGCCAGGTGAGGCCATCATTGCGGCCGGTCTGACCAATCCGTTGTCCAGTGACCAAAACAACCCAAAAGCAAACAACACGCACAGCTCCGGATGCTCAAAATCCTGGACGAATGCCGATGGGCTGGTCTTGAGTTCCTTCCTCTGAAACCATTGGAAGAATGTCATTCCAAAATAACAATCCCAGAACATCTTGTCATAGCTCAAAAATTTGGATTCGCCGCCCCTTCCAACTGCGTTGTTTGTTATCAGTACCAACAGTAGTTCGTTGATCTGTCCTGTACGTAGAAGTTTTGTGGCCACCCGGAGCAGGTCAACGCTCCGTGCCTGCTGCTGATGCGCCGGATTTGAAAAATCATGGAGGGGCAATAGCTTTGTTCTCTGTGAATGCTCTCGGGGGATGGGGTAGTAGTCGCGTAGGATGGCATCGTCGTCCCTTCCCTGCATGAGGGTCCTGCCATGGCGATCGGTGAAGGTTTTCTTCAGCGCATTAACATCTCCAGGAGGGAAAAGTGGGAAATTCAGAAATTGTGGAGACCGGCCATACTTTGTTCTAAGTGCCTTGCACAACGCCTCTATGTACTTGCATAATGCTGAGGCCGCCATGGGCTTGTTGGTTCTCTGGCCGACAGGAGGGTCCTGACCGATTCGAGTACAAAAATCACTCATTAGATTCAGCCCATTGTCACCAACTAAATCCTCCACAGAAATTGTTGCGAATTTTGTTGGATCCATTACTTTGTCAAATAGCTGGATGGCAGGGGCCTCACTTGGGTTGGGACGATGCCCTCCAGAGTTGCGCTGCCAGGTAGTAGTGGTCGGCATGGTGCTACAGCTTACTTCTTCGTCATTGTGGGTGTGCCGAATGAAAATAAAGCTATCCACGCTGATATAATGGCTTGTGAGCAGTCGCGAGTGTCAGACCAATCCAGTCGGGGCATCCGTTGGTGCTGACTCAGTCGCCAGAATTCGTTTCTTCGAAACATGTCTACACCCGCGCGAGATCAGAGATTTATGCAGGAAACAGTAAGAAACCCGTTGAGATTTAAATGCCACCACTCAGTTACTTAGAGCCAAGAATCGCAAATATCACAATATCACCCCCACAAGCCCCGACCAACAACAACAACAACAACAGAGCGACCATGACGATGAGATACCATCAAAGACCATCAGTAACATTAACACTTAGTCTATTACTACTACTATTACCACTATTACCACCATTACTACTAGTCGATCGGACCTCCGGTGGTGGTCGGAATGTGTCTCGAGCGCCATGGTCTTGTTGTTCTTCTGTTGTTGTTGTTGGTCTCCCCCTCCTCTTCCCCTCTTCGTTACTAGGCCGCTGCGCGGCCCCCCTCCTCCTGCCCCCAGGACGATACTTCGCGCTTCGCGCGATACTAGGGTGTTTCTTTCTTGAAGTGCAAATGAATACATTCTGTGAATTGGGAGGTGGGAGCCATCAATGATGCTTCGTGATTGTTGTTCTTTCGTGTTTGAACGCTTCGTGGAACGTGGAAAATGAGCTCGGGGTTCACGAGCTGAACGATGTGAGGAATGCAGCCATTGTTTGGAAAAGTAGCGTCAACGACTGCCCGAACCGGTACCGGTACAAGCTAGTAGGTCCCAGCCAAAGTGCATAGCCAATACCATGTTGTCGCAAAAAGAGCTCTACATTTCGCTACTACTGTACTACTAGTAGTACTTTGCCGCTGACGGGATCGTTGGACGCGTCAAGAGCACTGTCGAGTCTTGGGCCACAACCCAGGGGGCGTCGTACAAAACCGAAGCAAGAATGACATCCACTACGGAAACATCAGTTCTACCGCAAGGAGTAAATGAGCAGTCGGAGGTTCCCTGAAAGGAAACAATGGACGAGCCACTTTGGAGGATGATCTCATATGCAGAAAGTGTCCAAGGTGCGTCCGCCTCAAGGAGATGGGGTAGGCAACAACGCAGGGCCTGACAAAGAGGCAGCTTCTGTATCTTGACGGAAACTCAGGTGTGCGTTGCGCGACACCTGAGTTTGAAGTCCTTCTATAAGTGCATCTGATTGAGAGTATTTCTGGTAAGCTTGCCACTCTCAACCACATACGGTGGGTACCGTGCAGCAGGCACATCACGCACCGGAACCATCCCAACCACAGTCGCAACTCGATCCTTTTGCAGATGTTGAGCTCCAGGTCGATGCTGCCTTCTGTTAGGTGTCGTTGTTCGTCGGGTATTGAGCAGCTGGTGGGCATGTTGCCTTCACAACTCTTTCGTTGGATGGCGTGCGTTCATGGGTGCAAATGGCCAGGGCCAACATGGTAATGAACCTCTTTGCGATACACAGCAATGGTTCTTCTGAAAGGGAGCAAGAGGGAACAGCATTGACCTGGGGTGTATTTCCGAACAGGCCAGCCAACAGATCGGTCTCGACTGGTTGCACCACCCGACTAGACAGGCCGATTGGGCCCTGCGGCACCGGAGAACAACTTCCTTGCTGGGCACAGGTACACCATAGGCAACAAAAAGTTGAACTCTAGGTAGCTAGCTCGCTAGCTAGGTAGGGATTGGAAGACGTAAGTAAAATCGGAAAGATTGTAACAAGGGGGCTGCTCCCTGTAAATTTTACTCGCCCACAAGCACGTACCGCTAGCTATGTCTACCACTGCTCGAAAGTACCACGGTAGCTAGCTAGTGGGAGCTCGAGTGTTGACCCCGAGCGATGCAAACAAGGACTGCTGACTGGGCCAGAATCCGTTTGTTTGCACAGACACACAAAAAAAGGACTGCAGCAAGCTAGCGAGAAGACCTGTCAAAATCCTGTTCAAAAGAACGCCTCGATCATCAGGTCACTACATACGATCTCGTTCATGAATCTTCCTCTTTTAAATAGTATACCCGATGGTGTCAGCACCAACGGTATTATGAACTAGCTACTCTCAAAGCTTATTTCAAGTGGACAATGTGCCCTTCAGCTGCAACCAAAACATCACGGGTTGCAATAACATCGAAGATGCAGTCCTCCATATCCTCCTTCCAGTGGGAACAAGCCTTCTCTGCTTGCTTGCGCATGCTCTCAGTTCCAAGGCGGTTGCCCAAGTGCTTCTTAGGTGCCATACACTTAGCTGGGAATTGAGGAGCACGGGCTTCAGAGAAGAGCATGGGCTCTGTGTCACGAACTTGCCATTCCTCAGCAAAGAGAGTGGCATCTTCATGGTCCAGAACAGTAACACCATCACGAGCAAACTTGGTACCAGTCTTCCAGTCTCCCAACAGACCCAAGCTGTGCTCGAAGATGGCTGTGTCACCACCATCAACGATGACAGCAGGGAATCCGTTCTTGCGTGTGTGAAGATCGATCTTGGCGACATTGTGGCTGTGTCGGCCCTCGTCATGGAGACGGATACTGATAGCCTTGCTGTCACGGCGGACAATGAATCCTCCCAAATGAGTCTTGTGGTGCTTGCGGTTGTGTTCAACAGGCAATCCGTTGATCAAGAAGGTCTCGACATCGTTCTCGAACTCGAGGACATCAGTTCCGATCTGGACAGCGATCTTGGAGATGTAGCTGAAGTACTTGACACGAGTGGTTCGGATGTGGATCTTGAGGCCTTGGTTGTCATTGAACTTGGGGTTGTCGACCAAGACAAGATCACACTCTCCATGGTAGTCGAACTTGTCTCCAGTCCAGGTCTTGAAGTGAGGATCTCCACTGCCACTTCCGGGTGTTGGCTTGTTGTAGCCAGTGGTGGGGCCGCTTCTCTCGTTGCTTGGGGTTGTGGGAGCCTTGGTGGGGGGTGTGGTGGGGGCCGCACAGTTACAGAGGCCTGGGACAGTGTGGACGTTCATCTCGGAGATGATGGTCTGGTTGGTAATGACCTCACCCTCGTCGATGACCATGACAAGAGGGATTTGTTCATTGGGGTCAGAACAGTCAAGAGTGTATCCATTACCCTCAGCAATGGCTCGGTCACGGACCCATCGGGCAACACACTCATGTCGGTAGGTCTCATAATCGGTACCGGTACCGTTGATGTTATCAACAAGACCCCAGATACCTCCTTGGATTTCGAGCCAGTTGACAGTTCCAGTACATTGTTCTCCTTGGACCACTTCATCGACAGTGTCTCCAATGGCAATGTTGTTGATCAACCATGCCAAGTTGGGGAGCATGTCGTGCTTGTCCAAAGCAGCGGCGGGGATGGCATCGAGGCAAAACTGAAGATATCAACATCCCAGTCTTGGGTACCGATGAGACGGTCCCAGTCAATGCACCATCCATCAGTGAAAGTTTTACCTCCGTACTGGGGATCATCAAGGGTGATGTTGAAGTGAGCCTTCTCTGCATAGGGGAACATCTCAACGTGGATGCCAACCTCAGCGGGAGAAGTGGCAACGTCGTGGTCGACCACCCAGTCGTACTCACACTCCACGGTAGGAGCAGCAGTCTCTGGGGTCTCTGGTTCGCTTCCACACTCGTCACAGACATAGCAGAACTCGATGTGGCTGATTCCCTTGGATTGACCGACATCAAGGTAGTAAGTGGTACCAGCAGTCAAGGTGTAGACGGCTCCTCCGTTTCCTCCCTTCATGATGACGTAGGAATCAGTGGTGGCAGTGTATTCGACGTCTGTTTCACCACCATCGTCGATGCACTTGGTGGTGAAGGTTCCAGAGGGAGTAGTGCCAGAAGCGCAGTCACCCTGTGTCTTGGCGTACTTGATGGAGCTGTCTTCGGTGCCAAAGGGATGGTCGGTGGCATCAAAGCATCGCTCATCCATCTTGTATCCATAGGCAAATCCCAAGTCTTGGCAGTTGGGATTACCCCTGTAGGAATTGACTTTGTAGGTAGCTCCGAAGGTGGTGTAGTCGTCCGTGAAGATATCGGGGGCGTTGTTACATTCCTCAAGCTTGCGCGGTTGCTTCTTGGTTGCTTGGGTACGGAAAGCCTCAGCGGATCCGACCAGGGCAAGGGAAAGAAGGGCGGAATACTTCATTTTTGGTATAGGTGTAGTTGTGGTGGTTGTTGTACACGAAAAAGGATAATGTTGTTTGGAGAAACAAATTATGAGCCATCCTTGATATCGTTGCTTTGCTTTCTTTGCTTCGTTTGCATGGTGGCGACAGCCGACCGCGGTGGTGACGAGAGAAAATCCAAGACCAAAGGCATCGAGCGTAGCCGAGTGACTCAGTCATTCAGTGTACAGTACTGGTGTACTGGGTATCAAAATTACGATCATCATTGTTAACAAACCGCTATGTGCCGGTACAAATGGTCATTTGATAGCACCAACAGTGTCACTCGGGTCTTGATATCTAAATATTTGATCAAACAGTCATACTGGTATTGGTTGCGAATGACCAACCTTAACAAACTAACACGCCCTACAGGTTTCTACACAAAGCAATCCCATTTACGGCGACGAGCATCTTCTTTCATGCGGGAACCACTACAGCAGCTAGCTACTGTAGGTAGAGTACAGTACTGTAGTACCCATAGCTACAAGCTACAAGTACAGATTACAGTACTTTCAGATGACTGCAAACCGACGCAATGCATGCAATAAGAGACCCTCAAGGTTTCAGCTGGCACCTGTCACGTCCACACTAAAGACACTACTGCAAGGTCCGGAAACCCCATGATGTTTTGAAATTTTTGAAACAGTTTTAGTTTCTCATTTTTAGTTTTAGTTTCTCATTTTTAGTTTCTCAATTTGAGAAACTCATTTATCAGTTTTAGTTTCTCATTTGATAAAATAGTTTCTCATTTCTGGCAGAAATCACAACACATGTACTAGCAGTTTCAATATATAGTTTCTCATTTCAAAGATAGTTTCTCATTTCAACCAAATGAGAAACTAACTTTCTCATTTCAGAACTTAGTTTCTCAAATGAGAAACTACTTTCTCATTTGAGAAACTGTCAAAAAAGGATTGCAGTCTGGTTCCCGACCTTGCTGAACCCTACGAGCCAACGAGGTGACTGCCTCCACCAAACCGCAACGGATCATCAAAGGATTAGAAAGGAGAAAGGATGTGATTTCAAGTTGCTTAGCCGGCTGGAATCCTGCTCCCTCCCCACTCCGACAGCACCGGCTCCAGCAGCTATGCTAGCTAGCTACAGGTTCCCCTCCGACCTCCCGACCAGAACCCTCATGGCCGGAGCCATATGCCATACTAGTCGGTACCTACCTAATGCTATTGCATACTAGTACCTTTCTACTGGCTCTAGCTAGCAGCGATCCAGCGATAAGCGACATTGCGAGGTGCGGGAGGGTACCGACGCGATGACGCGATGCTGGTGCGCAAAACTGTAGGAGCGTGATCAGAGCAAGCCTCATATCCAAGCAAGTAACTCGTTTTCTGCTTTTCTGCAGAGGTGCACTTGCATCGAGTCCTCTCCGCCTGTGCGGACCATGGGAAGGAAAACCCGAATCCTCTCGGGGAAGAGATCCGAAACTGGTTGGAGTGGCGGATATGTATTGTACATGTATGTCGCCAGCAAGCTTTTATTAGGGCAAAGTACTGTATCGCGCTATCGCGCTATCGCTTTACAAGTAGAAAAAGAAGTCCTTGCTCGTTTCTTTCAAGCTGATCAAACGTTTCCGTCCTGTGCTGACCGTTCAGGCCATTTCCAGGGCGGAGATTGCATTGGACATATGCGTATACGGTAGCGGTGGCTGGGGGAAGCTACCACAGATTGGAGATTGAGCCTCCTCGGTTTGCCATTGAGGTGATCTTGGATCTAATCTAAAACCTTTTTGACCTTGGGTGGTGCGAATGGCAGGCCAACATCAGCAAGATAGTACTTCAAGACAGGAGGCTTCTGCATCAAAAAAGATTCGATTCCTTGGCGGCTAGCTAGTAGGATACAGTACATGTAACATTGGTGGCTCAAACCCCTCCTCAGTTTGTCCACCCAAGGAATCTTTGATAGCATCCAATCAAAGGTTCAAAGTCCGCAAGTGTCGAAAAGATTTGGAGCTCCAACCTGTTGAAGTTGGTGGCCGCCTGGCGGTATTCCTTTTACGAAACAGTATCTTTCTCATGTTTAATGCATTAGGTGTCTAGACACTTCAGCCTGTGTTCTTGATCCCACATTGACGAAGCTGATTGGTCAGTGGCTTTTGCAATTGCATTGGGATGTGCTCCCATGAAGCCTTCCTTCACCACTCAATAGCTTTTGCGAATCTTGGAAAAAGGTTCAGTACCGTAGGAGCTTTGTATTGTACGCTAGATGCTATGGTAGCAGGCCAGCTTATTACAATGTACATTACTGTCGTAGTGTTCCGCAAAAGGCAAGGGGCCAAGAGGCAAGGCATCCTCCTTGTAGATGACCTGCCGGCTTCTGGAGTCTTCGGGTCTTCTCGGCTTTGGTGTCAAGTGTCAAGTGTCAAAAGCTTGTCAAGCCAAGCTCAAGTCAAGTCGTCAGAGCCAGGTACTCAGTACATCACCAGCCATACTCTAGACTATCGGGTGGACGGGAAAGCCTTTATCATCTCTGGAGAACAGTCCTCGAGCACTCCAGAAGAAAGTTAGGCCCAATGTTGATAAAAATGAGAATCATACTATCGTCAAAATAGTACAAAAAGAACAGAGCATCGCGGAACACGATTCGATTCATCATTCACAGTTCCGCTTCGCACTGACACAGCCACATCAAGACCAACAGGCCAACCAGAATCAAACCGACTCTTCGCTCTTCCGATCCACTCATCATCAACACCATTGAAACATCCAGACTACCGCAGTGCCAATAGACCATCTAAAAGCTCTAACACCTGTCAAGTCAATCAAGCAGGCACGCAAGAAAAAGGCGAAAAAGAGTGTCAAGGAGCACAAATCTCTGTCATTTCATTGGCAACACGTACCGCAATACTGCAATGATGGCGAGCGACGGAATTGATCGAATGCATCAACCATCCACAGGCACAAGGGCCAATGAAGGAGCGACACCAGCACCAGTCCCGACAACAACCTTTTTGAAGAGAACCGCAGCAGCAACGACACCAGCAGTCTCCACTACAGACAGCTATCGAGTGATTTTTCCAAAACGAGAAGGACTTGACTGTGGCAATCAATATTCAGCAGTTCATCAACCCCGCTATCTCATTCCACCCCACAGCGACGCTGCTGCCGTGTTGATGGGCAATGCGATGTCAGATGGCCAGGAGCGCAATCAACAGACACAAAATCAAGCTCCGCGACACAGATATCCTCATCATCAAACAAGAACCGTGAACAACTCCAATTCTGAATTGCCACTTCCAGCACAGCCGCCGGCGCCACGGTCCAACTTGTCCGCTCTCCTGGAGAATCAACAACCACGGCAGCAGCAACAACAACAAACCAATGCCGCCCAATCGCCAGCAGCAACATTTCCGGTATCAGAAGAGCTATGTACGTGCAACCAAGCATCGTCGCCGTCCACAGACTCCAAACACGGAGAAGCCGATTCTGCCTCTGGACCAGCACCGCCGCCACCAGCACCACCACTTCCCAGCGTCCCGTTGGGAAGATCGGCTCCCGCTATCGTCACGAACGTGCCTTCCAACCGACGGCGGTATTCAGCTGGAGCAATGCTGGGGACTCCTCCCATGGCCCTCCACAAGGAATGTGTCTGTGGCGCTGAGGAGGCAGCAGCAACAGAATTCGAGCAACGTGTACAACAGAATGCAGATGTCCTTACAAATCCTGATGTACCATCCAGCGGCAGAGTGAGAAGGTAGGATTCACAGTACCGGTAGCCCCGAGTTAAGCAGGTATCCAAACCATCTCCTCACCTGATGTTCCCTCCTTTTCTCTCTTCCGTGCAGCTGCCTCTCCAGCAAGGAGCTGGGAATGCTAGCCCCTCCTTCAGGGTCTCCCTATGTAGCAATGCTGAGTCAAAGAGAATTGCTAGAGAATGCAATGACAGAAAAGTGGAGCGAAAAGCGTGATTGCTTGCACCTCGAAGTCACACCATCCACTTCCCCTGTCCCGGACAAGGCGCCCATTCACAACCTAGCGGTCGGAAGCAGTAGCAACGATATCTCAACATCGTCGTCGCAACAGAGCGGCAGTAGTGCATCGCGAAAGGCGGGAGCCAATGAGAACCGCAATCGACGTCGTGCAGCTCACAACCGAGCAGTGGTCGAAGAACTTTGTGAGATTGTAGCAGACCTCTTCGTGGCGGAGTCCAAGCTGATCAAACCATCCAACTATGGTGTATCACGTTCTTTGGAAAGAGGGAACGTCCTTAAGAGTATCCAAAAGTTCGTCGCAGCCTTGCCAACCAGGTACGCACTTGGTGCCGACACGCCGTCAGAAGTGTTGCTTCACATGCGTCTGATGGCAGTGGCACGGTCCGACCCAGTCAAATGCGTTGTGCATATTATCAATCTAGACAACGACTCCTACTGGACCGGCAATGGAGTGCATGGCAGTAAAGGTGCACAGCGAAACTTGAGGCTCGTTACCATTGCTTGTTCGGATGCGTTGGGCCTTCTCGAGTACATTACCAAGCTTTTGGGAACCGGAGGATCCCGAGGTACGTGCTTTCGACTGCTTGGGGTTTGCATAGATCTTGTTGTGCCACGCCACTTCTTACTCTGCGTTGCTTTGTATTCTGTGTTGTGCAGTGTTGGACGCCGATGTTATGTTGAGTTCAGACCGCATTGTGTTGGACCGCTTCGTTGTGGAAATGAACGGAAGGCTGCGTCTAGACAAGCTCGCCAATCTCATTGAAGCCTTCCTCAAGAAGGCACGAGCAAAGGTAGAGCATGATCGAGAGCATCAAGAAGACTGCAGCTGCCAAGATAGTTCTCAGGAAACCCAATCGGTCATGGCTTCTGGCCCGTTGTACTTCAACCCCACAAAGCACCAGTCGAGCAACAATCTTGTGCGAAGAGATGTCCGAGCAGAAATCCAGGGCGCAGTTCCACTTACAGAAGTACTCGCCACCCCAAACCAACACGACGTCAGGCTGGATCCTCAGTTCGAGACTCTGAAAAGACATTTCAGCATGCCCAATGAGCTGGCATGTCGTTCGTTGCGTGGGCAACATCTGCAGAATCCGGGTATCTTCACTCCTAGCCTATCGGGTATCCACCGTAGCAATCAGTCACCCGTGCAGAATGTCAACCTCCTACCTCGACCAGCTGAGGCATCCTTTGATGCCATTAGCGACCCCGCCATGAGCGGAATTGCCATCGAAACAGTGCCTGACAGCCAGAGCATGCGCCAAAAGAGACCACTTGTCAATCGCCATGGCAGTTCGGATCTGGACAGAATTGGGCTGGAAGGCGACTCCGAGTCCGTAGCTGATTTCGTCACTGTCCCATCCCAGGAAGGAAACAACAGTCGCGTGGTGGAAGCTCGAGTTGTGCCGTTGATCCCCTTTGACGAACTGATGCTCATAGAAAACATTGGCATGGGTCGGGTTTCCACGATCTACCGAGCGGCGTGGCAGAATCCAATGGTGGTTCAGATGGTAGCTTTGAAGGTTGCCATGGTGAACCCCGAGACGAGAGACATGGCACATGTCGACGAGTTGCGTCGTGAAGCCGACATTGCGGCTCGCATCCAGCACCCCAATGTCTGTGAGCTGGTGGGCGTGGCGGCAGATGCCGAGTAAGTTGCGGGCACAAGCCTTCGTAGTTACCGCGTTCCGTTTGTGTCCATATCTAACCTTTCTCACGTCCTTTGCTTTGTCAGATGCTTCTGCCTGGCGTACGACTATTGTGAAGGAGGCTCTGTGTTGTCCTTGCTTTCAGACACATCACGATACTACGAGTACTTGCCCATTGCCCTTGACGTGGCCAACGGCATGGCACATCTACATTCCCGCGACATCATTCATAGAGACCTGGTGAGTTCGGGTCCGCGAGCTCAAGTGTTGCATGGGCTGTTGGCTCAGTCGTTGAGCTCACAAACTGTCTCATTGTTCCCCAACGCAGAAACCAAGCAACATCCTCCTCACTCGAGATCAGCGAGCCAAGATTGCAGATTTCGGAATGAGCGTTGCCAATGCAGGTCAGGAACTCACTGCCGAGACCGGAACGTACAGGTACATGGCTCCCGAGGTGATCCGCCACGAATCTTATTCCAGCAACGCCGACGTCTACAGTTTTGGCATCTTCCTGTGGCAGCTCATAACACGTCAAGTCCCCTTTGCTTCCATGACTCCTGTTCAGGCTGCCTATGCGGTTGCCGAGGGTCGACGACCGGAAATCCCGCCGTCAACTCCCCCACGCCTCAAGGAGATCATCGAGGCATGCTGGAACCAGGACAGTCACCAGCGTCCCTCTTTCACGTACATTGCCATGGCTTTGGCCGACTATGCCAAGCTCTCATTTTCTCCCGCCAGTGTGGGCGCACAGACTCTTCAAATTGCCAATGACATGTTGGCCACTGTGGAGGGCAACTCCAATATCAACGTTGACTTCACCGCACCAGTTCCAGACCCATACATTCTGAACCTCGACGAGAATGTTGGGTTGGAGATTTGATGAAAAGCCTCTGCACGTGCATTGCTCGCCCTCCTTGCCGTTCTGCGGTCTGTCATTAGTGATTCGTGATCCTTCTCGCAAAGCTCACGATTCTTACTACCCCATCAATAATGTTACCAGTAGTGGTATACTATAGAGATACTATATACATGCATTTGCACTGGTCTTCTATTCATTAGGTAGGTGTAATTAGATTGCTACCGTAGCTACTGGATGGAATTGAATTGAAGGGATGTAGGTTAGTTGGAGCTGAAACTGAATTGCACTTTGATCTACTAAAGGAGCACAGAACAAGAAGCTAACATTGCTTCTTCTTCCTGCAATGGATTAGCTACACGTTTGGTCGCATGGCCAGAGACAAGTACCGCACGAGGCAACCAGAAGTGTGGCATGGTGGGTCGACTCGACTCGACTCTGTCAAATATTTAGTACTCTCACTTTTTGCTGCATTTGATAAAATATGCTATTGTCGTTTTCGTTCTACAACTAGCAGAACGGGCCTCCCCTCGGGGTCCATACGATTGCTTCCAATGGCATCCATGACTTCTTCAAATGGCCTTTGGTCCACAACATACATCATTCGTTTGGTCTTGGGGACACCAATTCCACCCGCCAAAAGTTGCCAAGTGGGTGCTTCCATGTTCATTTCACAAGCTGTGCACGCCCTTAGAATGTCGCCCACTTGGACGCCTGCCATTTCAGCATTGCCACCCTCTGCCACTTGATCCACGACAGTGGTTCCCACAAGTTCTCCCTCTTCCAAAATCAAGCCCAGTGGCAGTGATCCTTCCAAGACGACAATTTCGGAATCTTGCTTTTGGGAAACTGGACGAAATTCTACCTTCTCTTCCATGGTAGAACCGTCTGGTTTGAGGATGGGCACAATGGCGCTATAGAAATCTTTGGCTTTTTGTTTGGCTTGTTTCTCTTCAATCCGAGCTTGTCGTTCGGCTTGTTCAACTTGATCCTTTTCTTGTTGAAACGCATCGATTTCCTCCCGTAGTTTCCGCGCTTGGTCTTGTAATTCTTGGGCGGCATCCTCGCCGGCAGCAGCTTGAAGTCTGCATCTTTTGGAAACCACAGGAGAAATGGCGTTGTTTTGCAGGATCCAACCTTCCGCCATGAAGGGGCACAACAAGAGTGCCATCAAAGAGCCAAAACAGCGGATGCTTCTACTATTCATCGTGCCTATCCTTCCAACCAAAGTTATTGGTAGGTGAAAACACAGAGAATAAGCTTTTGGGATTTTCGCTTTGAGAGGTTTGGGGGCTTTCTTGTGGGTGACGTCATCGAAAAGATACCGGTACAATATGCAGCTAAGCAGGCTTCTAGCAAAATTTCGCAAAGTGTCAAACAATAATTCTGAGGATCCAATTCTCATCCTCGTCCTCCACAGCTGGGTTCTTGGGCTTTGGGCTTCATAATATTGCTTCTTGTGTTGTGCTTGTTGTTGTTGTTGTTGACCATGTCGCCACCGCTCTATGTCAAGGCCGTAGGGTCCGTCAGCAGCATCATGCTAGGGACGTTGGGATTGAGGCACATTGCCGCACCTGGACGCCCCATTCCTCTGCTGCCCAACGATGCCGCATTCCAGAGACACCTGTGGGCGGGGCTGGAGGCTTCAGAATTGTCTCCTGGTCAGGTACGTACGGGACATTGAAATTAGATTGACCTCGAGTGCAACCGTCGATTGTGTACTTTTGTTTGGTAGTGGCCGGATGATACTGGTCTGAGTCGAGTGACAGTCTATCTATATTCGTGCCTTCATTAAAACATGTCTGCCTTTTAACATGGCCACACTGCCGTGCATGTACCTGTACAGCTAACTATCCTTTATTTCTCACATCTTGTTGATTCGATTGCCCTTCTTCAGATGGCATGTGGCCACCTTTTAGGATTCGCCATGTTGGGATTGGCCGTGAGCAAACTGACGACCCTCTTTTCGGGAAAAGAAGGAACTTATTTGAGACGAAATCTCTTGTTGGCGTTTGGTGCCTTGGATATTGTCATGTCCACCAGCTTGTTGCAGTTCGAAAAAGGATTCCAAGTGGCCGGGGCCAGCGTCAAGTACTTTTCCTTGATGCAGTTTGTAGAAGGTGCCGTCTTTTTGTACGATGGCCTGTTTCGACCCAGGCCGCCAAAGCCATCTACAAAAGCGGCCAAAGGACAGTAATCTATGCATCGCATTAGTCTATTTCTGATTGTGACATTGGAGATTTCGAATATGGCTTGAATTGAATAAATGAAGACTTGCAGTCAAATCGAAGAAATTCAACAATACGCAAAGGATTGATGTTACAACAATTTGGTGGGTTGGTCGCCCGCAAACTAAATGCATACGAATAGTTTTGATTCATGTGAAGGACAATTTGACAGTGTATGTTGCCATGTACCGATAGCATTTCTTGTTGCGTCTTTGAGCGTTTCATCTCTAGAAGAACTAGCACCAGAAGCATCCATTCCTCGTTCAGCTTTTTATAAGCTACCGAAGCTTATTAATAAACCGCGCAGGCACCGCAGTCAGGTGAAGGCCAAGTGAGCGCAGATTGAATCATCAATCATTCCTTTGGTTATAGAGAGCAACCAAGAAGTTGAGTTTCTTCGTTCCATCCCTTCAACTCTTTCACAAGGTTTTAGAATTTGGCAAATTTCCCACTCTTTGTAAGTTCAACACCAGCTTTCAACTTGGGCTTTGTCCAGTTTATTGTGCCCCTTGATAAGACCAAGTAGCATAGCATCTTGATAGCATCATCAAACGTGGTGAGGGAGCCAAGCCAGGCAAAAGCGAAGACACGTGAGAGGAGAAAGGTTGACAAGAAGCAATTGCTAGTGGGGTACTACTAGCTAGTAGCTTGCTGGTCACAATTGATGGAGAGAAGCCATGGAGAGTACCAATGACAATGATAGCCTCAACCTTATCAAAGGAGGTTTGCCAGGAAAAATAGCTGTCAGATTCTGCATGCAGCTCCTGCATGCCACGCCAAAGTCACGGCAAGATTTATGCTCTTGGCCATGGCAAAAGATTGCGTCGCCGATCCACAATCCACGCGGTGGCTCTCATTTGTTGTACGACATTGTATTTGTTCTCCCACCCAAAGTAAAAGCACAGCTCGATCTTTTTGGATCATTCTTCCAAGAGAATAACTGCCCACACTTTGAAAAGATAAGATGATGGACGAGTCGGTGAATCCAGCCATCCCCACGACGGCGGGCGCATTGCTGGCGGAGGAATGGACCATCAATCCATTGGCAACGTTGCCCTCCTTTTTGGAAATGTTCATGATGGATGAAGCCTCTCGATCCGCACGAAAATCGCTGCAAGCTGGAATGACCCTGTTGCAACAAAAACTTGCTGAGCAGGCAGCATCCACAGCGACTACTACCGGTACATCTACTACTACTCAAAATGACAGCAATGGCTCCGCAGAAGGTGGACTGCCTTTATCATCATCATCTTCATTTTCACTGTCCTACGTGAAGTCATGGCTGCAGAAATCTTCCTCGGAATTTGCCGGTACCATTGCTAAGTGGCTGGAACGCTTTGGTCCAGAGATTTCTTGTTTGGTGCTCTTCCTCCTAGAGCGTCATTGCCTACGCTCTCAAGCTTGCGCCACCATTTCCGAATCGCTCTATGGAGGACGACAAGCCAAATTGGATCGCTCAACCGACAATAATAACACACAACGACGAAAATTGTTGCCATTGAGCGACAAAGATCGCACGCGCCTGGCATTGCTGGTCGCATTGGGACCCTATCTGAGACATCGCATGCTGGGATGGTTTCACAAACTCAAAAGTAGTAGTCAAGCTACTTCAGCACGCAGGACATTGCTACTAAAGTTGCAAAAGACGTTTGTCTGGGTATATCCATTGCTGCACGTGTGGCTCAGCAGTTTGGATCTGTTCTACCAATGGAGATATCTGCTAGGTCACTCGGTCTTTTTTCATCCCACGTCCCATCTTTTGGGATTGGTGGTCAGGAGGGTCACCCAGGAAGACAACAACAACACTCAAAAATCAGCTACAAGTACTAGTAGTGGAAAAGGATCTTCTTCTTCGTCGTCTTACTCACCAACAAGAGCACAACAACAAAGCGGCGCAACCAAGCCAATGCAAGCCTCCTCCAACACACAAACCACCCCCATGAGACAGGCGGCTGTTTGGGCACTTTCGTCGGCCTTGGTGCTCAGTTGGATGTCGCACTTTCGATCGGAATATCGACGTCAGCGGCAAGGATTGATCATGGAACAACAACAACAACAACAACAATCGTCATCATCACAGTTGCACAACTACCAGGACATCCAGACTGACTTGTCCCTGCCTGCAGCACCCACCAGTGGCATTAAGCACTCCATGCCTTCACACTTGTGTCCGCTTTGTCAACAACCAAGAGTTCATCCAACAGCATCGTCTTCCGGATTCGTCTTTTGCTACAAGTGCCTATTGCAACATGTTCAACAAACGGGGCAGTGTCCAGTCACGGGACGAACTTGCCAGGAAGCACAGCTCCTGCGGCTCTATGAGCCCAACCATTCCACGACAATTCAATAGTAGAGTAACAGACCAGCTTGGATGAGATTTGGAGTCACTATTTGAATCTATCTAACTGACGGTGTGTACAAACCAAGCTGGCGTCTTGCCATGTCTTTTAGGCAGACGGTACATAGTTCTAACACTATGCCAAAATGGCTTACAGTAGATTGACCTGTGTGCACAGTTTTAGTTAGCAACACCTACCAAAACGATTGAATCGAATCATTCTATTCTTAGTCTAGTTAGTTAGTCCGAAGTCTTGCTCTTTTTCTTCGTGCTGAAGTTTCGCCAGTTCCCAACACGTTTGTCGACTCTCCCCTCTTGTTTCCAACTCTTTTCAAACTTCATGGCGTTTTGTTCCTTTTTCGATTCCTCTTCTTCCTGATCTCGCTCTCGTTGTTCTTGTGCGCGTTGTCGTTTCTCCACTTCCCGTCGTTTGTGTTCCACTTGTGCAAAGATCTTCATAATATTCTTGGTTTGTAGTTCTTCCAACGATGTTTCCTTTTTTTCCTTGGGCGACTTTTGTTCCCATTCTCGTTTTCCTTGTCGCATCCCCTGATGAGCCAAGTCCCGACAATGTTTGGCCTTGTTTTCATCATCTAGCAACAGTGTTTTGGCTTTTTGGACGAAATCGTAGGCTTCCTCGGCCTTGTCATGTTGATTGCGATTCTTATCAGGGTGTAACAGCAGTGACAATGCTTTGTACCGACGACTGATATCTTCCTCCGTGGCATTGGGGGGAATATCCAGCACAAAAAAGGGGTTCAAATTGCGCCACTTGTAATTGGGTTGCAGCAATCGTTCAATTTGAGAGGTTGCAGTGCCCAAATCCTTTTTGTGTGATTTAATGGCATTGGTGGCTTTGGGTTTGTCCACTTTTTCGGCCTCTTCTACTTTTGCTTTTTGCACTTGATCTGCTGCTTCCTCCACATCATTGAAAAAGTCATCCAAATCATCACCACCATCATCATCATCATCTTCATTGTTGCTTTTCTCGTTTTCTTCCTTGGCCTTTTCTTCCTCGGCTTTCTTCTTCTCTTGTTGTTGTTCTTCTTCTTCCTGTTGTTGTGTTTTCTTCAAAATTTCCTTGGCATGTTCCAATCCCTTTTTCGCTGCAGTATTGCTGGGATCCTTTTCGAGGACCTTTTCCCAGGCATCCTTCGCAGGACCATATCGCCCTAACGATTGCAAAGCGGCCGCCAAGCGCGAGTATCCCTTGAAATAGTCGGGCGGGGAATTTGTGACACACGCTTGAGCGTCGTGCAGCGCCTTGGATTTTTGATGCGAACTCAGATAGGCTGCCGATCGATTGCTCAGGATAATGTGATATGTAGGATCCATAGACAAGGCAGCCGTGTAGTGGTGAATGGCAGTCGAAAAGTCACGGGCTCGAAAGGCGTTGTCGCCGTAACTTTTTTCTTGGTCTCGTTGGACCTTCCAATCATTATCTTCTTCCTCTTGCTGATCCGCAGCGTTGCTGGAAGCAGGCGGGTCCTTATTATTGTCAGGGGATGTCATTGTGGCGTGTGGATTTCTGCGCTCTGCTGTCACAGAAAAGATGGAGCCTCATTGACATCGAAAGAGGATTGACGGCGGCGTGGAAGGAATGCAAATAACAACAATAATATTGCGACTAATGGTTCGGCGGCATATGTGTTCACCCCTAAAAAGACTCCCCCTCACTGAAACCCCCTCTCCGTCTCCAAAAGCTGAAATTAGCAGCAACTGGATGAGGAGGACTCATCACTCAGTCTCTACTACAGTGTACTAGAGATACAAGATGTAATGAAAATTCTTCCTTTACAGCAAGTAACCAAGATGGGGCAGAATTTTTCAATTTTGTGGAGAGATGGATAGATGATGTGTAATGGTTTCTATTTTTTGTAACAAATATTTTGCCCAAGGGAGGTCCTCACTTACTTGTTGAGGTGGTCACGTTATACTTCCAAAGTTTTCTCAATGCAAGAGAAGTTTAATAAATGGACGAGAGTACTCTCAAATGTTGTTCTTTTTCAAGATGGGGCTCTCGATACTCAGCAACAGTCAAGGAAGGTAATCTCTGCATCCAGCAAGCGCAGTGTTTTGCACCCCCCAGGATGGTCCCTCTGTTCTTGTCACTGACAGTGCAAAGCATCGCAAACAAGGATGCTTTGCATTATCAGTGTCTTTTTTGTACAACCCAGAATTCCAAACTCTGTGCAAACTTGCTACCGGTACCGGTAGCTATTTGACCCCCCCTTTGCCGTCTACTCAGAGTACTAGCTAGTAACCCCTTTCCTCATAACCCTCATGTGCAAGAATGACCTTCTGTCCTTCATCCGTCAGCACGAAAAAACTAGCAAGTACGACAGGCATGCGGTACTCTTTTGGACACAGTGAAAGCCACCGAAACAATTCTAGCAAAGCCGCATTGCTGTTCACGTTCACACCGAGCCCTTGATCGACAAGATCATTCGGTTTGTCCACAACCAAGCTAACGAGAAAGATAGTGAGACAAAGACAACCATGTTCCTTGTAGATTGGTGGTACAGTGCTCTTGCGAGCTTAGGTACGTTTGATCAGGAGGGTTAACAGTGCTAGCTACTAGATATTGAGATAAGAGAGAGTCTGTTCTTGTTGGCGTCTTTGGGCTTGGGTAGCATCCATGATCGAGATCTTGGACTTTTTTCGCAATGCCAATGACCGGTTGAACAGTAGTCTTTGTTTGATTTTTGTTAGTTGTAGTGACCATGATGCTGACACATTAGATCTGTTCCTCTTATCTCTCCCTACTACGCAACAAAAACTATGAAACAACAACAATGACACTATATTATCACGTTGGGATTTTTATTAATACTCAGGCTTGTATCACAAGAATGCCAAGATTTTGTTTTTGGGTCTTGACAATGCTGGGAAAACCACACTGTTGCACATGCTGAAAGAGAATCGAGTGCAAGTGCACGTCCCCACGTTGCATCCAAACACGGACGAATTGATTATTGGTAACATCAAATTCAAGACATTTGATCTAGGTGGTCACGAAACCGCACGTCGTTTGTGGCAGGATTATTTTACGACGGTCGATGGCGTCGTCTATCTCGTCGATTCCATTGATCGGGGTCGTTTCCCCGAAGCCAAGAAGGAACTCGATGCTCTGTTGACCAGTGAAGAATTGCAGGATGTCCCATTCCTCGTTCTAGGCAACAAGATTGACATGCCCACTGCCGCTAGCGAAGAAGAACTAAAGTACGCCTTGGGATTGATGGATACCTATGGAAAAGATAAGGGACCTGATGCCAACAGTGGAGTGCGCCCCATCGAATTGTACATGTGTTCCGTCATTCGAAGAATGGGGTATGCTGATGGCTTCAAGTGGCTTTCACAGTTCCTCACCTAGACAACAGCAATCCATCCATCCAACAAATATCTACAAAAACAATCACCAAAATCACAAGTCTGTTTGTGGATGATGAGTGTGGTGTGGTGTGCATACTGGTGAGATGAGTATAGTATCAAATGATGGAGAAAAAATAACATGACAAACTTCCTTACCTTCCGATGGTATTGCAATGAATGAATGAGCGAGTATGAAAAATAAAAATGACAATCACTCAGCAAATCGTATTTTGGTTGTGGAGTGATGAGGGTGTGTAAGCTTTTTTTATCTTATAGACATTCGAAAAAGTTTTCCTATCCAAAGGTTACCGTGCAGTGCATCTATGCCACCACTACAAGTACATGGCTGTTTCTCAGCGTCGTCTGGTGGGCGTACTATCTCGTTTGTTGGATCCTTCCAAAGATATCATGTCGAACCGGTCATCGAGCTTGCTGTACAGCAAAAGCGTCAAGAGCTGCGAGGATCCATGCGTCTCTCCACTACCGGTTTTTGTACCGTTCTGATCCCAATATCCGCGCTTCTTCATGAAATTATCAATCGCCATCGCAAGACCCTTCAGAGCCCGTTTGCCTCGAGGAAAACGTTCCGTCACTTCCACGCTGGCACCAACCGCACTCTTCTCCTTGACTTCTCGTCGCATTAAACAGGTGCCGAAATCTCTCAGTACCCAAAATGGTAGGTCCGAAACGCCAAACACGGGAGTCGAGCCAACCGCATTCATCTGAGTCGAGAGATACGCTTCCGATCGTTGCGCCAAATTCTTCATTGCTTTCAGAACGGTCTTGTAGTGCGGCGTGTCGACGTTTACACCATCCGAATAGAACTGGTCTTGATCCACAAAGATACATTCGACATGAGCCGTGCCACGTTGGGAACCCAAATCACGCATAGAACCCCCGCCACTTTCTTGTCGTGGTTCCTCGGATATTGGTTCTCCCTTGCTCAACTTGATGCTCTCGGCAGACATTTCTCGAATTGTGCTGGCCAAGAGGTCGAGTGGAACGAAGAGCTCGTTGCTCCCCGCACTGCCCGAGCGCCAACCAGTATCAAGATCATACGACAAGACCTTTCGCAAACGCACCGATCCCTTATCTTTCAGCAGATGCTCTTGCACAATCACCACAAACGGAATATTCAAAAGAGCACAAGCACCCAGCAGTTCGGCAAGCGACCAATCCTATACCGGTACATCGAATGCATCAAGGCAACTAAACGTGAGCAACAATAGGCGGTGCTTCTCCCACCAAAGGAAAGCCACATCAATAGACACTTACACTGCCCACTTCGTTGGTGCTGCTGTCGTCCCCTCTAAGTCGCTTGATCAAGCTCAACATCACTCCGCTCTGCGGCATGTATTCTGCAGAAATACCCTCTGCCCAGAGCCGTGCTGCCACGAGAAGACGCTCAGATGTACTCGATGAATCCATTCCGTGGGGGCTAGCGACCACGCATTTCACAGAGCGCGAAAACTTGAGCGGATGTCCCAGTAATCGTCGCAAAAAGTCCACTCCTGGCTTGTCCATAGAGAGCTTTTGCGGCATCTCGGTAATGATGTCTTTTTCGCCTTGTTCGGGTACGGTTGCATCCATGTACGCGAGTTCCACCAACTTGCCCACAGAGAAACTAACCCCGGCACACTGCATGGATGGATGGCAACAGGCATGTTCATGAGATAGACGGACAGTGCGAAACACATCGATATAGCGGTTCATTACTTACCATCGGAATTGGCGCGGTTGTGTAGTGATTGAAGATGGCAGATCCAAAGTTGCCTGGTGGGCGGCTTTTTCTGACCAAATCATCGTAACGGCCTCCTTCAGCGACCTTTATCCCACGACCTGCAGACGAGATTACAAACTCGTTGTGTTCATCTTTTTCTTCTTCAAGGTAATCGTCGGGCAAAGCAATGCACTGGAACACAACTTGCCCATGGAAATGCTTTCTCTTTTGCCTAAGTCCCAGGTCAATGGATATGTACAGTGGCCTGTTCAATCGAGTTGCTGGCGTCCCTTGCTTCCCTGTTCCAAACAGAGGGGAAATGCCCAAAGCACCGAGAGTTGCAACAAGTTGTTTCAGACCTTTCAAAGTTCTCCCAATGTCCTCAAAGCGTTTCATCCGCCTTGGGTCCAGTTTCGCCTCCTTGTCGGTTGATAAGAGATAGGAAACGGCAGCCTGGAGCTTGTCCAAAGCTTCTTCAACATTGCATGGGAGTGGCATACAGCCTTTCGTAATGAACGCACGGAGTTTGTTAGCAGCGGCAGTAGGAAGTCCGTGGTTGGTGGTCGCATTTTCTAGTTGTCGCTCTAGGCGCTCGCTGGCATTCGACTTTTTCTGATTCTTGTTGCGCTTCTTTCTTCTCTTGAGGGCTTTGATTAGCGTCGAAGGTCCCGGTGCGCATGACTGGGTGAGAATCGAGAGGCAGACCCGTCGCAACAACTCTTTCTGTGGCACCCCGCATACTTCAAGGATGGCGTCTGTCAACCGGGTGTGCGTAAGTCGCATATACCACATGGGAGCAGTCGCCTCGAAGGGGAGATGCTTACAAACTGATCCGAGAGACAAGTGAAAGTGAGTATCTGAATTCGACACGGCTCCAATCACATACATAGAAAACACAAACGAACCTTCTGGCTGCGGGAAGCAGCCCATGACTTGGCAGGCCACAAAAATAGATTCAGCCTCGACTTGCCGCCCTCTCATCTGTGGGTCTTCCATCACGATATCGAAAGATGCTTCGAGTGATTCTCTTGGGTGACCTCCCGCCACTGCCTTGTGGTAGACTCTGTCAATGTCCCATCGTTTTACATTTGCAACCGCTGAACCCCCGCGACCAACTATCCGAGCGAACTGCGCAGTTAGGTCTTCTGGGAGCAGCAGAACGTTGCCTCTGGTGTCAATTACCTCAGCAGGACCGCCGACTGCCAATGAATGAACAGTGGCGGGCCTCGGCCTCAACAGGGGGCTCTTCATGTGGACGGCGCCGTGCGACTGGAATATTCCACACAGCCTGCTACAAACTTCTTCCACGATTGTGGGATCCGCTCCGTGGAATCCATCCAGCGCTCCTGTCGATGCAGCAGCCGCTGCTCTCATGGCGATGATTCCGGCTGTCCGTTGCGCTGACCTTTTCAACATCCCTTTCCCCCCTTTGCCAAGCTTCCCCGTGAGCCTAGCTCGCTGCAGCGCGTTGGCTGCTGCTACTTGAGATGATGCATTCATTGCCAAGGAGTTGACGCTGCTGCTGTCTATTGCGCCTGCCCTTATTTCCTCAACAGCCTTCCAAAGAGCTTGAGAGGGTGTAGGCATACGACTCTTGCCTTTTGCCAGTCCCATGTTGTTGGCTTTCACAGCGGCGTCCGTGTCGTAGGTCATCTCGATTACGTCTGGAGTTGCCCGGTTGAAGACCGCATTGACTATTTGCATGAAGCAGTCCGATTGCGGGTTCGTAAAAAGCTCGAGAGCCTCCTCCAAGTACCGTTGCTCAACTTCAATCTTACGGGGAATCAAGTCGCTCTGAACCAGCATAAGTTGAGCACATAAGCAAGCAGGAAACTTCTCAAATTTTTGACACGGGTCGACAGCCAACTCACCGAAAGCAGCTCCTCTGCCGATGGGCGTTTAGCCGGATCTCTCTCTAGGCACCAAAGGAGTATTCTCTTGACATTCTCCGGGGCGGATTTTGCAAAAGCGGGAGGGAAACGATCTTCAAACCTTACTCTTTTCTGCAGGTCTGCATCGCCTCCATCTTGGGTTGTTTTGGACGCAGCCACATGATCACCCCTTAGTTTGGTTAGTATCTCTGCTCGCTCCATGTACTGGACAACAAAACAATGGAAGCGACATGCAATCGTAAGCTGTGAACAAGTGAGTCTTTAACCATGCCTTGTCTTTAGAAGACGCACCGTTTCAAAAGGCGGATGAAACATTTCAAAAAGCACTATCCCCATACTAAACATGTCAGCTTTGCTGCCGTAGGAGCTGTCGTGTTTGCCACCTTTCACTCTTGCAGCGCCGCCCTCCTGTTCTGGTGCCCTGTAGAAGGTGGTCCCTTCCGATTGCAATCGGGTGCACAGCGTCAAACGTCAGAGAAGATTCGCGATCAGAAATCCAAACAGAAAGTGGCCAACTCACCAACGCCACCAGTCATTGATTCTTGGATTGACGATTGATGAGAAAGGGAAGCATGGGCGGAACCACCCAAAAGTCGGCTAATATCTTCGATATAGTCATAAACACCTTGGGTTTCCGCTTGACTGTCACTCTTCTCCCCTTCATCATTTGCACGGTGCCTCGTTGCCAAACCAAAGTCTCCTAACCTAACGTTTCCCTCTGAGTCCAGGAAGATGTTTCCTGGTTTCTGGGCCATTGAGGAACAATATGAGACAGTTTGAGCTCAACGACTGAGCCAATAGTCCATGCAACACTTGAGCTCCAGAATCCGAACTCACCAAGTCTCTATGGATGATTTTTCTGCTGTGAATGTACACCAACGCTTCTATGATTTGACGGACCAGTCTCCAGACATCGTTCTCATCCATTTTTGCCATAGATTGATCGTCGATCAACTTTCGTAATGTGCTGCGGGGTACATCGACCAATTCGTTGAGCTGTGCTGTACGTGGACATCCAACTACTGTTCTTTCGTTCCATGCTCGGCACGCTTACCTTGAACAATATTCCATCTGTAACAACGGTCAGTGCAAGTACAGATAAACAGCGCAACTCCCGACTTGAGCCTCAAGGACCTTACCTGTATGTAAAGGATTCGCTGGTTTTGGGCAGAACTGACCTTTACAGACGACGATTCGTCCCAGTCATCATAGTCCGAAGATATTGAATTAGACCTTTTCTTTTCTCCAGAGGTCGGCAATGTGCTGTGTGGCTTCGCCTGAAATCCAAATCCTGCAAGCAGTGGGCTTTGCTGCGATCCAGATCAGATAACATCAGATTGCAGTCTGACCAAGCCGCACTACCAAACTTACCTGCAACCCATGATCATTTTCCATCTCAAGGAGGGTCTCAATTGACTGCGAATGCAGTTGGTTGTTGGCGGCTGACTTTCCATTGTCACTGCTGTCCCAGTCGATGAAATCATCATCATCTTCGTCGCCATCACCCTCTGATCCACTGTCGCCATCTGAGTCACTTTCGCCAGAGCTCTCGCTGCTGCTCATTCTCTCCCCATCATCCGAGAAGAATTTGCCCATTGACGGTTTTGCCCAGAGCCCAGGCACATACTCGTGACCAGAACCCGATAGTTCTCCATCCTCGTCATCCAAACCATCCGGTGTGTCGTCTTTTGTGTCCAGGTCCGTGCTAAGTTCTCTCACCATGCTCGTTTCCTCTATACTTTCAATCTCGCCCTCCACCCAGGCCTGGTAATACCGTACCTGCAACAACGAACGTGATGAAATGACCATATGTGAGCCTGACTGTCCAGAACTGCTGCTTTAAAAGCTGAGTTGTCGCATACTGACAATGTTCTTGTGTGTCATTCTGGAGATTGTCGTCACTTCTCTTCTCAGCTTTCGGTTTTGAACAGCTCCTGTCTGAGCGAACTGGCCTTTTTCTGACTCTAAGATGATCTTCTTGACGGCGTAAGTTCTGCGATCCAACCGATTGCGAACCTTGACAACTTCGCCTCCACCACCTCTCCCCAAGACACCCAACTCGATGAAATCTGCTTTATAACGGCTACTTGTCCCTCCCCAGTTTTGAGCATAGTCCAGTTCATCATCATTGTCGAATTGATCATCCGAGTAGTCATCATTGTTGTCGTCATCCAAATCTGCAAACGGATTGTCGGCATCTAACACTCCCTCCTCCTTGTTGGTCCCACCGCCTAGTTTGAGTCGTCTAGCATCCTCCAAAGCTTCCATTTGTCGATTGAGCTCCCGTTTGATGTCTGAAGATGGACATTCTGCGCCCGATTCCAAAACCATCCGTGCCGAGACGGGAGACTTGGTTCCACCACTATGATCTGACCGTTCCTTTCGTTCGGAATTGGAAGGTCGCTCCATCAGTCGGTTGATTTCCGCCTGCTGTTCCAACTGCAATTGTCGTTCATTCTCCTTCTCTCGTTCTTCTCGGGCTTTCATTTGTTCCCAGGCTGACATGGTTGGATCTCGATTGCGTTCTAGTAGAAACTCTTCTGCCACTTGGACCAATTCGACCATCATGATAGAGCCGGACCTTGCAAGCTGTGTGGCACGTTCTGTGAGCAGCTTCATGAGTTCTTTTTGCTCTTGGTCGGTCAAACCAACTACTTTTTTGAGTTCAATGGTTGGCATGACATAAGGATATTGTTTCTGAAGTTTCAGGGAGAGTATCAGTTTACTGCCCACATGAGCTTCCTCGGTGCCTGGTGGCCTGACCTGTACATTGAGGCGAGAGGCACGTCCCTGAGCTCCTTCTTTGCGTGTGAAATCTGATCCATAAACTGCCTGTAGCACGGTTTCTTCATCTGCTCGGGACAGGGATAAATCCTCAAACGAAGGAACCACTACATTGCTGTTGGGTGCAGATGGCAAACTTTGACCGGATGCACTGGATTCTGATGAGGAATCATCGTCATCCTGAAGGACGTCGAAGAAACCTTTCTTTCCCATTTTTGTTTTTGGTAACTCAAAGCAGGTACAATCGAAATCAACTATTCAGAAGCTTCAGCGAAGACTATCTGCTATCTCATGTTCTGCCGTGGAAGGTAGTATTCTTTCAGAATTCACCGTGAGATTGGTGGGGTATCCTTATCTCTGTGATAACGATTCTCCAGGGTGTCAGCAACCAATACAGAATCGAATCAACAACAGGCGAAAGTCCAACCCTTAGCTCTGTTCGAGTTCCGTACTTGTTGTCTCGAGGGATGGGACGATGGGACGTCAAACATCAATGAATGAGGGTGAGGACAAGAGGCGAGGAGAATAAGTGGTGAAACCTGCAACCCTTATTAACCCTCTCGCTAATGGGATATTGTCACCTACATACTATCTTCCGTTGCCTTGTCCAAAACTCTCGGTACATGTACTAGTACTCGGTACACCTTGCATCTCTAGCTAGTAGCTCAAGCTACCCAGAGGTCTACACCATCTATCTCTCCTGCATGGGGCTTTCATCATCTCTTGTACATTCGGATACCCATGCAACTGACATGGTCTGCATTCTGCGTTACAATCGATTTGGCACTGTCAGAGCCCCTTCCAAAGATTAAATTGAAGTCTTGATTTGTCAAACCACCCAGTCCATTTTAAAAAAGACGAGTGCAAAACTGAACCCAAGAAGAAACTGTGGTGACAGAGGCATTGGACATTGAACCCGGCAACCAGTGTCAGTATCGTTTGTATCCGAGAGCACATTTGGGAGTACCGGATCACCAAGGTGCCAGGGGAAGTTGTCTCCCATGCCATACAGCTAAACCTGGATGATATCTTGAATTGTACAAAAAAGTACGGCACGTCACACTTGATTACGCACGGGCACAACCTAAGCGCCAGTTTCTCTGATACGCTTGGTCAGCCAGCGCCAACCAGGCAGCTTCCCATGGCATCCTGTCCCCCCACCCAAATATACCTCCAGCAACGGCATGCAGCAAGTATCTACCAACTGGATCCATTGTGACTCATAGACCAACAATCACAACCATCAGTCCCTCTGCTGCAAGTCCAGGGCCTACTATACAGCAATCTCCACAATCAACTACCACGCAGCCCTGTTTCAATAGAATCCCGATCCAAACGGCTGATCTGTTTGGCACAGGCTATGACGGAAAAAGCACGTTGGCAATTGATTATTCGACATCTGGCAGCCATAGACAGATGGACCATTACGTTGTCATCAACCACCAGCTATACCAAGCCCGCATCCATATCTATAGATCACTTTCTGAATAACATGCATCCCAGAAAAGCACCTCGTACTCTTGCAACAATCGAACGTGAGTTGCCACGTCTTCATACGAGCAAACATCGGAAGGTCCCATGCTATGCATGATGACAGCAGCTGCCATTTCGTCCAAATTTTCGATTGGTGTGGCAAAGAACTGGATAAACGCCAATCCTTTGTCCAGGTCTTCCTTTGTGCATTTGTCGGCATTATGCTTTTGAAAAGCTGCTAGTAAACCCTGACACATTCGTCCCCAGGCTGGGAAATTGACCGCGCATGCAGCAGCACCAGCGGCTCTTTGATTATTCAGAGCCAATCGAGCCCAATAGGATGGGTAACCTTGAGCCAAGGGTGAGAGCGATTTTCCCTTGCGGATAGCCTCTTCACCTCCCTCCAATCCAAGGTAATTGGCATGATCCAACAAAAGGTTGGCTGCGTAGATTTCTCCTCCCAAAAGGAACTGAAACAAATCATCATAGCTTTTGTACTTGGGTGGTAGAGGTACATCTGGCGTCGTTGGGATTTTCTTGACAGCTGCCAGAGACGACGGTGCAAACCCACGATGTCCTGCCAAATACGCAAAGGAAGCGGCATCTGATTTTTGAATTGCCAATTGTTCACAGACAAAAGCGCGTTTCTGGGGTCAGAGTATCCGCCTCGGCGGCCTTTAAAAAGGGGTGCTTTGCCAATTTTTCTTCCGTCTCCAAATTGAACGGTTCCTTTCGTAAACGGGAAATCCATTCCATGGCCTTTTGGAAACGCTCATTGTCATCATTTGTTGGGGGTTCGGACATGATGCTTGCTGTTGCACTACTGTGCGTATTGGTTGATACTTGGCAGGTTTCCGATTTCAGAAGTGTTGAATAGATTTGCGGCCTGTTCTCTTCCAGAGCTTCTCTAATGAGCAGTCTACCCACTGATCCACTTCAAAGTATCTACCAGGTAATAAGAAAGAAGCACTTGCCATGAAACTACCAGCAGCTCGAGCTTGGATAGGAGTGTGTTTGTTGTTTCGTTGGCACTCCTGGTACCGGTGTGGTCTGTTGGCCTGTGGGTGTTGGGGGTGGGGAGTACCCAAGGATGACGTCAGTCTCTTCCAAATTGAAACATGGATACTGGTACCTGGTACCAAAGTACAGTATTGGCCGGTACTCGTACCGGTTGTGGTGCTGTTGTCGGCAGTCTCATTTCCACGATGTAGACTATTCTAAACATCCCAGATGCACGCAGACTTTGACACAAAAACCCGCCTCGAGATGCGGCTTTCCTTGTCGCATTTTTGGTAAGTAATGCAATTATGCATACATCGCTGCTTGATTGTGGTTTGGGGTTGTCGCCTTGGTTCTCTATGCGAAAATTTGAGCAAGATGGATGGCCATCCGTTCCAAGTTCGGAAGTTTGCTCAAGCCACTTGTCTACTCACAGTTTTGGTTCGGACCTGATGCCTCAAAGTTCACCAACAAGAAATCCAATAGACGATTCGAGTCGTAGGATAAAAGAGAGACTATTGAGGCTCCTTTTTAAAATAAGACTGCGACGTTTTCATTATGCATCCCCATTCTGTTGAGTATTTGGATCAAATTGAAGTTCGGGAGCGGGAAGCCATTTGTCAGAGGCTATGATCCCAGCGAAAAAAGCATGATTGCAACTGAACAAATTGAAAACATTCAAGGTAGTCGACATGCCGCCAGGTTGTGTCACAATTTCACCTATTGATGGACGCGTCTTCCTTGACGCTCATCCAATGTCCATTCCGAATGCCGTTGGAGGGCCAGTTGTGTTTGAAAACTTCTGAGCCCCAAAGAAAGGACCCTCTACCTGGCTACCTGGTACCACTGTACGAAGGAGAGTCGGGAATTGAAGAGTATAACTCGCTCCTTATCAGCGCGACTCAGAATTAGGATTGAATCTTGCTGGACACTCAAAAAGGCATTGAAAAAACCAAGGAACGGTCCTCTTCAAAGACCAAAGACACAATCCTTGTTCGTGATACTGTTCATGTTTTTGTAGTGGAGACAATGACGACCCCAAAGCGTCCAGGTGCACCCTCTGCAACGGCAAGCGATGAATCCAAGGCTCGTATCTTTCTTGCTGTGGCTTGTTTGTGGCCGCTTTTCGTGCTGGCTTTGTTTGCAGCATCGGCACCTCAATTGAAGGAAGCACGGCAACACCCACGAGAACTCTTGGACAAGAACAACAAGATTAACCAAGATGTCCGCTTCAAGTTTCGCAAAGTATTGGACAGAGTGGACGTGATGGGATATGGACCGACGCATCCTCGAGTCGCCGTTGTCATTGTGGGAGAGAACAATGAAAAGATTATTTCCAGTGTGGAGTCACTCTTCCGGTAAGGTATCTACCCATTGAGTATAAGGCACAGTCATTGTTTGGTTCTTGGTTGCTTCCTGCAAAACTAATCCTGTGTTCTTTCCTTGCTTCCTTCCTTTAATCCAAACGACAACCCACACTTACATACATTCTGACCGTTGCAAATAATATAATCAAGTCACACTTCTTTGGAACGCATTTTTGCAGTTGTCGTGTGTGTGGAAGGCCGGGAATCGGATTCTGCCTTGCTGGAGGAACTGGAAAAGATTGATAATGGGGCAGTGCCACATTGGCATGGTCTGAGAGCCGACATTCATTTGCCAGGGGAAAGTGATGCCGAGGACAAGGCCGATCATGGGAGTCGGATCCAGGTCCTCTTCAATAATGAAAAACTGGGCATTTCCGAAAGCCGATCAGAAGCCGTGGAATATATCCACTTGCTGTCACAACAACACGAATCTACAGGTATCAAATCTCCACAAGAAGATCTCCTTCTTTTATTGCTTCAAAGCGGTGCTCAGTTTGTGGAAAATCATGATTGGTTGGCTCCCGTCACCGGGGCTCTTATTGTCCCTCCTCCCCTGATTGCATCTGCCAACAAACAAAGCCCCTTTGGAGCCATGAAACTGGCCAATGCGGTTGCCTTCAATACTGAAGGATCGGGGAAACGAACTTCCTTTGACTTGACGTTTGCTCCCATCATCTCAGATGCCAGTGCCACGGATATTAACCTATCGGACGGAAAGTCGTATCCCACACCCGTCTGGAATGGAGCGGCCATTGCCATGCGATTGAATACCTACCGCTTTCTTCCAGCACAGGATGCCTCCTTGACAGAAGAATGGCCCGCCAATCTAGAATTGTCGCTCAATCTGTGGCTCTGTGCCGACGGTATGGACATGATTCGAGATGTCGAAATTGTCAATAGTGAACTCATGCCACACAATCCACTGTCTCCCGAAATGATGGCTCGATTTGCCGCGGCATGGATGGATGATGTCACCGCCAATCAAATCTATCACGAGTATTCCAAAACATTCCACGAATTGACGCATCTCGAGTGGGAAACGCTCTTGAGCAAAGCTCGAGGATCCACCGATTTCCCCATTGACTTGACGGAACGGTGCCGATCCTTTGCATGGTATGCAAGACACGTGAATACGGATATCACCGAGGCCATTGTCACTGCAGCCAAAGAGGTGGCACGGGAAGATGAAGAACGCAAAGCAGAAATGAAAATCAAACTGGAAGAAGCCAAAAAGGTAGCCATGGAAGAGGCCGCCAGGAAGGCCGAAGCAGCAGCGGCGGAGGCCAAACAGGCAGCGGAGGATGCAGAGGCTGCGCAAAAAGCGGCAGTGGCCGAGAAAGCCGCTCAAGACGAAGCTGCCAAAAAGGAAGCAGAGGAAGCTGCTGCCAAAAAGGACGGAGAACAACCAGATGCCAACAAAGACGGAGAACAACCAGATGCCGATAAGGACGGAGAACAACCAGATGCCAACATCAATGAAGAGAATGCCATGCCCGACATGGCTCATGGTGAAGAACCCAAAAAACCTGCCAAACCACTGCGAGAAAACAATCTGGAAATCATTTCACAAGCCAAACCTGTGGATATCAAATTTGTGGATATTTCGGATGGACACAAGGAACATCCGCACATGGGTGCTTTGGACGAGGATGGCAACCCCGGCTATATCCACGATGAGACGGCACTTCGACTCAACCCACCCCCGTTTAGTTTCTCCGGTCCCAAGTTCGAAATGGGTTGCAAGTTAAGAGACAACAATTATCGAATGCTTACAGAGAAGGTCAAGTTGGATATCGAGGGGCACAAGGCAGCCGAAGACAGTGGCAAGAAGCGCGACAAGATCTTTTGCTTGGTGTATACCATCGAGAAGTTTCACGACCGAATTCCTGCCATTCGAGAAACGTGGGGGTAAGTCAGTTGGTGCCAGAATTTGGTGGCTCAACAGTCTGTGATTCGATATCCTCCTTCTAACATCGTCTTCCATTGTCCCTTTCGTGTCTCCGTTATTCCAGACCGCACTGCGATGGGTTCATGGTTGGTTCCACGAAAACGGACAAGTCTTTGGGAACCGTGGAGATTCCCCATGAAGGTCCTGAGGAGTATAACAACATTTGGCAAAAAGTCCGATCGATGTGGAGCTATATTTACGACAATTATTATGAGAAATACGATTGGTTCCACATCGGCGGTGACGACTTGTTTTTGATTCTCGAGAACCTGCGTCTGTACTTGGAAAGTGAAGAGATCAGAACGGCTGCCAACGGCGGAATCAATTTGCCCAATGGTGACGAAACCATGCAGACACCCTTGTTTTTGGGACGTCGTTTTTCGTACATGGGCGACATGAATGATATTTTCATCTCGGGTGGATCTGGATACACCATGAATAAGGCATCTCTGAAGTTGTTGGTGACAGAAGCGTTTCCCAACTACTTTCCTCATGCCCACACGTTTTCAGAAGACACCATGGTGGCCAAGCTCTTGCGTAAGTTGAACGTCTTTCCCTACGACACCAAGGATGACAATGGAGGAGAGAGATATATGCCCTTCATGCCAGGCCATCACTATGGGTACAAGCTGCCTCCTGGTAACCCCATGGACTCTCAGGATTGGTATGCCAAGTATTCGATCAACATCAAGGAGGGCAAGGATCATTGTGCCGAGCAAAGCGTGGCGTTCCACTATGTCAAGGGGAACGACATGTACAGGCTTTATGCGATGATCTATGGAAAGTGTCCAGCAGGAACATACCCGTAAAATGTAAACAACATGTAAAACTGCACTATGCTTCGCATCCGTTCGGAAATAAACAGCGACACACACCAAATGAAGCACTTCTCGTGGTTACTACATACGATCGTCGTCTTCGGATTTCAGTGTATCAAATTGCTTGACCAAAATCTGCATTACTTGTAGTTGTTGCTGTTGTCTCAAGAGCCAAACAAATCGTTCTTCTGTGTTGCTTGCAAGTTATCCATTGTCATCACCATTAGTCATCGTTTCTTCTTGTTCATCCGTTGGCCTTTTGAGCTTTATACCGATGGTGTGGCTCTTGTTATTTCCATAATCAGTTCTTTGCTGGATGCTTCTGCGGAGGAGTCGAGTCAACTCCTAACTTTGGCTGCTCAGGTTCTTAGAAAAGACCAAATAGTTTCTGAACCTTGGGCTTGGGTGGTTGTTTGGTGTTTTTCTTGTTGGTATCCACAATGGTGGGTCCACGACGAGCTCCGTTTCCGGACCAATCCAATCCACCTCCACGGGTTGGATTATACTTCTTGTCGTCATCGTTCCACTGAATCTTCTTGGCCGTCCTGACATCGGAATTGTCCCAAGATCCGCCTCGCTGCATGTAGGGGATATCTTCCTGCCGGATTTTGCCGGCCTTGATTTTTTCCTTGGCATTAAAGACGGGCAAGAGATGATCGGCCTTGCCTTTTTCCATTTCCTTTTGGAAGGATTGCAGGGAACGCGACTTGAAGGATTGCGGTCCGTAGGCTCCAAATTTCTTCTTGGCCTTTTCCGCCTTTTCCTTGGCTTGCATCTTCTTCCATTGTTCCGGGGAAATGCCATCGGGGACATAGCCTGCGCGGAAATAGAGAAAGACGATCAATGAGAAGTCCTTCCAGCTGGGAATAGCATCCAGGTTTTCTTTTCAGTTGTCGTCGTAAAGCATTTTTCTGTTTGGTTTGGCTTACCATGGAGAGCCGTCGCCTGGCGGATAGACGATGGAGTGGTGAACGCCAGAGTCGAAGTGGCGACAAAAGCGAGAATGATCAACAAAGACTTCGTCATGGTGGAAGTCGAAAGCTCGTGTTGGGTAGGTGATTGATGGCAATCAAAAACTAGAAGAGATGCAAGATCCAATTGTGAGCCTGCCTGTGGAACTTCGTGGAAGAAGAACAAAAGCCAAAGACACAAGAGCCGTTTGATGCAATGCAGCTTGTCAACTGGAGCGATCAGATGGTTGTGTGCTGATGTGGCAACCCAAATGTGAGATGACAGATGAAACAGAACAATGACACCCCAAAGATTTTTCTTGACAGCTGCTTCAAGAAAGCAAGGACACCAAAAAATGAAGAGTGGGGCTCGCCCGGAGGTGTCCTTGATGGAGCGATGTCATTGATTCACGAATGATGTCAGCCCCATGGATGGATCCACGTTCTATGACCCACAGCGTGGAAATCTTACTTCGTATCTAAAAGTCCTCTTCGTGCGGCACGGAAACCAGGAGTGCGCATCTCATCACGACGTCGCCGATACCGTAAAATGGAGGCGTCCCCCCCAGCCATGGCAGAAATGAAAGGTCCAAAATGGCAAGATACGCTATTGGTCGGGAAGTCTCAGGTAGGAAATTGATCATGAGTTGGTCATTTGGAGGGGCAAGATCGTTCCTCTCAATGTGCGATACTCGTCGTGGATCGACGCCCAATCGATGGACCTTCGAATAATCAGAAAGGTCCTTTACTCTCAATGGAAAGATTCCAGCCAATATGTTGAAGGTAACACAGTGTGTATTTCCTGGACCGAAGAAGAAGGCTTCGATAATTCAGGTGAAGGGCATAACCATCGCTTTGGTCCAGGAGAAGCGAAGCGGTAGAGGGAATCAGTAGCAAGATTCAAGACAAGACACAGTGCATGTGTTCGTCTCTTTCCCTGGCAAGCTGGACGCAACGACCAGGTATACGGAACAGATTCAAGGAGTTCGGGCACTTTATTGAAGTGGGATGGATCTCAGGTTACGGCACGCAAAGGGTTTGTTTGGCACGTCGGATTTATTTGGCAAAATCGGCTGGAGCCATATGGTCTCAAACCTAAAGTCTGGTTCCCAGGACATCCACCACTGCTGATTGAACAAGCCTGGAACCATCTCTTGGAGGTTTTCCCTGGAGCGGACAAAGTAAATGACTTGACTCGGAGTGGAAGCACCCGTTCGGTCTATTATTACACTCGGAGCGCGGGAACCAATCGCTGCTACGGAATGAAAGCGGAACTCTACTGAAGTGCCCTCCTGCAGGCTTTCCGCCCAATCTCTTTCAAACGTCACCCCCATTGCACCGGTACATGCCAACTGCAGACGGAGGAATGCCCTTTCAGCTGCATTTGAAACCTAGCATTCAGTCGAATGTCAAATGGGAGGGACATTACTGGGATTGCTTGTGGACGGTGCGGTCGACGAGCTGCTTTTCTTTACGAGCTTGTGAACGAAATCGCTATCGAGCTTGGACTTCGACAGTAAGCATTTATGTCTAGTTTTTCTGGCTCCTAAACAGATTCCTACAGCATTTTGATAAGGAGTAGTTATTGCGACGAGATCTACGTAGACAAAGCACTGTACCAACCAAACCAAATTCAACGTCTATCCCCGCTACGTACAATTCGTGGCAAGTATACAAAACCTCGGCACCATGGCTCTTGCTGAACTGTTTCGGCCCTATCCAAAACCCGATTGTTGCTCAAACAGCATTGTCACAATCCTTTTCACATGCTTCATTTCATTTGCAATTTCAATCTTTCGTTCTGCCACAGCGGATTTCATCTGAACAACCTGTGTACGGTCCATTGCTAGCTCCTGTAGAAGCTCATCCTTCAGCTCCTTCACCTCTTGCTCAAGCTTCTTTGCTTGGATTTTGCGCAATTCATCTTCTCTCTCCGAATCGTTGGTGTGCTTGAACACAGAACTGGTGAAAACAGCCTCACGGATCTGAGGGGGCCACAACCATCCAGCAGTGATGACACCCAAGAAAATCCACAAGGGGATGATGATGACGGCAACAGAAATACGGAGCAATGTGTACAAAAAGTACTCCAATGACATGACTGAGTCATCGAGTTCATCCTCAAACAAATCCATCAGTCGTTTCCATGACTCTTTTCCAAAAACAACCTCATTGGCAGTGTCGCTGGCCCCAGGGCCGCCACTATCCTCTTCTTCCCAACCAAAAGACTTCTTCATTTTGGCTTTCCATGGTCCATTTGCAATTGCATCCATCTCTGCTACGAAATCCAACCGATTCGTCCAGAATACAATGGCTGCGCGCTGATCCTGGATGACCTTATAACTAAACAACAGGATAGCACCCAAACAAAGCGCCAGTGAGATCAAGGCCAAACAGTCTTCACCCATTGAGCTCAAAATCCACTTGAACTTCCTTACCTGTCAGTGACGATGGCAATCAGAACATTGGCCAGTAAGATGACAACCAAAAACATGAAAATCAGAAATAGAGCCAGCGCAATCCCTTGAGCCTTGTTGTCGTAGAAGAATTCGTTCTCATCAACTTCCCCCAGCAACATAGTGTACACACGCAGGAATGAGGTCCAGTGATTACAAAATGGTTCTGTAGGTGCCTCTCCCTCACAACGGAGGATCGATTCCAGCTCATCCTGGGTCATTTGTTTTTGTAGGAGACAAGTGTCACTCTCCAGAAAGATGGTGTAGAACATTTGTGAAAATGCAATCAGAATGATACCCAAAGAGATCAAGAAGGCCGCAAGGCGATTGACAACATAAAATACACCACCAACAAAGACGGCGAAATCAATCAAGACATTTTTCAAATAACCCAGCAACTTGATCCAAAGAACAGTGACGGAGAATGCACATCCTACCCTGAAGAAATCGTCACTGGCACTTCCTCTCTGCATGTGTACTGTCCAAAAGAGCACACAGAAAACAAAGATCAAGTTCAGCCAGTTGGCGGGATCATATATCCATACATTGAAAGCTTTGAGGGAGAGTAAACTGATCAATTGGATGATTTCACGCATCAAAAAGTATCCACCACCCAGGTACAGAGGCAGAAGGGTCTTTCCCTCAATCTTGGCACACCTTGGCTCTGAACACATGCTTCTTCGTTCAATCGATTCTTCTACGTTGAAAGAGTAGCTGACAATAACCATGACGATGACGTAGAAGTCCCACATCAAAACCGCTGTAGGGAATCGCTGGGAAATCTTCTCATTGAGTAGAGTCTGCACAACTTCCATAACAACTGCTTGTTCACTCAGCCAATCAGGCAGTGACTGCAGCGCCGTAAAGAAGTCAGCTGTGGGTTCTGGTTCGGCATTCAGCAAATGTTCTAGACATTTGTGAACCGATTCCTTTTGACCATGATCATCTTTGATTGTAGCAGCAAATTCAGCCAGAACACGAAGGGGATTGGAAGATCCACCCCGTGAATTGACAATGTCTCGATTAAAACTAACCAACAAACGCACGGCAGAAGGTGCAGCTCGACGCCCAGCATTGGAAAGGGCAAAATGCAAGGGAGTTCTACCTCGACGATCTTGGGTAGTAATAGCATCAGGATAGGCCCCAGTCAACACGTATAAGGCTTCTTCACTGGCACCGTAGGCACAAGCATAATGCAGTGGCTATAGAACGATACAAAATGTTTTGTTCCGTGAGAAACTTTGGACACGATAATTCTGTTTCGCATTCCTGCTGCACTCACCAACATTCCATTGTCATCTGCATATCCAGCCGATCCTGAACTACTAAGCAATACAACCACATCCGGGGAAACCGGCTTGCTGGAATTTCCCAAGGCAAAATGAAGCGGTGTTCGTCCACGACGATCAACGGTTGTTTTGGATTCGGGAAAAGCTTCTGCCAGCTGCTTGATGACTTCTGTTTCTGCACCACAGGCACACGCATAATGAATTGGTAACCACCCAAAGGAATCTGGCCATTGCACAGTGTCTTCTGCAATACTGAGGAATACATCAATCACATCGGTGGGAGGGGCATTTCGACAAGCAAAATGGAGGGCCGTCATGGCAGAATCGCCTCGTTGTTCGGAAGCAGCCCGGACTTCTTCTGCAGATCGAGTGCGTAGCCATTCCCTCACAGGTTCCCAGCTGGCTGCAGCTTCTTCCTTGGCTTCTGGGGTGTTGTTGCGTGGAGGAAATGCCCGAGCACAGTGCAAATTGAGCATTTGAATATCGGGCACGACAGAGTCTTCTCCAGTCATGAAGGATCCTCCCAAACTCTGTTGGCTTTGAGCTTCATCCAACATAGGACGACCATCATCGTAGTAGTGGCCTTCATCCTGGTAGGGGACATCGTCGGGGTATGGTTCCGTCATTTTGCGGAGCGTGGAACGTAGAGCACCGAGGTCGAGAGACAGGGCAATAACAAGACTCGAATAGTCTTGTATCGCCAGGAAAGACTACCCACTGATATACCGGTACCTGCTACTTTCTTGCTAGTCCTTCTTCGAAAGCAGCGCTTTGTTGCTTGTTCGTCCACGCGATTGCTGTGATAAGTAAGAGATAATGAGGTCTCCAACGCCAACAACCACCAGAATAGAAGAAGGCAAGTGGAGAGGAATATGATAATGCTCGAGGAGCTTGATGGAGGCAGTGCTGCTGCCTGCAATAATAATAATATTAATATGTGTGTCTCACATGTACCGGTATGACATTTTGTTTCGAGAGCTTCATTATTAAGCAACCCAAATCTTATAACCATGGACCATGGGCAAGGAGGGCCTCAATGCCACTATCAAGGCAATTCTGCGCCTTCCAGCAGTGCTTTGTGGCTTGTGTGACTTCAAGCCAGACTTTTCGGAACGATTTAGGACTGGGCAAGTGAATGCCATTTCAGTTCTGAAGCAACCAACTTTGCAAGATGTCGAAAAGACGCTATGGGACAGTGCGACCAGGCGAGAAAAGAAGGAATGGATGAAAGCGTACGTCGTGCCACCCGAATCTGATTTGAAAATCGACGATGCATGGATAATATCCCATGTTACCCTATTTCTATTCATTCGGGCCATCTACGGGTTTTCCAAGGATCGCTGTTGCCGTGAGCTGAGTTTCTGCAAGATACCCCAAAAAAGTAGGAAGCCAGAGACCCTTCCAGAGCTTGAGAACCACTGGGGAAAGCAGATCAATGGTGACTTGAGCTGTGCTGCGGCTCATCCTGACGACTATTCGAATGCAGAGACATTTTACCACTCGGATCATCCACGGAAAACGCGATTTGCCAAATCACAGCGTGGGAACCTACACATCTTGATTGACAATGGGGTAATCCAATGGGCTCAGAACAGGCAAGTTGCATGACTTCATCAGCATTGACTTCCCACGCCAATATTCTTTACATCACGCCCTCAACATGCATGCTACCGTGCAGAGTGCGCGAGGAACCTGAATTGTTTGAGATGACTGGCCTTTTTCTAGAGGCTTTGCTGCAGTTTACTGGAAATCTTCCTGCTATGCAGTGTGCGGTTTACCGTATTGCATTGCAGCTTCGGACCATGATCACTGATAGTGTTGATCCTGGTGCCTTCTGCTTGGACATGATGGGCTTCCTCCGTCAAACTGACTGGCCAATCAATCCACCTCAGCAATCCATTGATGAAGCAAGGGGAGCCATTGCAAAAGCCCTGAATGTAAAAGTTGACAATCCCAAAGTCACAGGTGCGGTAGGAAACGACAATAGTGGTGGCACCAACACGACAGGCCCCACCAAAAAGAAACCTAGCGCAGTGAGGACCACCACCATCCTTGACTCTCGCCGAGAAGGGAGGACACCAACGAACAACTCCATATCAACATCGCTGAAAAGGTCGGCATTCATCACTCGTACGCAACTAGCTGCATTGAGCGGTGGAAAGGTTGATGGGAAGAGATATTCCCAAAATCCGCTGCGCGTTGAAACACCCTTTCAGTACTGCGGCGGTGGAGCCTTTGGATCCAAAGATGAATTTCTACATCATATATGCATCAAAGAAGAAAACAATCTACCGTTGCCAAGTTCAGAAGACGAAGATTTCATCATCTACCGTTTTGCCAAGAAGGATGGTCAAGTTCAAAAGGATATCCGAGACTTGAAGCTCAACATTTCCAGTCAACCCCCAATTCCAATATTCTGGGAACCCACTCCCACAAACAAGACGCAAAAGGGAGGTAGCCCTGTACAATATGTTGGTCATTGGAAAGCGAAAAACGTGAAAGTAGAAAAATTTTCTTACAACAACAAGCTACGATGTGCCAATATTTGGTTCAGGTTTCATCGCTACGATGGTCGCTTCGATCGAATCATACAGTACGCTCATGACAAGCCTCCATGGGCAATATTTCCTCTACCGATCGACATCGACGAGAATGGTGATAATCAAGATGACGAGAACGAGGCAGACGCACTGCAAAGCCAAGTGCAACAACAAGAAGGGGATTCCGTTGGCGACGGCGACGACAGTGATGATCGCAACGCTCCTGAGAAAAATCCCGATGACATCAGCAATCAGCTTAGGGATGGCAATCTTCAGACGGAAGACGTAGTTCCAGACACTGCAGCTTCGGCTACTCTGCACAACCAGCAAAATAATTATGGTGGAGCGGACGACGGCAAACCTGCTGCAGCAGTCGAAGCCCATGATTCACCGAATGATACTTCAGAGCAGAACAAAGATGGTGAACCCCCAGTCAAGGGGGAGGTTGACAATATGAGTGAAGCCAACAACTCACCAAGCGAAGAGGACAGGAGACCTTCTGCTACTGCTTTTGCACTCCACAATCTACCAGATGTAGCATTGGAGGACGATGGAGACAAAAAGCCTGCTGCCAGGGAGACAACATGCCATAATTCGACCTCCAGAAAACGACCGCCTTCTGCATCTGACGGCAACGAGAGGCGTCGGTCCAGTCGCCGAACCTTGGCGTCTAGCAGTGAGCCAAGAACAAGGACGGGGCAGGAAGCTCGGCGACCTAATGGCAACAGGAAAGGCAATGGGTCGCCTCGAAAAGCAGGCACACCAGAATGCGTGGAGGTGATCGAACTCGACGACTCCTCGGATGAAGAAGAGGGAGATCAAACCCCTGTAGCTGGTAGCGCAGAAGCTGGCGAACCCAATGCCAGGATGCCTGCTCGACCAATGCCGGCGGGAACAGAACGTGCTGCAGATAGGTCAGAAGAGGCCGCAACGAATGTTGCACGTATGCCTACACGAGACGAACCGGTTGCACGTGCACCCACCATGCAGTTCGTCAAGGTATCCGTCGTCATGGATAAGAACGAAGGCGGAGCTCACGTCGAATTTTGTGTACTGCTGGAGACTGGCGATGCTAGCTTTGAGAACATCCGGAACGCCATTGGTGATCAAATAGAACTTGACTTCGAGTATGACTTCTGGGTCCCCAAACTGGGGGTTTCTCTACGCCCCAATCAGGAGAGATTCGATGTTCGACATTTCCGTGCTCGAGGTTCGGTAGGTGACGGAACTATTGAACGACCATACCAAGCCTTCATCAAGAAGACGGCGAAGTGACCAAATCTTTTGATGGTTGCACTATCGATGGAATCATCACGACAACGACAACGATCTTGAGTTCGGTTCGATCTTGCGGGAGACATGGCGGTACCTTCAATTCGTACCGGTACCGCTACTGTACCATACCGGTACCTCCATCCATAGAAAGAAAAAACTTCAGAGACAATCCAAAACATTTCTTCTTCCCTATTGAGATTTACCTATGTTAGAGAATTTGCATACTAAACACTTGTTCCTCTTCGCTGTCACTTTCTTTGCCGTAGTCGCTGCCGCACTTCTGCCTTGCATCATTCAACTGTAGCCGAGTCAACATCAATGCAGGGAGTAGATCATTTCCAAGCAGGGTGCGAGGGCTTCTGGAAACGTCCTTCAGCAGATGCTTTTCAATGAACGGCCATACGGCGACACAGCAATCTTTGTAATTTTTGAGAAGCAAGACAAGCTCCCGAATATCTGCTAGACTCATTTCAAACCCAAAGGAAGTCCCACAAATGAATCCACGGAGGAATCCAAAGCCCCTCTCCTTGCATTCTAGTAAGTTGTATCGAAGACCAAATTCCAAGCATGTCAAACTCCGCCGAAATCGTTTCTGCGTAAGATGACGAGACAGAACGTGGAACTCGCCATTGGTAGACAAAAACTTGTCGCATTGTTCCAGCCCACGGGAAATGTCAAAGTAATCAAACCAGGCGAGCGCGATATGAATGTTGTCGCCCCTCAAACCGTGGCACAAGGCCGGCTCTGCTAGTAGGGACATCATAAACTCCCATTCAGCTGGGTCATCATCTGGTAACATAAACTGCATGGATCGAGCTTCTTTCCATCCGTGCTGAATGGCAGCATCAAAAAACCCGCTCCAAGAACATAGCTTTCCTTTCGTCTCAAAGAAGCTCTTTCCACCTACAACGATTTCCACAGTTTTCTCGTCCGAGCTGCAAACCCTATTCACCATCGTTTCGAGGACCAAGTCGGTGCCGCTCAAGGGCTTGCTGTTATCCAAAGGGGTGCTCATTCTTGTTCTGTTTGAGGGAGAAAGTGGAGCATCCTTTGGGATGGCTTACTTAGCTGTGTCTTTGGCACCGTGGAGAACGAGCGAATTTTCCACGGTTTGTGCCACGCCCACGATAACAGCGCCAGCAACAAATCAAGCAACAGAGGAGGGCGGGTAGCATTAATACATGCACAGCATACTAGCTAGCACTCCGTACTAAGCAAGCTTCCACGAGGACAAGGGTTTTATCCAGGCACGCCATGACGTAGTATCCAAGCACGCCATAACAAATGCAAAAGTGAGCAGGGATACAGATACTGGTACCGATACGGACCATAACGTGCTTGCGCTTGATGACGAATCCTGTCAACTGCTACATTGTACTCGTACTGCAGCTGCTTGCTATCCACGGGAGTTTCTGGCCTTGCTTGGGAACACTGACAGGTTTATCGACCACGTATATTGCTGCGCCTGTTGGAATGACAAAATATCAGCACGGCTATTACCGGGTTTTGAAGCCTCGGTATATGGTATGAGAATACTACAAAAGGAGACACCATCCCTACCTGCATTTGAAATGAGTTCAGGACGAAGAAATGAAAGAGAGGACCAGCTTAGCATATCCGAGAAAATTCTTGAGCGAAAGATTGAGGCAACCAAATGATGTGTGCACATCATTTGGATTTGCGAAGATAAGCTACGAGCATAGCAAATGCAAATGTAGTAGGTAGAATGCAAATTGTTGATTCACTATACTCAATATTCAATTCTACATGTATGGCCAGAGTATTGACAAAAATCAAAGCATCAATTTATCCAATCCATCAATCCTTCCTTCCTTCATTAGCCACCATCGTCGTCTTCCTCTTCGCAACCAGACAGTTTCATGTTGGGTAACAGATTTGGAGCTCCACTGGATGAGGCAGAGTGTAATGACTGGATAGTTTCGGACCAAACCAAGCTGCTCCCACAATACGAACCACCCGATGGACCCCTCCTGTCGGAAGGCAACGCTGACTCGGGTATACTTGCGCCAGATGATGAGAGCATTGCAATGGCCTGTGAATTCAGAGCAGCATAGCTCCGTTTCGATTGTCGTTGCATTCGAGCAGCGACGCTCTGTGGAACTCGCTTGAACATCTTGACTGAAGAATGCTTTGATTAATTGTAATCAATCCAATCCACAACAGTGCCTGATCGGTATTGCCGTAGCAACCTTTGTGGTGGAAGGTCGTTTGTGATCTTTGGGCGCTGGTGGGAAGGTTGCGCCAACAAGGATTTCGAATATTCGGCTTCTTCAGTCGAACTTTTGGATTGATTTAAAAAGCGGCAGAGCTAAAAGAAAACCGAAATGGAAGGGAAAGTTTGAGGTGGGAGGTAAAAGGCCTTTCGTCCACAAGAAATTTAGCGCGACCAAAAAAGAATGACGAAAGCAACAAAAGAGTTAGAGGGGCCTTCCTCGGACTGGTTTGATTGGTGTCCCAGAATGTCAGAATTGCTTCTCCTTCCGGAAAAAAATTGTTTTGTTCGGCTTTTCTTCTGGACCTTCCATCAAGCCACGTAGTAATCCGCCACGTACCATTGCACTTGTGTGGCCAACAGGCCAACCCACTTTTTGTTCAACTCCAACTACCGGATAGCAGATCTTCGGGAGGATCGCCTCCATGGCCTTCGTATCTCCTCCATGGCCTTCGTATCTCCTATCGTCAGCGACTTCCATCATCTGTGCTGCTGAACCACTTTCGATTGCTTCATCTGGTCATCCATCAATCGGCATCGTCATCTGTGTTACACATTGTTGTGGATCGATAAGTTGCGACCATGGTCTCTCCCACCCTGCCTCCACTGCGACTACGGCTGGAAGAGAGAAGGCTCCATGATACTGCTGCCATGGACCCTGCTAATAGCCCCACGAAAAGCACGTCTGTGAGTGTGCCGCGAAAGCTGGGCAATAGCAGTGGAAAGTGTGTGAGGAAGGAGCTCCTCTACAAACTTGGGTTTGAAAACCACTCGCAGAGTGCTTTTCCCACTCTTCCATCCAACCGAGAACCTTCTCGTGGATCCTTGTTGGGACAAGTCCAACCGACCACGGAACCCCTCAAGTACGATCCCAACTTTGATAAGATCTTGGCGGAGAAGAAGCAGCGGGCTCGAGAACGAGCTTCGGGTAGCAATGGTGTCTTTTCGGCATTGGGCGCTCTCTTTGCTGCGACCCCACAATCTACAACTATTACCACCACGGCCACTCGAGACGACGTCGAGTCCATGAAACCCTCGTCTCTGTCGTCGATGGATACCGAGTTGTCCTCCGACGAAAGCCGTCGAAGCAGTTCGTCTTTGTCGAATAATAGTAGACGTCCCAGAGGTTTGTCGTTCAACGACCAAGTGACGGTCGTGCCAATCCCCAAACGAGACGAATACTCCAAACGCATACGAGATCGATTGTGGGTCAATGCCAGAGATCTACAAGCCCAAGTAGCGCGCAACACCGTCGAGTTCGCATCGGAAGGTTGGGATTGGAAGGCCGCCTACGAGGATGATGCCATGTATGTGTGTGCTGTGACGGGAGAAAAGGTTCATCCGGTCCATTGTGAAACCGATGACCATTAGCTGGCTAGCTACAAAGATTGGAGTGCCGGTCTGTCTACACTTGAAGGACGTGAACAGGGTGCTTCCTCTTCCTCTTCCGATTTGATTCAATTTTGAAACCTTTTGCGAAGCTGACATATTGTTGATGATGTGGCGGCACTGTCAGCCCTATAGATACAGAATGCATCGTTATACGATACACAGGATTATAATAAATGAAATTAGAGAATACATGATTTTGATTTGCATCGTTGGCATTTGCTTATATCAATTGGCAGTGCAGTTGATCTGGAGGTACATGGCATCTACTTTAGATGTGACTCTACTCTGGTTTTGCTTGGCTACATGCAGCAGCTCATGTAGCACATTTGCCGAGCTGGTAGTTACATATATATATTATTTACATTGGAAGTGACTCTACTTAGGCTATGCTGGGCTAGTTAGAAGATGCTCATTTGCCATGCGAGGTAGCTAGCGAGGTCACAGTCCTTGAACATGTCACCAAGGCAACGTGCTGCTGCCTTCGTCAACGAACAGGCAATGAGTAAAATGAGTAAAAATACCAATTTCCGTTTTCACAGCAGAAGCTGTGACTGTCTGGCTGAAGACTACTACCAGTAGTACTGGGTAAAGCAACAAATCTATGCTGGCATCGGATGGGCCGCCAGAGTGCTTGCATCTCATCACTCCAAACACAACTCGCTCTGCACATCAACTCATCTCCCTTCCACTCGCCAAGATACCATGGTCAGTGAGGAGGCCAGTCTTCAACAGCTTCAGCCTTGCAGTGCCAAGGACCGGAGCATTGATCAATCATTGGCAGCTCTGCTGAGATTTGAGTGTTCAAGGGTGCAACCGGTGGAGCCAAGATGTTGAATTATTTTTACTATAATTATTTTTGCCATTGACAAGTGAAAGAGTGAAAGTGGATCCAACGGTCCAAAGGTCTGTTCAGCCGACAAAAACAACACACTTTACTGGTACCAGAAGATGAATGAAAGTCATGCCACAAGCATGATACCACCCATGACAATGACACAATGATATCCAGAACGCAGACTCAGAATGATGCAAGAACTTCCCCAAGTAGTCAAGATATTCATCATTCATCACCAGTCCCGCACCATGGCAACCAATAAGCTTTGCGTACTGTTCTTCGTGGCTGCTCTTGGCGTCATTGTTTTGATGTTTGGCGCGAAGAGGATAATGCTTAATGGTTCTGACATCGCCACAGTTTCCGTCAAAAACGAAACCAAGGTAGAAGCAAGATCAGTTCCAATTGGTACCGATATTAAGCCAACAAACCATTCGAGAAGCAATCCAACAAAAAGAGATCATTCTAGAGCCTATAATATTCTCAAGAAGAAACACAACGACACCTTGACATCAAGCATCAACCTTGACAATACAAATCAAGCAAAAGAGTCTTATACAGCAGTATCGACACCAACAGGCAGTGACGACCGACTGGTGATTTCCATGAAGACCATGCCAGGGAGAATTGCCCACATCCAGCCTACATTGGATTCCTTACTCTTTCACCAAACAAGTGTGTTTGATCAGTTTTACTTGGCATTGCCTCGGCAGCCACTGCATAACCCAGACTACGTTATTCCTGAGTTCCTAAAAAAATATGCTGAGGAAGGATTGATTACCCTTTTGAGACCAGACTATGATTATGGAGCTTTGGATAAGATATTGCATTCAATACAGACAGAGGAACAACATTTCCAGCAACAATCTACTCTCCAAGCCCATCAATATCGCATTCTATATTTGGATGATGACATGATTTATGCACCCATGTTTGTCGAAATATTGGCCAATAAGAGTCAATCCTACCCAGACTCGGTAGTGGCTCTCTCAGGTGCCAAGCTGAGGTCTCGTTTTCGGCAGATTGGACACTCCTCACCGGAAAAGGATCGACACCCCTTTATCTATTATAAACTTGGAGGGGTTGACTCTTTCGGGGACCCGCTCGTGGATCTAACCCAAGGATTCATGGGAGTCTTGGTGCGCCTCTCGTTCTTCGACGTACCCGAGTTTGTCCGTATGGCTGGCAACAAGTCGGTCCCCGATGGGGTTAGGAGGTCAGATGACTACGTGATTTGTGGATATTTGGAGAAACGCAACATTCCACGGCGTTTGGTGGATGGAGGTCTTGTGCCCCAGTCACATCAAGTGTCTTCCAAAATTGGCAATCTTGGCAAGACCATGAATCGTAATGCCATGACGGCGGCGTATTATCTGCAAACAAACTGGGGGATTTGGCAGAGTTATCAGTTTGAGCCCTATCTTGACTTGCCCAAGGACACGCGGGACCTCATGGACTGCGAAGCTCGACATGCGCAGTACTGCCCCCCAAAAGTCAAGAAAAATGGCAGAATACAATATTCGCTGGTGACCGAGATGTTGGATGATCTTTTGAATGTGACTGCGGATACTAAGAGTGGCAAATGATTGGTTCGATTCACCACTCCATGCTCGGAAAGGTCGGGCAAGCCAGGCAAGCATTACCAGGTAGCTGCATGTCGGCAACCTTTGGGACTGCGGGATACAACAAGTAGCATTTCGCCCTGGCCTACAACGTAGAGCGGGATCATTCTGGGACGACTCAAGCTGCACCCCCCTCGATCGAAGCAAGAATGAAACACCCAAAATGAGGATGCCCTCTTTGCTCTTTGCAGAGTAGAAAATGCTCGTCTTTCCTCAAATGATGAGCAAAGCTGCTCGCAGTGTCAATTCGAGTAATCCTAGTAATCCGTAGCTGGCGTTGAATCAAGCCCTCGTCCTCGAGATCTTCGACCTTGTACCGGTACTAGTAGGGCTCTTGTGGGTACCGGTAGCGTACCATCCGCCCAATTGCAAAGGTCCCGAAGTCCGCTTCCTTGATGATGGATGAAGTGAGATGGAGTGGGAGGACCGGAGGTGGTTTTTTAAAACCAAATCGCAGGCTTCTTGGATGGCATGCGTTTTTATCACTAAATCTTTCAAACCCAGGTTTTCTAGGCGGGCTCGCTGAACTTTCAAAACGAGGCGCCAAGCAACCAACCGCTGCAACAACACAACAAGGTGCTTCTTTTGATGGCGCTAGCTAGCTACTACAGTAGACCTAGACTACTAGTACAACACTCGTTTGAATAAACTTACCTGTCCCTGACGGAAATAGAAGCAGAGGTATAATTCGTTGTGCTGAGCTTCGTTGTCGTGGTTCTTGCAACAACTGGTTGACTTGCCAGTAGCTAGTAGCACCGGTAGCGGAATCGTTAGTTTCGTCCATCTCCAGGTTCCACGTTGTGAGTTTGACAGATCATTCAACTTTATAGTTCCAACATGAAAGCGGCAACCAACAGAATTTTCGGCAAGAAGAGCCGAATTGGCTCTCCTTTGGCTGGTACCGGTACCGACGACAAAGTTACGGGCAGTGAGGCTACTGCTCCAGTACCAGCCCCGACTCCGGCTCCACCAGTCGAAAGCGACGACGAAGATTTGTTCGGTGGTGACGACGATGAAGAAGAAGTGGCAAAGGAGACAATCAAGCCTAAACCAGTCGCTGTTGAGGCTAGCAAGGAAGGATCAGAAACTCCAGCGCCAGTTATCATCTCCCCAACGTCGACCACAACAGGAACACCTGAAGCCCCATCAGCAGCAGCCGGTGGCGCCGTGACTATTCCTCGCAAGAACCAGCATGCAGATGCTGCAGCAGGAACTGCTGTGCAAGACCAAGCAAAAGATTTGGGAGCCAAGTATGGGTTGCAGCCGGGCGTCAAAATCCCAAAGTCTGTGGAGGACAGGAAATTGCTCCACGGAAAGACCTTGGAAGCCCTCAAGAAAATCCCCGTTGACCTAGCAAACGAATCTCTCACGGAATACGATGATGCCGTGCAAATCAAGGGTGCCTCTATTCGGAACCATGGCGCCTACCTACTCGGAGTGATCAAGCGCTATGTGGACGTGCAAGAAACTCGCGGAGCTTCACTGATGCAACCTGCTCTGACGCCTTCAGTACATAAGAAACTGGATCATCTCGTCCGAAGTGGCTACTTCACCCAGAGCGAAATGGACGAGAAGGTAAAGGGTAAAATTAGAATGCTGTCGGAACGAGATGCACTGATTGCTTTGGACGAGCTCTCAAGCGTTGACAGAAGCCAGATTCGAAATATGGGAAGGTACGTCACGTCGTGTTAAGGATGCTGCAGGCCGTGGCATGTATTTCCTCTGTGGATTCAATCTCATCACACTGCTTTTGGATTCCACAGTTATTTGATGGGCATCATAGTGAAGCGCCATAAAAATAGCCAATCATCAGGAAACAGCGGTAATGGATCAGGTTCCAACGGTGATTATGGAAGAGACTCGCGGTCCAATAATTCCGACCGCCCCCCTCGTCGTGACAATGATGATCGTTATTATCGTGAAAGTAACAGAAAGGATTCGTACGGCAGGCGTGAACGGGAGCGAAGCCGTGATCGTTTTGATGATGATCGGAGACGTGATGATCGCGGGAGGCATGATCATTACGGACGCGGCGGTAGAGATAGAGATGCGTCGCATTACGGCCCCAGTCAAACGAATCATGGACCTTATGGTCATCAACCTCCTCCTCCAATGGGAGGCAACATGCCAGGTCAGCACCCGCCGCCACAGCAAATGCAACCGCCGATGAATTCTTATTCTCAGCAGCAGCCGCCATACATGCAGCAGCCTCCTCCTGGCGGCAATAATCAGTTCGTTCCGCCAATGCATCCTCCTGTGAATCAGAATTACCAGAATCAAGGCTATCCGCCACCTCAAAATCAAAATTTCCCTCCCCAGAACCAGGGCTACCCGCCCCACAATCGTCCTGGACAGCCGCCCAATATGATGGGGCAGTCACCATACAACCAGCAGCAGCAGCCGCCGCAGCAAATGCAACCGCCGATGAATTCTTTTTCGCAACAGCAGCAGCATCCGTCTTACATGCAGCAGCCAAATGGGCCTCCCCCCCCACCTCCACAGCGGGCCAGTCGTTGGCAGCAGGCCCCGGCCCCGCCACCCGGTGCTAACAATGGATGGCAACAGCCACAGCAGCAACCGGGTCTTGGAGGGGGGTCGTTTGATTCACAACGACCCAGTCGTTGGCAACAGGCGCAGCCTCCTCAGCAGCAGCCGGCCCAAGTGCCTTTGGATATTCTAGGACTTGCTGATAAAGCCGCTTCTGCTGTTCAGCAGCTCACTGGGCAAGCCAATTTGGCGGTGGGTGGACCAAACCCTCCTTACTCAGCTCCTCCTCGCCCCCCGTATCAGAACGTGCCCCCACCGGGTTCCAACCCGATGCATCCAGTTTCGAACGTACCGTACACCAATGGAACAGGACCCGTTCCCCACTCGTCGATGCCGTACAATCCGATGAATGCGAATTCGGCACCCCATCAGAATGAAAATAATCGATTCAATGGTCACCAGCAGCCGGGTGGCCACCAGCAGCCCGCTGGAGGTCCACCTAATCGTAACAACCCGCGCAGAGGCCGTGCCACAACCACTGCCACGTTGAGTGAACTGCCAATTATGGTGCAGTACGCTGTCCAGGTATGTGTTCGCAAGCCATGATGCCAAAAAGATGTTTGTTGCTCCAGTCAGTCAATCGCTCACCACGCCCCGCCTCTCCCCCATGTACAGAACTTGCAGGCGACTAGACAGGTTGACAATGCCTTGGACGGCGGGTACGTGCAGGAATTTCTTGTCACGTCCATTATGATGGCAGCATGCCGCTCACCGATCGTCTTTTCCTTCCTGCGTCTCCCAAAAGTATTCTTGGTATGATCAAAGATCTGCCGGAGCCTTTAGCACTCGCAGCGCTGCAAAAGTTTTCGTCATGCGACAAGAACACGATGCGCAACAAAACAGCGTACCTTGCCGGAGTTCTACGAAGAGAGCTCGAGCGAATCAATCGTCGTTAGTTTGGCCTCGACCTTGGATTCCATGTTCAAATCGGAACGTGCAGGCACTTTCTGCTCTCCTCCGCTCTTCCTGCCAGTGGATTACTTCGTTGGGCCTCGTTATGTTGGATCGAACACTCCTGTTAGTAGCGAATGCGCTGGCACTACATGCTTTGCTTTATCAAATTAAATTACTATAGTCAAACAATGAATGTGAAGCATGATGCAATCTTGCCTATCCTCTCTAGCTAGCTAGTAGTCATCATGTATGTATGTGCTCTTGATAGAGCATGCCTTGAGAACAGGTACACAAGAAACCAACATACAATCGTCTCTAATGTACGTGGTCACGACTATACAAGACTTCCACGAGGTCAAAGTCTCATAATTTTGCTACAGGTGCCGCTTATTGAAGCTTGAGCGAGAGGACACGTTTCCCAAACAAAGACAGCCAATGTCTCAGGGGAAGTCGGCTACCTCGAAGGTAGTTGTTGAAGGATCAGGAGGAAAGAGACAAGAAAACGGCGAAGGGCTGCACTTCAGATTCTCCTGCCCACCGGTAGGGAGGATGGAGACGATGTTACTGGTAGTGTCGAGCTCGAAAAAGGGCATTGCGGAAGCCACGTTGTCACGGCACTCGGTAACAAAGCAAAAAAACATGGAAGCCGAGTGGGCGGCGAGAGGACAACGGCGTGAAACATCTCGAAATCATCCGTTTTGCGGGAGTGGATGAGACGCTTTGCACCCCAATTTATTGCTATTTCTAAAAAATAGACTAACGTGAGTGCACATCAGCCGAACTTCGGTACGATGTCGAGAATCTATCTGATAATGGCTACTGCACCCCAATGGATGAGACACATTCCATTCCCTGATCCCGGCCGTGGCGCTAAAACTGGAAGCTGAGAATCTACCGGTGGCAATGCCAAGTGCCAAGTAGCTGCCATGCAATCAGCATCAGCTAGCCAGTTTGTAGCCCTACCGTACCTGCTGGCTATGATAGCTAGGAGCAAGGTAGGTAGAGAACAAAAGGCGGAGGCGTGGCTTGCAATGAGCTTTGGCAGTCCCCTCAACGGAGGCCTGTACCGGTATCGGATGATTCAATCGAATCAACCCCCCAAGACAATTCCCACGCACAAGCCAGCCACTTCTCTTTTAATTAACACCTTCAAAAACTTAAATAATATCAAAGTCTTCTTATACAGCTGCACTCAAATGAGTTAAATCAGCACATGTAGTTGGTAATCGATCTTCAATACCGGCAATTCTTTGATTGTACAGCCCGTACTCACTCCCGGCACTCTGAGTCCAAGCTAGCTAGTAGGCATGTACTGTAGGCATCTGCTAACCGTTGTGATCCTACTGATTGTAATACAGTGAATGCTTCACACATTTTTTTGTACTGTAGGTAATGACTGCACAGCAGTCGGTCTCCCTAGCAGGCTGATGTTTGTGAATGATGAATTCATTATGGATTTGGATGCCAAAGGATTTAATGCACTACCGAATACGGTAGCTTGTTCAGAGGTATTAGTACCAGCGGGGTTCGGCTTCTCAAGCACCCCATACCGTAGCCAGTAGCTTGCAAGCTTTCTACATGTAGGAAGAGACTTGATGAGCCAGATACCCTGGTCGTTTGGAGTATTCCTTCCGTTTGCTACTTTGCCACCACCATCTACCCCAACAGTTGTAGCAACCAGTACTCTTTCACGTGCATTGCTTCATGGCATATTTCATGGCTGCGGAAACGTTCCTGGGATTTCTCATCCGGAGATTCAACTAAACTTGTAGAGTTTCATGTTCAGCTACGTTACATTCTCCACAGGTCTGATGATCATGAAGAAGGCAGGGTGACACAGTTGATCTATCCTTCAGGAAACGTACAGTAAAGAGTACCTCAGCATAGACATGGCGGGGCCCAACGGCAGTTGAGTTTTTCAAACAAGAAACGTTTACACCGATCTCGGTCAGGTCTACAACGTTCTGGCTGTTGTGCTCGAGCTCGATGTTTGCATGGTGCGTTGAGCTCCTTGTAAATTTGGCCTTCACGCTTCCCCGTTATCAGCCATTAGAAGACACGACCAGGACTGTACATGTACCCACTGCAGCTCTTGCGTCGTTGTCAATGACACAGGAGCAATTTCCGAATACATATGATATCGATAGTACATGTACCTTGGTTACGGTATCCTTGCCATTGCTTCTAGCCCACTGACGCAGTTACAATACATGTACCGGACAACGTCGTTGTCCCTACCGTTACGAGGCCATTACGTATACATGTAGCGAGGTTTGATCCTTCACAGATACGGGGCGGGCTGTGGAATGCCGCTTCTGTTCATGGTCACAGTATCATATTGTTAGAGATAGATCTGGAGCTATGAGGATAGACAACCGACATCTGTTCTACGGTATACATCATCGTGTCTATGAGGTGCTAGCTAGGACTTGTATCTGGTACCAACAGCAATCCATGATCCATGGTGACCAAAGCAAAAACATCTATTTCTTGAATAGTGTCTCAATAAATCCATTGCCTGAAAGGCATCCGTGCTAGAGATTGTCATCAAGAGCTCGATCCGCCACCGTCCACCACATCGCCCAAGCCAAAACTGCATGGAGCTCCGACGAACAGAAGAATCTACAGTGGCTCTTCCGCAGCGCGTGGCCTGGAGTATCAACTGTGGTCTGGTTTGTACCATCATGTTAGTTCTGGAGCAATTATGTGCGGTGACCCGCCTCAATAGTCGTTGCATAGCTGTTGCATGCATGCCTAATACATAGAAGGCAATACCGGTAGGCAGAATCCACTGTGGTTGAATGCGAATTGACTTGTTTATTTATTTCTTCCTCTTGGGCTTGGGGTCGCCTTCATTCGCTCTCAACACTGACCAACCACAAAAGCACTGCATTATTTGGAAACCGCATTGAATTTCCAATTAATACAATCAAAAACCAAGATTACTATCCACCATGGGCAGCCCAACAGCAAGCCCAGTTGCACCACCAGCCACCACCGCCGCTCCATTACCAGCACCTCACCGCAATATGTTTCGCCGCATGCGTAGTAGCCGTAATCGAGCACAAGGAGGAGTACCATTAGTGATTGACAATACAGACATGCCCACGAAACCAAGACGGACCAGAGCCAGCAGAACCAACAACAATGGCGGAACGCGAGAACTCTTCAATCTAAAGGGATTCTTTCGCAGCCAAGGTAACCTTGGCCGCAAGGCAACACCCAAGGACCGAGGCATGTTGGTTCGGGCCGCGAGCGATCGATCCGGGCCTCTGAGACGGTCCACGTCGACGCATTTCACTCGGTCTACCACACACCGCTCCTCCGCGTTCCTATTGGAGCCAGAGCCCTTTACCATGTCAGCTTTTCTAATGCCCGAAGAGCTTGCGGCTTTTGAGAACGCATGTGAAGAAGTATCATCAGTAGCAGAACAAGAAGAAGAAGCCAAAGAAGAGGTCTCGCCTCTCGACTGTTGCCTGGACCATGAACCAGTAGCGCTTGTGATTGATGACGACGATTACGGCAACCCGATCATGGGCTCCTCGGGCACTCTGTCGCGTGGTGGTAGTAGTATTACGAATCACTCGCTGCAGAGTCAACGGCAGCAACAACAAGAGTTCGAAGAAGAAGAGCGACTGTCGGATTGTAACAACAAGCCCTATCCAGCAGCATCCGTTGTTGTTGTGCCAGAGATTTCCTTTGCCATGAAGAAGAACAAACACGAAGAGCTAGGCCGCATTCAATTTGAATTCGACACTCTTGCGGAAGCTCGAGCCAAAGCCGCAAGACTGCAACGGCCGATTCTCTGCGTGGAGGCCGAAGTGCCTGGCGATGTCACGACGGGCGAAACCACCTTTTCGCATCCTCTCATTGTCGAAGCGGCCGAGTCGCTCTTTGTTACTGTCCAGCAAAGACCTCTTCAGCCACAAGATGACGATGATGGTCGCTTCTTCACCAACTCTTCTTGTCGCACACGAGTCCGAGTGCTCGACGACATGGCCATTGATGTCCTTCCGCCCGTGGAACGCATGACGGCAGCTCTCGTCGTAGCCGCCATGGTCCGAGGGCTCGAGTCGTACCGGATGCGAGTGCCACAGTATCTTCGGCTCCTTCTCGAAGAAGAAGGCGGAAAGCTGCAGGTCTTGTCCAAGACACGCGTCAGAAACATTCAAGGCAAGGCCATCTTTGGCATTTTTGACGCCAACTACGCAGAAGTGGAATTTGCTGGAATCGACGGAGTGTTGGCCACTCGATCAGGATCGATGGTCAGACAGCAAGTGGTACAAGTTACCTACGATTCGAGGAGACTAACGTATGGTGCCTTGGTCCGACATGCCCTCCGGAACACGGGTGCCACCATGATCTACTACGAAACCAATGATCAACGAATTGCCGCACAGCTCGAAGTTCAACAATTTGAAGAGTTTCGCCAAACATTACAGCAACGGTTCATGGACGACCAACAAGAAGAGGACATCATTCCTCAACCAGCCATCAAAGTCACAGAAGCATTCGGCAACCTACGAAACGCACACCACCCCAAACCAGCTCTGCGCAAGTCTATTCTACGATTTGTCCCCATGACCGACCTGCAAGCGACTCGTGCCAACCGCCTCATTCACCAAAACAAATTCAATGAAGCCATGCACCTGCTAAGTCCTAGGCAGGGATTGATTGCTATGCAGTCTGTGCGGGCTCATCACAACACAAATTTTCACTTTCATGATGTGGTGGATGTACCCATTGCACTCGCCTGGACAGAACTTTGCGGAGAAGATGTAGAAGCTAGCGAGCACGACGATAGTGAACGCTGCCACTACTGCGTGGTAGGTCGAACCGACAGCATTTCCAGCGACGACGACGACGAGGAAGAACCTGCGCTATACCATTCTAGAAATTAAAATGCCTTACTGATAGAAGCAAACTTATAGACTACCTTTAGGACCAATAGAGCCTATCAGTAGTAGAGCACAAAAACATGGCGTGGCTGGCTCTAGCTAGGAGACAAAGCAAAATCATCCCCGCCCCAGTGGCTGTTGCTCGACTGTCACTTTAGAGCCGATAGCTAACAATTTCCATGCTACCCTCCTGCTTCAAAATCGGCTACCGGCTACCGGTATCATCGTAGCTGCCTTGTTCGCCACGTAAAACAACCAATACATGTACCAATTCGCCAATTCGACCACTTCCTTCCGCCATCGACCTTCGTTGCTCTATCTGATGTCTGATGGATTGAAAACTGCACACACTTTTGCTTTGCGCAATAATTATTACCAGTCAGCTCCATTCACACATTTCAAATGACTGCATGGGAAAGCACGGAACTGCAAGTTCCATGAAAACTCACAATGGACTTAACAGATATCAAGCTGAAAAAGAGCACTTCTGAATGCTAAGTATGTGCTTCTTACGTTCTTGTCTATCAAATCTTACAACATAAGACTTTTGTTTTTTCCGGGTCCACGTCCAAACCTGAAGTTTTACCACCAAGAAGCTCCCGCGAGCGCTCAAGACGCGTCTCGGGGATTGCTTGACTTCTAAGCTCCTGCTTGCTTCTGTTGAGTACGGCGCTAATGCCTCCATCCCTTTGGACCTGATCCTCTACCAGAGGCCTACTAAGTACGACTGTCGCTCCAACCAAGCGTAAGCTTGCTGGATGGAGTAAGGAGATTTGGGTTGCTGGAATTCAATCAATAAGATTGGATCACGCTACCGCGCCTGTCCTCTATCCTTGGAACTTGCAGCTTTCAGAACTGCGAGAAGTTCCAGGCTGCTCTCGTCCTACAGCTTTTGGCAGCAACCGGTGCATAACGGTAGGAACCACTGCACCAAATGCGCTACAACTGATCCGCATGGGGAGACTGAGATTTGACCCCTCTAGAGAATGCCAAGAAAGCATGTACCAAGGCCAACACAATGGAGGCTATGGAAGAAATCGTCGTTGACGCCATGGCCACTGGGAACTTGGAGATGGCTTTTTGAAGGCCTGTTTTTATACAGAGCGGTAGGAGCACCCTGGGTTCAGGAAAATGCCGACGAAACCATTCAATCGTCCCTGAGAGATGCCATCTTGTCTTTCATTTCTCTACTCATTTTCAAGGCTGTAGTTTGCATTGGTTCCTCCCTGCCTCACGAATGAAGCAATCATCCACCAGCACGATTTTACATCCTGGGTCACAAAGAAGGACTTGCAATGTATAGTTGCATTATTCCCTCAACACTTGGTAGCTGTCAATTTGGGTGACCAAGAGATGGACCAGCCTACAATGCCATCAACGAAGAAATCCACTTTCATTGGGAGTTTGGCCAAACCGGCCTTCGTCCCGAGGATCAGTCCTATTTCCGGAGACAACTCTTACTTTGTCTCCAGCAAGCAAACACAAATGGGAGGAGAGCGTCGAGAAACCCGGTGAACAGCCGCTGTAGATGAGTTGATTCAGCCCAGGAGTGACCAAAGTTATGAAAGCAACCTCCTGAAAAGCTGGGTGATCTGGGGCACACGAGACCTCAGCCAACAACCCCTTAACCAAACACACACAAAGCACAAACAAGAAAAGATGAGCCACTGCACTTGTGGCCCCCAAGCACCACAAACACAATACATGCACTTGCACTTTGCTTTTCTCCCTATACACTAGCTACCGTAGCTAGCTAGAGAACGAGGAGCCACTACACGTACCGGTACCGGTAGCTGTTTGCTTGTACCAGGTACAGTACCAGGCACCAGAACCTCACCCCTCCACAGATACCTCAACTACACTGTTATTTTGAATCATCTTTTATTTTTACCCCAAGCTTCAGAAGCGAGGGAAACAAGATGCCTCCGGTTGCGCCAACCACGGAAATAGAAATAGCAAAAAGGGCTGTCACTTGATTGGCAAATAGCTAATATTTACTGCCATGGGCTCCCAGAATGTATACGGTGCTTTAGATAGCTGCTTTGTAGCTAATGGTTTAATCTACCTAAACCCCTTTTTATATTATTGAGGAGTGGAGTTTGGTACATCTGGCCGGTACCGCGTAATGGTCTAATCTACCTAAACCCCCGTTTATATTGAGGAGTGGAGTTTGGTACATCTGGCCGGTACCACGTATGGTCTAATCTACCTAAACCCCCTTTATATTGAGGAGTGGAGTTTGGTTACATGGCCGGTACCGCGTAATGGTATAATCAAATAACCCAAGTTTTAACCATACCGTCCATACCGGTGCTCGCACAGTTATCACCGGTACGGTGCATAAGGCAAACTCAGCTAAACCTAACCCTACAAAAAGGAAAAAAAGAGGGGCGACCACAACAAAATTCGGCTTTTTTCAGCGTTCGTCTCCTGTTCCTCAGTTACATGAATCATCAGCCATTGTAGCCAGCTACGTACCGTAGGCAGAGGTTACATCGATCGTGTGACAGTGGCAACAGTACCGAACACACCTCAGGTTCTGCTTTACTGGCTACACTCCGTACCGTACCTTGTATGGATCCTTTGATGAATACATGCACAAACGAAATTGTCAATCCGCCATTAGCCAGCTACCGTAGAGTTCATCGATCGAGTGACAGTGGCAACAGTACGAACACACTCAGGTTCGACTTTGCTCGCTGCACTCGGTTACCTCGCATTGGATCCTTATGACGAAACAGCACAACCGAATATTGTCAATCCAGCCATTGTAGCCAGCTGCCGTATAGCTAGTGGCAACAGTCGAAACATCAGGTTCCGCTTTGCTTGTCTACACTTCGTTACTAGTACCTTGCATTGGATCCTTATGACAAGTACATGACACAAAAAATGTTGTCAATCCGCCATTGTAGCCCGCTACGTCAGTTACATGCGCGACAGTGTCAACAGTACCGAACACACTCAGGTTCCGCTTTGCTGTACGCTCCGTTTGCCGGTATCTTTGCATTGGATCTTATTGAATACATGCAACAACCAACATTATGAATCCAGCCATTGTAGCCGACTGCCAGTATAGCTACATCGATGAGTGGCAACAGTACCGAAAGTTCGCTTTGCTGCTACGGTTACTGGTACCTCGCATTGATGATTCTTATGACGAATACATGCAAAACCGATATATTTAATCAGCCATTGTAACCAGTTTACGTAGAGTTACATCAATCCGTGACAGTGGTCAACAGTACCAAACACACTCAGGTTCCGCTTTACTGGTACACTCCTACCGGTACCTCTGCATTGGATCCTGTTGACGATACATGCACAACCGAACATTGTCAATCCCACCATCGAGCAGCTACCCTATAGTTACATGGCAAAGTACCAACACACTCAGCTTCGGCTTTCTCGCTACCTCCATTACCTCACCACTTACAATGAGTACAGGAATAGTATCAAGCCAGGCGCTACGAGCACTGTTCCCGCAGGAAAATGGATATCGACACAGAAATCACCACCAAAACACTAGGGAATAACATGGAGGGATGAATCCAGTCGAGGATCCACTCTCCACTGTGCTTGTGTGTTCGTGTAGCCTCCTTCGCTTACGGTGTTGCCATTCAATGACTCGACGCGATCCGTTCATGCTGTTGGTAGGGCTGGAGTTAACAGTTTCCTCCTACACATACCTCCGTAGGTAGCCTCTTCTTCCTCATGTTATTCAAAGCGATCAATCGTTCGTTGGCGCGACAATGGTAATTCACTCGGCCGTCAGTCAGTACAGCAGAGAAAACAACAAATAGGTATGAGTTTTGTTTTCTGGCTCAACTGCAGACGACCGGAGACTTACCATTGTTTTCAAATTGCACCAACTTGGCCGTCATGGGCCGAGAACTGACCTGCAATCCCATGGTCCATAGGATTCAATGAAGGATGCTTCTGTTTCTGACACCGTGGGAAGGACGGCTTGGTCGAGGCAGTCCCGTATGATAATAGAGATAATCGGAGGAGGGTATTCAGTGAACGATCAACTCGAATAAATAAAACAACTCACCTGTTGATGAGGCGAGATCTGACTGCCTTTCCCGCAGTCCATAGAAAATTCAATGAGGGATGGCTTTTCAAACTCCTCCAACATTTCCAATAACAACTCTTGATTCACGTAGCCCGTACCTATGTGCATCAGTTCGATCGAATCCAACACCCACCCACTGCTTTCGGCCTAGCTTGGATTTAACCTCCTTTTGCCATACGGAACTCAATGAGGAGAGAAGTACAGTCTGTCACCTTCAACAATTTCGTTCCTCGATTCTTCGTAAATCCTTAACCTTAGTAACTTCAACGGTTCTTTATTTCCACTAATCAGATCTAAAATATTTCAAAGGAGAACTCTGTTGCTTAAAGATACACATGACCAGTTGATTCTGCAACTGAAGATGCGGGTACTCTAATTTACACAGTAAACGCCGGCAATTCATTCAGAGTGCAACTGAGGTGCGGAAACCAAAGGATTAGCAGTGCGTACGTCTCAGGAGGCAGTTAATTCGAGACACATAAGGCAAAAACCAATAACCGCCTAACCCATGACAAAAAAGACCAAAAGAAGAAGGATGTATGAAAGGTTGTCGAACACATCTGAAGCACAATTTCTCTAATTTACTCAATATCCTTCCAGCTCACTGTCTTGTAGACTGGCTTAGTTCGTTTCGT